AAGTAATTTTTATTTATTTTTTTAACTACTAGTATGTAAATTATCATGTTCTTCTTACTTTATAACTTCTGTATGGTTGTGTGTGTAGGTGCGAGTGTGAAATATTTTAGGTGAGTGAACACGTACCGCTTCTTCTTGGAAAAAACCTTCTATCTTATATACATTTTGTACGTTTTAAACCTTATCTAAGATTTTGTTCGCTCTCCTGATTTCATAATCAGTTTTTATTCATTTATTTTTACCAATCATTTTATTGTCATGCTGATTACGGAGTCAAAATAAACTTATTATTATAATTATGTCTGTCAGTAGTACCGTCAATATATACTACTACAATCATATTTGAAGTAAATGAGGCTTCAATGCCGCATTCGCCGAGTCATGGAATCCTGATGTTATGTTCTATATCTAGTAATGGAGACAAACTAATTCAATTAGAAATCTGCACGCGATTCATTTGGACTTCCATTTATCAACATAACTTCAAGCAATACCGCTAAGCAGATGAAAACAACTTTAAACGCTGAACGCCATTGCGGTTAACAATAGGAGATAAGCACTAGTGTTGCAAACACGATAATTATCACAACTAGATTCAAAAATTAACACAGAAGAATGGTTACTAACTATTTTAATTATATAACTATGATTGCGGCATTAAACAATTTTGTTCTTCGTAAAAACATTATTACGTCTCGTGCGTGTAGCCTACTGTAGATTAATCACTTTTATCAGGGTATTATCAGCTTCTAATTCATGGTTCTGATAACATCGCCGACATGTTAATTTCAGGGGGAGAATGAACAGTTTCCATGGTAAATACTGGTATACTGGAATATTATTTAGCTGCTTAGAATTGCGGCATTTTACTGCACCCTGCGCAGTTCGTGAACAGATGAGACTACAGAATTGTGATTTAGTCGCGTGATAGTTAAATGATTATAGACCAACTGCTGATATTATACCAAAACAACCTATTCTGGGGTTTTGCTCATTATTAAAACCTACCCACTGAGGGATTTGGGATTCAATTTACAGGAGGCCATTCAAATGACGCTTGATCCCATTTAACCGTCTTTATCTAACTAATGAAAAAGCATTAAAGCGTAACACGCCTGGCGTTTGAGATTACCGACCGACCACGCGCTGCGTGTGTTCCGCTATATTTATATGAAAACTTCACTTTTAATATACTTTTCCCATAGCTACATCATGGACTTATTTAGCTAAGTTGTCAATATGTATATACAGACATCTACATCGCAAGGATATCATTAAATATGGATCTTTCCACTTTTTTTGTTGCCTCAACCATTATGGCTTTGATTGCAACAAATAACGGTTAGAATAACTATTTGCGTTCATGTTTTCATTGAAGTTTAATATCCGATTTGTACTCTTGTGCGACTCCGAGCCGTCTGTGTGCCATGTTCTATCATTTTGTTGTTTTTCATGCATGCTAATTAATGTATGTACAGTATGCTTATTTGCCTCGAAAATGTATCAGTATCTGCATAAAAGTTAAACGGTATAACAGAGACGGGATACATGTTCAAGACCTTACTGGCCTAGGACACAGATGTGCGACAAGCACCCCAACAAGTATAGCTGCAGTTTAGGACTGCTGCGTTATAGTAGGACAACACACATGGAATATACAAACAAAAGTCTTGTACAATACACAGGACAAAGAGGTACGGCACCACGACGATAGGTACAATAGTCAATTTATGGCACGTTCACGTCCCAAGTATAAATCGCATTTTTGTGTGTTTTTACAATAGATTGTACGAAACAAGTAAAACTTGCGAAAAACCAACATTGGGTGGAACCACGATTAGGTTCAAAAAAGGTAAACAATAAATGACATATGTAGAAATTCTTTGTTTACACTCGAGTTGTTAATCATAAATTGTATGCGACAAAAGAAACGGAACAATAGAGTCTAGTATAAAATGCGGGTCAATTTCGTAGACGCTATTGTGTGGAATTTATTGTAATCACCGTTCAGCATGATAAATTTAAATTTGTATAAGATGATCTTTGCATTAGCGATGATTCAACGAAGGAACTGTAGAAAGCTAATAAATCATAAAATATTGTGCTTGGCTAGTCTAAATTCTTATATGGCTTTCTATTTTTTGGTCGGGAATATATGCTAACAAAATAGGCTTCATAGAAAACTAAAAATCGAATGAGGAATCTATCAGCCTGGGTTGGCTGATATGCCTGATAACTAAATATAAATGTTATTGCTGAACAATATATTTCCTGCCGTTTTTTTTCGCAACCAGCCTAAACAGTATTACAAAAATGCTGCCTATATGTCAGAAAATTTAGTAATTACCCTCCTGTATCTCTAATTTGGTAAAATTCGGTAATCAATTCAATCTGCAGTTATTTTGTGAACATGAATTTTGTAAAAAAGAAAGCTGACCAATTCAAACAGATTTTTAACCGGATATGAGAGGGAAATACGAATACCACAATGCTTTCTGCAAATTTTGTCGGTAACTATCTAAAACGGTATTTTTTCCTTATGACACTTTCTTCGTTATGAAGAGTTTGGAATCTTACACTAAATGTAGATATAGTAAGATTTTTGAACGTTTTTTGGTGGTTTTTGCTTGATAACTGACAAATAATAATCAATGTGTTTGGACAATAAAAGCGTTGAGTTTGTATTGCACTGTTTACCTATTCCTGACACTATTGTGGCCCGCGAACAATACGAAGATAATAGTGTGGTCCGCGAGGCCGACAACCTTGGACCACCCTGACATAGTTAGTCAAACGGAGATATTTTTCATCTGCTAGTCTTTTCTCAACTTTTTCACCAATGATCAACGAGGCCAAATTAATAGTTTCCGGGAGGCTAGATCTATGTAGGAATATGTAAAACTAGATGTTCCGCACCGAAAGCGCAGATTCAACCACATATAATGACTGGCTGTAACCACGTTAACGATGTGTCTGGTTGCTTATTTGAAATAGGGGAAAGTGGGGAAGGTTGGGACACTTTTTTTCTTTTGCATATTTTGAACCGTTAATTCTGCATATTTACTTAAGTTTGCGGGACTAATGCATAGAGGGGTTTGCGACACACTTCTTACTATCAAAATTCTTTGAAAAACGTCTGTCAAGTGTCCCACTGTACCCCACTTGTGGGGCACATTCGGACAGACCCTGGGGCACAATGGGTCAGTCTGTCATAATTCAACGAAGTATGCCCTTAAAAATGAGCAACTAATCAGCATAATCGTCTAAAGAACAGAGAGACTTCAAATTTGAAGATTTAATATTTTTAAAATCAATGTTCAACTTAAATAGTTCAGATATTTTTAAAAAAAATTCGCAAACAAATTTGATTATGTCCTTCTTCGAATCTAAATCTATGGAAATATTATTGATTCTCGAATATATTCCATATTGGGCCATGGGTAAAAAAAAACCATAATATTACACAAAATATAACGCATCTCTAGGTCTCTAAGCACATATTGCATCAAACACTGTCGAACACCAATTTCACCTCATAGCTTGCGCCGTTCTACCCGTTCGTTGACCGTTTGTGGGGGCGTTGTAACTCACCGAAGGGCGGATTGAAACATCGAACCGCGGACATGATTGCGGATATAGAATCAGTGTGAGAGCTGATTTTCCACTGTGCCCCATGTCCCAACGTGCCCCACCTTCCCCTACACTCTAAAACTGTGGTCTGTAATTTATTGATAGTTCTTTGTGTGAAGCGCTATGATAATTATTGGTTCCATTACATTTGAACCCACGTACATTTGAACCCATGACAATTGCATCTGTATGCTATTGCACCTATGGAATTTTTTTTGTTTCACGGATAGTTAAACCCATACTAACCCTAACCCATGGGTTTTAGCACCCGCATATAAATTGAACCCGTGAAAATACGCATGGGTTCAAATGTACATGGGTTCAAATGTACGGTCACCATAATTATTATGTACCCTACCAAATATAAGATTCATTTCCGGTTGCTTATTTGAAATACACTCTAAAACTGTGGTCTGTAATTCATTGATAGTTCTTTGAAGTTCACGTTTAGCGAAAATCATTCCTGGTGAGGTACATAATAAATATTATTATCATAGCGCTTCACACAAAGAATTTTCAATAAATTGCAGACCACATTTTTATAGTGTATTTCAAATAAGCAACCAGACACAATGTTAACATGGCAGTGTAAAGGGCAGCATCACAATCCAAAATTTTGACGAGTGGTGTTTGGTGTGTTACAATCACAAGAGCTATCAATAAATTACAGACCACAGTTTCAAAGTGTGTTTCAAATAAGCAACCAGGCACAATGGTAACATGGCAGTGTAAAGGGCAGCATCACAATCCAAAATATTGACGAGTGGAGTGTTACAATTACAAAAACTATCAATAAATTACATACCACAGTTTTAAAGTGTCCCAAATAAATGATTGGTTGATTGATATTTCAAATAAGCAACCAGACTCAATGTTAACATGGCAGTGCAAACGGCAGCATCACAATCCAAAATATTGACGAGTGGAGTGTTACAATTAAAGCTTTTTTTTAATTAACAAGTCCACGCTTTAGTGGATATTAGCCCACCATGCTGAGGTGTTGGATATACCCGATAGCAATCACACACATTTGCCCTATTATTTTAGCCTAGGTTTCCATGCCCGGGCGGTTACGCTTTAGCCAAATTCGAGTACGAAAACGCGTGCGTGTCTTTGACTCGTGCAATCCATGTTGTTATTAGGAAATATCAAATTATAGTTTCAAACAATACTTTACGTCATTCCGAGGCATTCGGGCACATCAAACATGCTATTGGTCGCTTGATCTGTGGGCGTCATCAGTGATACAATGATGTAACTTTCAATAATGACTCACAATAACGTGTTATAGGATATCGCTTGAGGCGTAGTCTAACTCTAGTATAATAGATTGTTGCGCAAGATTGCAAAGGGAAGAAGTTGTCAATAAGACATGCACAACCAGCTGGACTTCGTCTTACTATAACGTGAAATGTTGAACGTGAAACTTCCGTATCGGGAATTCCCATTTCCTAGGCTGTTCCCGTACCACTCGGTATCTCTTGCCTTACCGTTAGCACCATCAGATTTACTTGCGTAACTCAGCATGTCAGTGGTGGATGCAACACCTTTGTCAGTAATATGTTCGAATTTATATGAGGTATCGCGACTTTGTTTGGCAAATTTAACAGGTAAGATTATTTAAGACGACTAGTTCTTTTCAAAAGTAAGTGCTTGTTAGTCATTGACGACGTATCTTTGATAGATTGCAAATACGTAGATATTTCCTGTTATCATTGTAACGGTGAACATTAATTTACAGCATAATAAGACATTCAATAGTTGTACCAAAACGTAACTGTTGCAAGCAGTTTAGTATTTTTAAGTTCCGGCTACTAGGTAGCTAAGCCAGAAGTGTAGGAGGTATAGTTTAATTATGCTTCGCTACGCAATGATTGCACAAATTTATATATACGTTCAGTTTTTGAATTTGTCGACTCTCGTTATGCACATCGTCCAATTTCTTGACCTGACCGCTCAGATTTGCACGACAACTAAATTAGTCCGAGTGTACAGTTGTAAAGTGGCAAAGTGACTATAAACCAAGGGAAGACACGGAGCGCAATGATGCATATCGGACGCCATTTTGTGTCCGGCGAATCAACAGGAACGGGGCAGCATCGGTTTGTTTTAGCTTCGTCAGGAGGTTTCGTTCGTCAATTTGTTTGGAGATTTGTTACTGTTTTGCATTTTATTCGAGTAATTTCAGTATTTTTCTTTTGCTATTTGCCTAGTGGAATAATACTGTAATCGTGCGGTTTCGTGAAAGTTGCGATAGTTATCTTATTATCATGAGTTATGCGATTTTGAAACCTCATATCTCACGAACTTTATATTATATTCAGATAAGTTTTATATTGTTTGAGAGACAATCTAGGACAGCGGTTCCCAACCGCCGGTCCGCGAAGCTTTTTTGCCGGTCCGCGAGAAATTTCATTTTGTTGTTTTTCTACCGTCTCAATCGCTTTACCGAAGACGAAGTTACCTTGGTTTATTTTTTCTTCTTTTTTTTATTATTATTTCTCCTCCGTCGTCATATTATTATTTGATAATTGCGGTATTAATGGCCCGGCGGCGTCATCAAAGTAATCTTGAGTAATCAAACTTTTCGCTTTTTCGGTTCCGATTCATCGCGAAAGCGCTTCGTCAAATCTAGCAAGATTCAGAAACATGAAAATCAGCATTACTGCATTTCTTGATTAATATTACCATCCAAATGAAAGGTTACGAATATTTTTCTGTTTCAACCAGAAAACTCTCAAGAACAGTATACAATTCCAGAGCTTCATCTTGACACCCAGCGAGATATGAACTTGTTGCGACTAGGGCTGGGCTTTTTCGAATACCTTGTGATTTCAGAATCGAATCAAATAATTTTTTCGAATCGAATCGAATCTCGAATATATACTGGGATATATATATTTGTAAGCGACTTTTCCATAGTAATTGGTCCTCTTAACAAATGAATTACTGAAGACATAGAATACATCACTCAAATAGATTACTGAGCGTTCACACACAGTAACAAATACGTTTTATCAATAACTCACTACAGAAAATAGTCATATGTTAGAATTGCGTTGAAAAAATATGATTTCAATGAAAAAAAAATTGGGGAATTCACCTCGACCATTGGCGAAAAGAAGAAAACAAGATGGCGGCGATTCGAAATTTAGCTCTGAACCGATTCTAATAATTTAGTATTCGATTCGAAATGCCCAGCTCTAGTTGCGACCCTGCAGGTGGTCACAAAGCGTGTAACAAAAGCATGGGCCGGTGAGATCTTTTCTGAGTTATGCACAGCAGGATTTTAAGCCTGGCGCCAAGTTAGCAACGACAGTGTAATATAAATTCATTTTGTTTGGTGCGTCGATTAACTGCTGAGGGATTGATATGATAAAACCTCTACTTTACAGTCCAGATTTATAAAATAATCATTGTCATAATTCATTCTTGAGCTCTCAAACTGTTGTCCGAATTTTCAACCAGTTACTTCTAGCTCAAATTAAAACGAAGCAAATTAATCGACTGTGAGCCGCTGCAGAGTTGCGTGTTGCAAAACCTTTATTAATGCCTCGTTTGCAATCCTGTATTGGAAACGGAACAATAGCAAAAGTCTTACTGGAATTGGTGGTAATTGTGTTTGTACATGATTTAGAATGTACATGTTTTTTATGTGAGATGTGTGCCTTTTTTACGAATAATGGGTGGCCAGCACTGCATTTTATTATGCAAATATATGGTATTATTTTATGTACTAACCATTTCAATTTTTGGCCGGCACATTATTTGATAGTTTTTCCTCATGTGAAATGTTTTGCCGGTCCGCGATTACATTTTGTTTAATTTTACCAGTCCGCCATGGTAGAAAGGTTGGGAACCACTGATAGGAGACTAATTATAATTATGAGATGGAGATAAAATCTCGCGATTATCGTACTAAAATCGGCCAAACTGAAAAGCGTGAAATTTTTTCGGAAAGCTTTTGAATTAAATAATAAAAACTACGATTTGTTCTTGATTTAACCTGATATGATATCGTCACATTTGCGGAGGGTAAAGAAAACTTTCGGATGGTATCATTAGATAGAATTTATCGTGCATCAGTAGGCTTGTATAAGCTATTTTATTCAATGTTCTCCAATTCTTCACATGTCCGCTGCGCCAACTTGAGTTAACAACGACGTTCTCTAATTACTTTGTTGTGCAATTATGTTGTAACGTAGCAGCCCCGCGTTCCTTATGAAAAACAGTTATCGCTTTCCCTCGCAAGTGTGAAACGTCATTAACCCAAAGGGATCAACTGAAGAATCTCCTCTTCGGACTCACCTGGGGGTGGGGGGGATTCTTTAGTTGGGGTGGAGATTCTTCAGTTGATCCCGTTTCCCAACTGAAGTATATCCCCCTCCCCCAACCCACCTAAGCCGATAATACCAGTTGATCCTTTATTTGACCTGGACTTATTATTTGTTAGGGTTAGGGTTAGATGAGATTCTTCAGTTGATCCACCTAAACCTAAATCATATGTTTAAAGCAGGTATTATTTGAACTCGTATTGTGATACCTGTTCACACCATGCCGAACGTTTAAAGCCTTAATGAATCATTCCAGAAGCTAATGAAATGCCCTTTTTTTCTTAAGGATTTTCTCAGTTTTCCTTGAATTAACGAGCTGTTGCAACAGTTGCTCCAAAAATTATAGAATGTAAAGATCGCATGGCTAGCACATTGTGCGGCCTAATGAATTTCATCGAGGCGTACAAGTTGTACTTTCTAACGTACAAGATTTAAAGACCAGTCGCCGCGACTGGTGTTACAGTGTTATTTCGATTCTTTTGCGTCGGATAACGTAAAATATTTGCTAGGTGATCTAGCGTCGCTATTATGTCTTCCACGTTTTTGTTGATAAAACTTAATTGTAATTTCAATGATATCTAACAGAGAAAAATTAGCCTTGATGTTTCTGGCGGAACCCTATAAAGACGCGGGATTCAAATTGTTTGTTTGTTTCTTTTAAAAGTGCCAATCCCAGTGAATGACCACGATCGTTACTAACTCTTTTTCGGTCCTACACACATGATAAAATATTGAATATTGATAGTTTTACCCAATATTCATGCCACCCATCCAAAAAAGCAATCGTATTTTCGCGCGAAGTATAAACTATATTTCGATCCAATATTAATACCTTTTATAATATATGTTCACCAGTTACTTTTCCGACAGATAAAGTTGACTGCTTGGAATTTAATTTCCCATCTTGCCACAATGTAGCTTTTGACATTTTGAAACGTTTTCTCAATTTGCGGGTAAATATTCACGCAAAGGACTGGTTTTCAAATATAATTATTAAAAAACAGTATGCTAGTGAAACTGCAGCAAGAGCTCAAGTCAAATAGATAATATATTATTTTATACACTCCAGATTATTAGATGTTCTTGTAAACTTGACATATGCCGTTATCCTTCATTCCATGCATATAGTATATTTTTATTGATATGACAATGTAAACCCTGTTGAAAATTTGCGATACGCATATTTTAATATCATGTCATGTACCGTACTAATAGTTGCAAGTTTCTGTAGTGTAATTTGTATTGTAGATCTGCCAGTTTGTTAAAATAAGCTCTGTGCAAGTAGCGATACTTACATCAGGAATTTTTATAATAGAAAGGGTATCTCTTTGTTTAATATTTTTGGTCTAATTGGGTGTTGATTTATGGAGTGAAGTTGGATAGCTTTAACTTTGTATATGCCGACCATACCGCCGAGCCGAGTTATCTGAGAAACATATGCAGCAAAATAATTTTTCAGAAGAAAGTTCAATCGTTTTGCCGCTGCGAAAGTTTGGTCCGAATTATTGAGCATTATTTTTTTTATTCAACTGTTCAACGATCGCAGGTTTCAATCAGTTAGGAATCTTATAGCGATAGATTTCTGGACACAAAATGGCGGGTGTGACGTCACACAATCGATTATAACGTTTATAGTCACTTTGTAAAGTGGTATATAAGTGCTCGCATCCAGTAGTTGATAGTATTGCAAAATCGAGCATTGTTGTAGTAGTGTACACGCTTATTGCTGTGCGACAGGATCTAATTACCCAATGCAGTGAATATTATTACGTACTTGTTTCGTTGAAAGTAATTTGATCGTTCAATGTTGAAACGGATATCACCTATGCTAAATTAACAATGACATTCGCTTCAATCATTTATTGTCAGACAATTATGTCGCTAGGAACTTAGTCATGTTCGTATTTTTAGTTTAGCTATTTTTTAATGTTGCTTTGTTATTTTCAGGTATCCATACGTGTCAATCCTAAATTATTGTGTTAATATACATATATCGGAGTATTGTCATTACCAGATACCATGTCGATATTTTCTACAGCAAGGCTTTGTTTTGGGAAAGGTAAATTTGTTTTATTTCTGGGCCATGTTTGGACTGGAATATTCGGAAAATATATAATTTTCAACTGTAGTTGTTTTATTCGATATTAGGGAGAACTTCGACAGAGCTCACTGCAAATTATCACAATTATGTGATAATAAATCATTTTTTGGTTATTATACTTGTTAAAACTAATTCGTACACGTGCCTAAAAGTATATATAGTTGGGTTGTACACATTATCCTAATATTCGATAGTCTAGTTTATCGGTACGTATATTGAGTAACATAAATTGTGAAATAGGACATATTTTAACCACTATACGTGATAAATGTATTCTTACACTTCTACCATTCTCTCACTACATAGGATTCCGCTACAACCAAGTACTTTTGAAAATCGATGTGAAAGAAATCACAGCGAGGCCACTCACCAAAAGAACCATCAAAACATGCAGCAGAAACAACAAAAAATTTAATGAACCGTTGCATGGAAGCGACCTGGCTCGTCCTGCAGGTGAGGAACAAACTTACATCAGCATTTTCATCTAACAACGCGGTCCTTTATTATATGGAAAGGTTTTGTAGTAACACTGTATTTTACCTGCCAAGTTATTAATTTCTAACCATACCACACCTATGTATATATTTATGTGAGGATACAATTGTCAATCGCATATGTTACCAATATCATATGTATATACAGCAGTCGTGTGTTTGAAATCGGAGCGTTGCCTTTTGTTCAATCATCGAAGCATTATACACTTTGCATTTGATAGAATTCAGTGTTTCCCAACCCCGAGTCCGCGGTCTCAAATGAGTCGGCGGAGCGTTCGAATGAGTCCGCAACGAGCCAGAAATTCTCTGCGAGACGCAAACGTTTTTGCGAAACTTAACCATCAGCCAAATCACAATTTACGTTATAATTTACATAAAACATAAAAAGCAAGTTTATTCACATAGCATCAATCAAGTCAATATTTACTGGATAATGAGTCGGGCTGGGCATATATTCGAACATTCAACTATCAGAATAGCAATTTACTATTCGAAAATTTGGTAACAGGTGACGCGACAGGTCACTTGCGCGTCGCCTATTCAAACGATTGGATTTCACAACTCACTTGCGGATTTCCGACAAAAACAAGAGTCGGCACATGCGTGGATAGATAGATACTTAAATGGTGTTTCTCGCAAGCTCGAACAACGAGGAATATTTTTTTTTTTCTGGTAGGTGTCAAGGGTGCCGGCAATACAAAATAATCAGAAATAAAACCAAGAACATCATGAGTTTTGGTTTATGATGGTCCGCGACCGATTAAAAACGCTTTTTTAGACATTGAAAATCGCATAATTTCGGGTGCTACCGTCGTATACGTATCAGCGCATGTTCTCTATAGGATTTTTTGCTTCACTGCCTCCACATTGGTGCGTACAGTACGAGCGCCGTAAGTGTTGTACGAACAGCTCAAGCTCAGATTTGTCGAAATCCCCAAAATACGAATCAAAACAAAATATAATCGGGCACTTTACCACGAATTTTTGTGTCCACGGATTGTCAAAGTAGTATTTATTGCTTTTATCTCGTCAACACAATCGCAGATTAAAATGATCACAATTAAATTAATATTAAAGCATGTCGATGAATATTTTTTTTCGTTGATTCACAAAGATACTTTAATTATAGTTTTATTAAGTACTAAATTAAGTTGTACTTTCTGGAAATTTATAGCAGATAGTAGGATTTTTCTAACGGCGTTAACAAATTCGCAAGATCGCAAAAAATATGTATTAAAACTAAATACGAGATAGCGATCGGAGACCGCCGACTTATCGATATTCCGCACGTTCAATATTTTACTAGACAATTTTTGTGGAGTACGATTTTTTCATGACTTATTCTCGTAAATTGTTCTTTATTGGTTTGCCACATTCTGAATAATTTATCCTGCTGAAACACACATGACTGGATTGTTTTGATCAGTTTTCAGCCAATACCCAATTTACCACCGAAAATACGAAGGATGGTTCCGATTATATCCGAATTGGCTTTATACAACGATTCCATTCAGGCGATGTCGAAGCGGCGTGTAACCAAAATACCTAAACGCTCAACATCGCAGACAGAGCAATGTTACGCACACACACACACAATATGATATGATGAATGCACATGCAAAATCTGCAGCAGATCCAATCTTACTTTCGTGAAATATCACGTGCATCTAACAGACAAATACCTGTCAACATACTTACCGATTAAAATCGATAAGTAATAATCGGGCAATATATTCTCACATTATTATGTTCGCAGATGCCGTGGCATTTTAAAGAAGTAATCAGGCTTGTCCATGGGTCATATTTTTCTGTCCCATTTCCATCTCATCCCATAGCAATTATGCCTGTCCCATCCCATGGGATTCCCATTGTAACACAATTCAATGAAAAAAAATTAGATTCAGCGTCTACTAAATAGGACAGCATGTACGAAGAAACATGCAAAACAACAAGATTTACGGACTTTGTTAACTTTATATTCATAAGTATTATACATGTGATCATCAGCCCCTTCAAGAAGTATATTGTCAATGCTGAATATATTTTTGCTTTTTAAAACTAACTAAAGAGCTATGCTCAAATACGTGGACACGAAATCCATAACGAAATGTTTTACCATCATTTCCCTGAAAATCATACGGTTTTCGTGTCCCATAGAAAATACAAATGTGTGCTGTTCCATCCCATCCCATGCGACGTTTCCCACGGACAAGTCTGGAAGTAATGCTTTCCTCCTGTCATAAGTCGATACAACCGCGAGTAGGGATTTGTTCAAAAAGAATTGTTTTAAATCAATTTTTTTTTTGCCTGTTTTGTTCAAAATGGCTGTACTATTTGATTTTTTGTATTAAATAGGTTGAAAAAAAATGGATGTAAAAACTTGCCAAGCGCTTCCTATTTTCAATTAATCTTTCAAAACGCCACAAATATCGATATAGACCTATGTACACCCTCTCGAGTTGTAGTTCAGTGGTTGGCGCAGTAAGACGCAGCCGATAAGCCAATATGTGAATGACCCTGCTGCGATGAAACCACCTTGCGAAAATTGAAATGCGATCGAATAAATGAGTTTGTGTAATCTTGAAAAGCTCTATCACTTCGACCATAAAAACAAAGTATGCTAATCATAAATTAACCGAACAGTATTAACCTTAATAATGCCATCATTTTATGAGAAAAATGTCAATACATGAACTCGAAATTCATATTATGGCGTCATAACAGATTAGTTGTGGCGTCTTTGCATCAGAGGACTCTTACAATTAACAAAAGCTAGGTTAGGGTGTCTCATCGTTTATATCAGTAGATTACCGCCGATATAAGCATATTCTTCATTATTGCAACCCACTCGTTTTGCCGAAGGACTGCACTCGATCTAATTGCTTATGTAGTAGGCTCGTGAGCATATTTTCATGATTTTTCTTACTCAAAACGTCCCTCTGATATCTCGGCTAAACATTCCGGGTATCTTATGACTTTGGTGGACGTGGCGATAAATGTAGGCAATAGAAGTAAAAGTCAAAATAAAAAATGTTACTCACATTTTTGAAATTATAATTCCGGCTGCGTGTTCAGCTGCCAGAATGTAATGTTTTGGCGTGGTTTCGCGGCGATCCAAGGGGTATTTCAATAAAAAATACAGAAAAAATTTCATTTAAAACAAGCCCTTGTTTTAAAACACGGTGTTTTTTTAGAATTGATAAAAAACAAACCCTAACCGCGAGTGAACACAAATAAATTAAAATAGAAAGACATTTCAAGTTCTTGTCGTTATCATGGATTGAATATTGTGCGACAGAAAAGGCCAGTTATACACTAAAAAAGTCGACTCTTTTAACAAAGGCGTAATTGCGGCGAATTTCCGATTTTGAAATTCGTTAAAATTTTGTTGTGTTTGGTTTTACCACTTCTTCACACAGAGTACGGTTGCAATAAACGCACGGTGAGTTCACAAAGGTGTTCGCCGGTGAGAAAATAGTCCGCGACCAAAAAGGTCGGGAAACACTGTGTTAGATAGAAAGTGGTTATGCTCTTTCGTTTACAAAATTCGTGCGCATAGCAGTTTTGTAGGACTAGTGGGTTTTTGTGATATCATAGAATGACTGTAGTTGTACACGGATACTCAAGTACCACGAGCAGTGGCGTATTTACGTAAAATGGCGCCCATGGCAAAGTCTGAAAATGGCGAGCCATGGCTGCCACACCCAAGAGACGCCACTGACCACGATGCCTAACTCTGCACGTATATATCATATCGTTAACCGCACATATCATGACGAGACGGCCGCGGAATGATCCTTGGCTCAAAACAAGTTATACATTTACTTATCTTTTGTTATACCTCTCTTGCCATATCCGAAACAAATAACCGATTCAATGTGAAAGCACAATATCACATCTCGTTAGCAAATTTATCTGCATCCTACGAAAATGAATTCGTGACGCTCCACAAATTAAACAGAATGTACCATGTGTAATCATAGCGCGCAATAAACTTGGTCTGAAGAGTTTGTCGCAAATATACTAGCTAAGGTCAAATAATAGTTAGTTTAAGAAATAATTCTAATGTCATCGCTGTTACTAACACATTCTTCGTAATAGAAATGGCCATTTTTATGGAGTACCATGGCATCATAAATTGGCTATTGCGGTATGTGCGAATCATCATTGTGAAAACATTTTTGTAACCGAAATTGCGCAACCATATACTATCAAAATGCAAAGTGTATAAAGGTACAATTGCTGTGATGCTTCGCTAATTGAACAAAAATTATCGCTGATATGATTTCAGAAATAAGGCTGTATATGTACATCATTCGAATGGCTGTATATGTATATGAGTAAGCGGCATATGTATATCTTTGGTTGTGTACATACATTTTGTTATCGATACCACTCGGAAGATGATGAAAATGTTGTATCATGACAAGTTGAATTTTTGTAATGATTCGCCTTGAAAATCTGTAAGAAATTCACGTTACGCTCGTCACAATATGTTACCAAGTTGAATTTGTGCATTCTTCCAACTTGTTATACATATATATAAATTCAATTTAAATTAATTTATAAAATTTAACTGTACAAATCACTTTATACTTTCTACTTTACTTTTATAAATTAACTTAAAATATTATCACCAGTGGTGGGATCCAGAGGTTTAAGATGTTATAGGCGACCGGAGCAAATACGCTACGTGCACCGCAGATATGACAACTAGCATTATAGATTAAATTTTTGTGCGTGTTATGTTAATTCAGCATATGTAGTGATATATATATACATGTTTTCTAAAATGAGGGAATCTGTTGTTGATTAGTTCGATCGGTGCGAAAGAGCATTTTGAATAATATCAGCACTGTTTACCCATCACTCGTTACGATGTGAATTGTGAATGAACTCGTTGCAGGTATCGCAAGTATGATGAGATTGCCAATTGCAACGAATACAGACGGCCTTGATGCTTGTTTTGTTGGGGTACCAATTGATCATGCAACATCCAACAGATCGGGAACGAGGTACAAACATACAACACTAGATTTTATCTTGCACAAAAATATTAGAAATCTCATTTTACAAAAAAAAGATAAAACTAGAAATAGTTTGTAAATTGTAACTTGAGTCATGATGAGTTTTGCTTTTGGTATTGTAACATTTACGCTATGAACTGTATCTAACGATCTTTTTATACCCAGATTTGGTCCCAGGCACATACGAGTCGAATCAGCAATCGTTCGCAAATATAATTACGAAACAAGAGCGGACCCATTTTCTTCTCTTCAGGTATGTATAGCTCAATTTATAAACTATGTTCGTTTATATTCATTTATTTATTAAAGAATCCGCGCTATTATTTTTTCAGGTCGCAGACATCGGTGACGTGAAAGTGAATCTTTTTCATTTGAAAAAATGTGTGGACGACATAAGAGAACAGTACAGAGAAATCATTAAAAATGGCTGCAGACCACTAACTTTAGGTAACTATGATACGTATAAAATGAAATTGCATACTCATTAATACTATATTGTTGCGAATATATTTTACATGTCTCTTATATTTAATACTAAATATTAAATGAGCTGTTTATTAGTGAAATATAGACTTGGGCTTCAATAATTAACCCGCATGGGAGCGGCTTCCTGGGTAATTATTAATCTTACAATTAACCTGCATATACACACAACATGGTCATGTTCAATCGTTTTTTAATAAATTCGTTTGTCCTGAATTTTTTTTAGGTGGAGATCATTTGATATCATACCCAATATTACAAGCGATAGGCGAGAAGTAAGTTAAAATATTATATGTTATTGTTTTTCATTCTTGTGTACTTTGTCTATCATTAGACGCTTCTATCACGCTTATGTAACATTGCGTCATCTGTGACTTTCGAAATCAAGTGGCACTTGATTTCAAAACTCAGCAAATATAAATTGCGTAATGCTGCAATCACATTGATATTTAGGGTTGCGTCATATTATTCTAGAATCTAGATGTCATTACCAACCATTCCTCAACATACCACGCAAGCTAAAACGCCAAGTGTCGAATAAAAACCAGAATGTCAATTTGAACTGATTTTTGCTTCGTCATTCGTTACACTGCACTTGCTTGGCAGTCCACCTCTTGTGTAGATGCACTTGGGAGAAATCAAGCATATTTCTAAGATTTGTTCTTATTTCGAGGGTCTTTGTCTTAGAAATTTTTTTTGTCCTTATTTCTGAGAGACGTCCCTATTTTGACAGGTGTCCTATTTTATGGGTAGAGGTTCTTATACCAGACACTTAGATTGGTCAATTCAAATGATTGATTAGCGAGAAATGATATCTTACAACCTCATTGATTGCTACATGCATTCATTACGAAATAACATCAAATTAATTGACACAATGACAAAACAGTAGTCTACCGGTCAAAATCAGTTCGTGTAACTTGAATCAAAATACAACTTAAAAGTGAGATGGAAAGGATCGTTTCTTAGAATAAAGAACTGCTGGAGCAAATCCTTTCTAGTGCGAAGTATGATTAGACACTGGCTGCACTGGCAATGAATATACATTTTGTTTATTATATTTCGATTTTTGTTATTCTATTTCTATATTTCCCTGATGTCCTTATTTTTGGGTTGATATCGATGGCAGCCCTGCCTATGAATGACATGTCTGTCTGTTGTAAAGCGCATTACGTCGATTTTCAAAGGAGTGCAAAGGGGAATTCGTAAACTAAAGCTGGCGCGAGTTATTGAATTGAAAATCAGCGCTTTTCAATTACACAGCTGGTTCGATATGCGCGTGGTAAGCATAAAATCTGGAATTGTTTCTTTGTGGTTTGCGTGCTAAAGGTTGATCGCTTGCACCGTCAAATTACTTTTCTTGCCAAGTAAACACAAAGTAGTTGTATATTGATAAATTCCGACACATTTGCACTCAAAAAAAAACACACACTATGATAAAATGACAAATATACATACGAACATATGAAACGTGATTTTGTTATACGCAGCAAGAGTAATATAGGCGCAAATTTACGCATGATGTGTCATCTCTACTGTTAAGACAAGGAAAAGGCAAAAAAGCAATGACAAACTTGTCGCACAACCGCAACTTGCATAAGCGCGATTGCGAGGAAGTTCTGATCATGCATGGGCCAAGGATAAACGAACACTACAAACAGAGGCAACTTTTTGTCGCTAGCGGGCCAAAATCAAGTGTTACAAATCTTGGCGGGCACATATTTTTTCGAAAAAGTTAAAAACTGAACGGGTGGCTGATGAACCACATTATTTATACAGATTAGAAATTGAAGTTCTAGACCAGGGTGGTCCAAGGTTGTCCGCTCTGCGGGCCACAAAATTAATTTTGCATTGTTCGCGGGCCACAATATGGCCAAGAATAGGTAAACAGTGCGATACGAAACAAACATTTTTATTGTGCAAACACATAGTTATCAGGCATAGACATTCTAGGCTAATAGAAGCCGCATTCTATTTTTAGTTTTCTCTGATGCCTATATTGTTAGCATATATTGCCGACCAAAAAGTTAGAAAACCAGATTAAAATTTAATTTTAGACTGACAAGCACATTATTTAACTTCGCTAGTTGCCTCAGCTAACCATAACACTAGTCAATTCACAATATTTTTGTACGCGGGCCGGATATGACCCGCAGGTGGCCGACAGCTGATCTAAAGTCTTACTTTGGTTTCCTGCAATGCTTATTATGTTTTGTGGTAGTTTTGTGGGCACCGATTACCCCGTTTTCTCGATGTCGCAATAGTAGTAGTTATTAACAAATTCTATTTCATATTAGAGATGTACCGATACCACTTTTGTCGCCGATACCGATACCGATCCGATACCAGCTAAAAACGCCGATGCCGATACGCCGATACTACAAAAAGGCCGATATTACCGATATTCCGATACCGATACTATGTAATTATTACTTAATTAGGTATGCTGTGTAGGGCAGACGGGTTAAAACAATGGTCTTTAAGCGTTGTTCATAGTACACATTATTTCAGATCGAAAAAAAAGATATATATATCACATAATATGAAATTAATGTTTGGTATCCATATGCTGTAACTGATTAAGATACATTGTACAGTAACGCTAGTAATCTCGGTGTTCAATTAGAAAACTCATAAGCCGGGATGTCCAATTTGAATTTAATGTTAATATCGCGAGCTTCGAATATCGTTATTCGTGTTTAATAGAATATCACCCACACATTCTAGCGCCGCCGTCCTACGTTCAAATTAAAAGCATTTTACAAATATTTAATTTAGTGGCTAATCGTAATCGTCGACGCAATAAGTCAAAGCCAACATGAAAGAATATCAATCAGCACCGACAAAAAGAAGACCCACCGATAACCGTTGAGGATGTTTTTTTACTTCACTATTTTATAATATTTTACAATTGTTATCATATATTTTGAGACAGTCTAGGGCTAGGCGGTCAAGTCAATATATCTATAAAGAAATCGTGTAGTTAAGCAGAATTAAAATTAATACCTGTGTAGTGGGATAATTGTGTCGGAATTTAGTTTATCGATGTCGACGGACTAAAACAGGGGTTCTCAAACTTTTGGTGTTGCGGAGCCCTTGAAAGGTTGAATATTATTCGCGGAGCCCCAAAATAAATTTTAAAATTGTTACTTTAAGATTATTATTCCCGAGCAAGTTAAAAGTACTTTATTTATTCTAAATGCTGAACCTTTTTTTAATAGGGTTAACACAAGTCATAAATAAATCTAAATTTTATACTAAAGCTGTAAATTTGACACTTGACGAACATATTAATAAATTAGGGATCGAATCTTTTCTTTTTTGACATTTTTGGAAGACTTAATTAAAAGGCCGTTAGTAACGTGCGCTATTTCATTTTGTTACAATCGCCGATTTTTTCCGTCAGCATGGCGTGTTTTAAACATCTTTACGCCGCTGTTTATTCTCCCTAAATCAAAAATTTCCCTCGGCATATACATGTATTGTTACACAATGACGACGTTAATTGCTTTTTTGTTCTCGTGGGGAATTATGAGTTCAATGTGAAAAACATGTTACCATATTATAGTCATCGGCGACAAAATGCCAAAAATAATAATCAATAAAAAAGGTAAATCCACAACTCAAATTTCTTGATTGAAAAGCGGCATTCTAAAATATTTAAACTGAAACTTAAAATGGAAGATCACACTTTGGTTTCAGCAGACTCACCTCAGATTGAAAACGCTTCTATAGACATTGTAAATCACAAAATTTGGTGTTATGTTAGGTTTTCATCGTAGTAGCTGCGAAATCGAAACACAGTCAATTGTGCGCGCGATTTACCTTTTTTTTTCATTCTGAAACTACCGACGCAGCCGCACGCAATCAATGGTGCGCGCGATCCGCGATGTACCTTTTTTCATTCTGAAACTACCGACGGAGCTGAATGCAATAAAATAATTTTCAATTGTTCGTATTTTCCCCAGACATTGTGATTTTTTGAACAGCGATATCTTGCTTAAAAATAATCTCAAGTGCGAAAGAACAAATCAAGTTTGACAAATACCAAGATCGCAAAAATACGACACCAATTTATTTATAGTTGGCAGTTTATCACATATTTCATGTTATTTTAGAATAGTATTCTTTCATTTTAGTAATCCTAATAGTAATCTCGAATCAAACGTGAGTAACGATGAGCACAACTACATTATACCGACGAGACACGTCAAATGCTCCATCGGTCTTGGATTGAATATTTTACGCAACAGAAATCTCGTTATCCGTTTTTTTAATCGCGAAAAATGTTGCGCGGAAATTTCCGATTCCAATTTTGAACCATCTCCCTCTTGAGAATCCTGGCTGCGCTACTGCTAATAAATAATGTCATTTTTTAATTCCGGCCCTTTACCATATTTCGAGGCTATATTGTTGTCAGATGTTATCAAAGCTGTTATTGCTTCTTTGAACAGTTACAAAATTTTGAGTCAGTATTTTGAAGAGTAATCGAATAGCTCGCGGAGCCCCTGGGTTTCTCTCGCGGAGCCCTGGTGCTCCGTACGGAGCACTTTGAGAACCTATGGACTAAATGACACTCGTACTTGACGACAAACAGTCAGAATTTATACCCGTGCCGAAAGTCCATGTGCCGTTAATAAGGAAGGACCCCAATTCCACTGTATGATTTAAAACTGGGCGCCTAGTTGCTTTTTGTTATGTGCTGTGATATATTTCTTCAGAAAAACTATGTAATATTAAAAATGTCAATATAAAAATTTGAAAGCGAAAATAGCCAAATTAGTTGAGCTAGTTTAGCTGATAAATAGCTAAAAACACGTGAATCCTATTCTCTCGCAGGGGTGGGAACATGTATGACTCATAGCTCACGATCTCTCCAGACAAAAATAAATTAAAAAGTAGTATTACAACTTATCTTTTAAAACATTCTGGACCATATCAAAAAGGTAGATATATCGGTAATATCGGCCTTAATCTAACCGATACCGATACATGGCCGATACCGAAAAAATGGCCGATACCGATACATCGGTACATCTCTATTTCATATTCGAAACGGAACTCATGGTTACGCTTACTCATTGTTTAAATTGCTTTGTTCGCAAAAGGAGAACGAGTCATCCACGTTTCTAAGACAAAATAAGCACGCAACTCCAAAATATGCACTTTTCTTAGAAATGAGCTCATCGTTACTTTATAAGACGCGGTCTAGAAAGTAAGCACAAATCTTAGAAATAGCACGATATGGCAATCCTGATTATGTCTGATGTAAAGCGCATTATGTCGATTTTCAAACGAGTGCAAGTGGGAATTCGTAAACTAAAGCTGGCGCGTGTTATTGAATTGAAAATCAGCGCTTGTCAATTACACAGCTGCCTCCATATGCGCGTAGTAAGCAAAAAAGTCTGGAATTGTTTCCTTGTGTTTTGCGTGCTAAAAGTTGATCGCTTGCACCGTCAAATTACTTTTCTTGCCAAGTAAACACAAAGTAGTTGTATATTGATAAATTCCAACACATTTGCACTCAAAAAGAAAATCACACTATGATAAAATGACAAATATACATACGAACATATGAAATAAGATTTTGTTATACGCAGCAAGATTAATATAGGCGCAAATTTACACATGATATCACATGTCATCTCTACTGTCAAGGAAAAGACAAAAAAACAATGACAAACTTGGTTACGCTTCTCATTGTTTAAATTGCTTTGTACGCAAAAGAAGAACGAGTCATCCAAGTTTCCAAGACAAAATAAACACGCAACTCAAAAATAAGCACTTTTCTTAGAAATAAGTACATCGTTACATTATAAGACGCGGTCTAGAAAATAAGCACAAATCTTAGAAATAAGCACGATATGGCAACTCTGCCTATAAGGCATCGAAATAGCTCTCGATGGCGAACGCTATTCAGCATATTCATCTTTATTCCAAACTAAATTTAAAATTCAATTTTTTTTAATCTTGGAAGTTTTTTTTCTTTATCATGGGGACCCAAACGAAATTTTACTTGCCATGTCATACACATTCGCTTTAAACAAGACCGTAGGCAAGCAACCAGTAATCGTTTTTGGCAGTTTGAATTTGCGTGTTAGGAATGAGTGAATTTGAATTAATATTCAGGTGAATATTTAAAGTAGGTTATGTCATCGATTCATTTTAATATCCCAATTAATTTCTACAATTATTCTAATTTATGAACTTTTTTCAGATATGGTCCAGTAGCCATGGTACACATCGACGCACATTCGGACTGCGCTGACTCGTTTGGCGGAGAAAAATTAGCTCATGGTACCCCCTTTAAAAGAGCAATGGACGAAAATTTGTTAGATTGCAAAAAAGTCGTCCAAATCGGGATTCGCGGTTCAGTGGGGGCTGGAATGGACGATTATGATTATCAATTGCAAAAAGTTAGTTTCAGTTACCCAAAGTATTTTTCAGTAATTTTTCAAATATACTCTGAGATACACAACACTCTAGCGTGCCATCCAACACAACATTTCTATCATTGGCAATTGGTATTAGGTCATGTCAGCTAGTTTCGTTGTACAACTGAGCTATATGTAGACAGTAGTGGAATTGAAATTTGAAATCAATATTCATTTTATTCTTTTTCCTACTAATGCGGAATGGTTGCTATAATTTATGAAATTCATTTAAAAATTATAAAAAACATAATGAAATACTCATTATTTGTAATATTATTTTACTTCAGGGATTCAGAATAGTTCATGCAAAAGAATGTTGGTTTAAGTCGATGAAACCTCTTATGGCTGAAATCAGAGAGACCATTGGAGATACTCCCACATATTTGAGGTAATGTATGAAAAAACTGCAAAATAATTTGCGAAAAATTTCGAATTCTCCCACAAACTTCAAGATATTTGAAAAGATATGAACGTTTTTTATTGAATGCATGCGACAAGCCTCCATTGTACTATTTACAAAGAATATCGAGGTTTGGATAAAAAACAAGAGATTATTATTATCACTATCATCTATTGGAAATTTGAAAATGTTTAGCCCATTCTTTTCTCCCAGTAGCGACAACAACGTAAATATATACCACCATCGCTAACATTAATTTAGTTTAGTAAAAGAATCAATAAGCCCCTTTCATGCCCAATATCTTGTTTTGCAGACTCTTTTTGCAAGCAAACGTTTTGTGTAGTTTTCGAATACCATATTACTATTTTTGCTTCGATAAAATGTGGCTTATGCATCGTTCACAAAATTGTTACGATAACCAATTATAATATTCCTATTATGTGTAGAAACTGAAAGTAAACTAACAATCCTTTCTACAGTTTTGATATAGACGGTCTTGATCCAAGTTTTGCTCCAGGAACTGGTACACCAGAAATAGGGGGTCTGACGTCACACCAGGGCATGGAAATTATACAGGGTTGTCGTGGACTCAACATAGTCGGTGCAGATTTGGTTGAAGTCTCTCCGCCCTACGATACAACAGGTAGTAGCATTGGACTTTTCAGTAATGATTCAGTAATGATTCTATATGTGGTTCTGGTGGCGTGTTGTGCATATGATATATATATGATGGCAGACTATGTATATATATGGTACATGTAAGAGGTTTACCAGATAACATCCTGGTAATATCAAAGCGTTGAAGGTGACAAACAATTTTCAGTGTATTAATTTTTCCATTAATATTTTTTGTTTTATCTACAGTTTCTCGAGTTTTACGTATTTTATTATATCTCTGTGGTTGTAGGAGTGTGTGTGAATTGAGTAAATATTTTAGGTGAGCGAACACGAACCACTCCTTGTGACAAAACCCTTCAATCTAAATTTTGTACGCTATAAACTTTAATTAAGGTTTTGTTTTCTCTCCTGACTCTACAATCAGTTTTTATTTAGTTGTTTTTATCAACTACTTCATCGTCTGTTATGCTGATTATGGAGTCGAAATAAACTTGGAAGGTCTCGAGTTCGTGAATTGGCTTGTCTATAGATAAATCCAACATTTTACCCATACAGTGAAATATTACAATATCTGATTTTTGAAAAAGAACATGTGTTTTAAAACTGTTCATCTATATTCTCGAAATTTTGATAAAAGATTATGCCGCAGTTGTCAGTTTATTTATTTTTACGGGTTATCTTCAAATCACATGATCTACTAACGCTATCTCTCTTGTTTGCCTTGGAATTAGATATATAGATTAAACTCATGAATCGTATTCATATGATTCAAATTGTGAGAGCTGCCATTATTGATGGAAATCTCGCTTATTGGACTAATAGTGTTTTCATTTTTTTTTTCAGGAACTACTGCACTCACCGCCGCTAACCTTCTGTTTGAAATGCTTTGCGTACTTCCCGGAGTTAAATACCACGACTGAAAGTTTTGTCATGACGAGCAAAACCGACAAAGTTAATTCTGTCAGACCACAAGCCCTTTACATGTGATTTGTCTGTTTGCAATATAATTTGGTTGAAATTATACAATATGAATTTAATGGCACTGGAAAGTTCGTCTAATAACAAGACTTCAATTTTTTAAAACTGGTTCCGAGGAATTGTGCAGCTTATTGCGACTTTCTGTTATATATATATATTTCATTATTTATTGAGAAAAATCGCTGGTTTGGATAGTATTTTTTCCCTAAATTTTCTATTTTAAGCACGATTTGATGCAGTTTATGATTTTGGGCGCTTGTGACTAAACTTGCCCCAATCAATCCCTCATATATATAATTATACAATGCCATTTTTCGACTAGATGCACGTGATATGTAGTAAAGTTTTTTTTACAATTGTACAACAATTTTCTCGCTTTTTTATGATGTATGATCCGAATGGAGTCGTGAACAGATCTCCATGTCTTCTTCGACAGTTTGTAACTTTTGCTAGGAAAATCCGTTTTGCTAAGATACATATTTCATATGCTTGCTTGCATCACATTTGCTAATAACAGTATATTAATTCTGACCCTGTACGCGCTATCAAGCTCAGTTGTTGGTTCGCACCACCGTCTGGTGCGTTTACACTTGACAATTATAGATTTGAAGACCAAACATGCCATTTTTTTGCATTTCAATTCAACTAATATGGCGGGGATCGACAGATAAAGATCGTCTTTGGCTCATTGTCTATCTGTTTCGGATGTACGTAATTAAATGAACTAGCAAAAATTCATAAGAAGGATTCGGAAAGTGAGGTTCTCAGAATCACAAATCTAATACTAGAGGAAAAACGAAAGCATTGGAAAAAATAAGTTGAATAGCCATGAAAGTGAAATACTAGCAGTTAAGTGTCGACCGAGTTTATTGTTTGCTTGAATGGAAAAGTGTATTTATTTCGAAAATGGCAGGTTCACGTCTCGTGCGATGGTTGCTTCTTGCGCATAAACCTTGCCTCGCCTTCGATTGCTGCAACACGTTTAGATCTTGCTTCTCCGACAAGAACTGAGAGAAGCATGTCAGATGTTGCGAAAACGTGGTCGCCAGGTGGTATAACTTTTGAATGTCTTCGACCACTCTTTTTAGGCTCGGTATCGACCATGATTTGAGTGGCTAGAAATTGAGCCACCTGGTCCATGACGTCCATCTGCATCTCAGTGGCCATTTTGTACACGTCGTGCTCTTTATTATTGTACATTATCGCGTTTTGGAACATAAGCATTAGGTCACGTTGGAATTCACTGGTAGTCTGAATAATACCGATTTCGATGTTCTTTTTGATGGTGGATAAATCTGTGGTTCTATAAACAGTGGTTGAATAATTAGGTGCAATGTCGTCTGTAACCGGTTGCATAAACAAACTCGCGTATCTGTGACTAACAATCTCTTTCCATAATATCATAATCGACTTTTTCCAGGCTTTCCAGTTGGCGCTTTCATCGGCATCGTATTCGATGTCACGATAAGCTTCCGTGACATCTGTATCGGATGCAGCCGCGACAGTTTCTGTCGGCTTAGCTGAAGATTTCTCTGGTTCTGTCTTACTCTGTTGATCTACTTCCATGTCGTCTGGTACTTCATTACAAATTGATTCATTTTCTTCGATCAATTCCGCATACGAAAAATCATCAATCGCGGAGTTGGGGTCGGCACTTTGATCATCGTTCGTCACGCCATCGACTAAACTGCTGCGTGATTTTTCCAATCCTACAGTTAAATTTATATCAATCGATTCCACTGTAAAAACTGCTTTTGCGTTGTCCTTATTATCAGTCGTGTTTTTGTTTCTAACCTCATATTCTTCGGCATCACTTGTCGGAGCATCTTTCTTTTTTGCGACCTTCTCTGCTCTGGTTTCGGTATATTCAATCACTGGCTCTCCTGAATCAATCATATTCGGCTTGTTTTCGATTGGAATACCTGCATCACCAAATACCGGTGTACCTTTAGAGTCGCAACTTGATTCACAGCTGTCAACCAGAGTACTTTCTGATGATACAGCATCTTCTTCAAATATCACATTCTCACTGTTTTCATTGAATTTGCTTTCATGTTCGATTACATATGAATCCTTAGTTAATTCCAGAGCTTCGCTTTCAAGTTGCGTTGGAGAAGACTCCTGTAACTTTTCAATTTGAAGACGTACTTCTTCCGCAATCTCCTGATCAACTGTTTCAGCATCTGTATTATTAACAAAATCCGTATTAACCTGACCACTTTCGTTCTCCTCTTTCAGGACATCGGAGTCATTTAGACTATTTTCGTAATCATTCAGTAAATTGTCTAGCTTGTCGTCAAGCGCGCCCGAATCAAGAAGTTGAATTTGCTTTTCAAGTTCCAAGTATTCATTGTCCTCTCTCAGAAGCTGTGTATTCAATTCATCGATTCTAAGATCTGTAAGTCGAGATACTATAATCTCTTCCGGTGATTTGGCAAATGCTGCAGTGTTGTTGTTAACTTCCCCAAACTTTTGTAGCAAAGCATTGTATTGCTCTGCGCATTTCTCAGGTCTGAACCATTCGCAGGTTTTTCCGGGTTCAGCGAACTGCTCCAGTAATCGTCCAACACCCAACCATTGCTGCTCTCCACTACGAAGAACGTACGAAGCTATTGCTAACTGTTCCTTTGTAGACCAACTGCCTTCAGCCCCCATTGCTTTGAGTTTGAGCTTCCGGCACAGCTTTTTTGTTTACAAATAAAGCAATCTTGAAGCAAAATATATAATTAACAATCAGTGCATACAAACAAATCATGCGATGTTATCAACAAGCATGAGTGCAAATGTTTACGGTAATTACGCAAATCTCCGTTACAGAAGAAAACTTCAACGCACCATTTGTGCGAAAAGCGCTTGGATATCGTTAAGGAAAAAAAAAAATGATTGCTCTTTCTGTTTCCTTGTGTAGGTGATAATAGGGAGTCAGAATAGGTATTCAAATAACACAGTGATGGGTTATTGGGGGGAGTTACAGAAATTCTAATTACATAATTTAAAATTGTGAAGACTCTTGAATATTACTAATAATATTAATATTCTTTTTTATTTTAATTTTATACCAAATCGATCATACACCGCCCAGAATATCAAACTTCCATTTGCTGCTCTAAAAAAATACACCTAGGGTAGAGAGCGTGTCTTGGCACTTCCCGCGAATTTCTGTTCCTTTATTTATTCGGTTTTGTTTATCATGTTTTCTTTTTATGTTATAAAAACTGGTAATTTATTAGCTTCGACCAGAATGACAAAATTGCATGGCAAATTACATTACCCTATTCGACGTTTGGCGCACCGTGATAAGAGCTCGCCACACTCTTTCCATCAAATAGGATTGTGTGATTTCTTTCTAGGGAGGTGACGAATCCGGTATTAGCGATTCGGCAAATCCAAGTAATAGGCGACGGTTTCTAGTTGAATCTGATGAGTCCCAACGTCATAATATGAACGCAAAAAGCACTTTATGATTGTATTGGAACAATGTGCTCATGAACTTAAGTCGTATATTGCCTGGATGCAAAGCAGGTAGCTGCTAAGCAATTTTAGAAAAATATTTTTCCTCTTATATTTGGTCACAATACAAAAACGAATGTCGGTCTATCCTATTGTTGTTTTGGATGTAAGCTGTCTCTCATGCCAATCGACTTTTATTCTGAGCGTTTATTTAGCCCATAAAAATAACGACAAAGTTCTGAAATTCTTACATGCGAATATGACAAAACACAATTTCAATACGTCCCGTAGACTTACGTGCTTTACAGTAGACTTCAGATGGATTCATTTTATACTTATTTTGTGTTTTAATAACACGATATTAAATGCCTTTTGTCAGACCTGAACTTATACGTGCTTGTGATAAAACATTTCTGCGAGATACGAAATCTCAAATGCATTGCACCGGCACGTACTTTTTTGGTTCACGTATCGGGGACTTGCTGTCGATGGGTGGTTAATGTAGCCGCTCTCTCCACCACCGAGGTCTAAGCATTCATTCCAGGGGTCGGCGAGCCCAAATTGAGGGTTGTAAGTTTTAGCGGGCCGCACATATTTCTAGGAAGGTAAAAAACGAAAAAATGGCCGCTGAATCACAACAACTCGCGAAATCAACTCATTCGTCTAACTAACAGAATAAAAAATTACAGATGACATTTAATGTGACACCTTTTGGTGCATCACGTTTGGTAGCTTTTCGACAACAGGCGACTTGTTCTTTGTAATGTTCATTTCGAAAATAATTGTTCGCACACGTACGTACGTACAAACATCGATGTGAATTTTTTTTGCATAGTTTATCAAATTTAGATAGTATTTTTTCAAAAAGATACAGAAGTATGTGCACCAGGATGGCGCACAACCTGAACATAGTATGTGTACCAGGTGGGGTTTCAGGTTGTGCGTTGTCTTGGTGCACATACTTCGGGTGCGCCAAATCAAGCAGCGATACATCTCTCGAATTGAATGTTGATTTTATTTCCTTATTGCATTGAATATTTACTGCGTCATTGAACACGCTGCACTCAGCATCAACTTTTCTGCGTTTTGCTGCCATTTGTCTAATTATAATTAAATTATAAGCTCATTAAACGAGTAGCTGTTTACGAAATTGTTAAGTTATAATATAATTTAGACTGCACGTGTCTCACAATAAATTATGTTACGTAAAAAATATAATCGCTATAATTCAGTGAATCGTTCGGGCCGGATTATTTTACCCCGCGGGCCGTAGGTTGCCGACCCCTGATCTATTCGTAAGACGGGTTATAGTATGACATTTGATGGCCACCCCCACCACCACCGAGATTTAAGCATCTATTCGGAAGATGGGTTACGGTCTTGCATTTGGTCTTAACAATCAACCTGTATTAACAACATAGATGAGCCTCTTCATAAATACATTCGAAATTTATTTCACTAAAATGCTCAAAAAAAAAAAATAACACCCAATTATCATATTTGAAATATGGTACAGACATTGAAATATTAGGCACTACGATTACATATAGAAGGTTGCTTGTTGAAAGATCATTTATTGCAATTGGGGATGCCACTTACAGGTTTAAAATAAACACAATAAACTAATTTCCTTGTTTGTTACATAACCTTTGACAGCAAGCATATTTAAGACACTTTTGCAGATAGTATGGTTACTCAATGGTATATGAATGTCGAAAAGACCATTTCTCCCGATACATAGCAGAAATGCAGGAAGATATTATAGATAAATAGAAAACTGATTGGCTATCTGAAAAATCATCAAATACTATTTCATTACAGTTACTTGAAATATGATATTTCAAATCCGTAATTTACAATTCAAATTAATATAGTATTATGAAATTTGGTAGACGTATGACTGACTGATACTGAATAGTCCTGTAAAGAGTTGAGTCGAAATATTTATATTAATTCATAAAAAGAGGTGATTGAATGAGGCAATTCCAATTTGCTGTAAATTCTTGCTAAAGGTTATTTCTATGCATTATTATACATTTTCCAGAAACGTTACCATAAGAGTTAAATATTAAGTAGAAGAATGTATGATAGCATTGTCACCAAAGCAATTTTTGTTGTTTTTGTGTAATAAAAGCGCATTGAGCAAGCAAAGTATCCGATAATCTGCTTTGATAAATAAATGTTTCAAGAATAGAATTCATAACCATAAATTGTTGAGACACATTTGTGTAATGCAACAGAAATAAACAACCAGATAAATAAATTGTTTGTTAACGTGTTTCATGCGGCAGAACAAAGAACAGAATATAATTATAAGAGACTGGAAAAACAGCAAAGATCATGCAAAATGATAAAAATAAATTCTGGAATTATACTACATGTTCATTGCTTACATAAACCAACTAAAATATTGATTGAATGTGTAAATGATCTCTTTTTTAAACGAAACCCAATGATGAAATCAGCCATATAAAGTTATTTATTCCCTGTCGGTTAATATTTTGGGAATAATATTAGGTTGATGACATCAACGATTCGGGACAAATATACGCCTGAGGAGTCGTAAGCAGTAACTGTATATTTAGGTCTATACTCATGACAGAGATGTCAGAAGATAGTGGTTAACACCAAACTTTATAAGTCAACACTATTATATTATATTAGCTATCGATGGAGGTTAAGGGACTCCAATGAGCGAAATTTATTGGTAATATGATTATTTTAAACTATTTTTTCTTAAAAGTGAATAGGAAAAAACAACAACAGTCAGGCTAATTTGCAATTGGGCCAAAAACATTCAATATCGCTGATTTTAACTTTGCACTGCTACAGCTCTTGCTAGTCTAGTTATAAAAGGGAATATTTTCTTAGATATAGTAGTGTGGTATATATTGTGTGTGTAAATACTTTGCTAATCACATCCATTCGTCCTTTTTACCTTTTCAAATGGGCTCCAAACAGTGTTATAAAAACCAGTATTTAACTCATAAAGACAAAAAGATATAGGCATAAATCAAGGGAAAATTGGAAATTTATATTATTATAATGCTAACGACATATTTCTGGCAAATCATTATCAGTTATCAACATTGACTAATTCACAAGTAAGTAAATCAAAGAAACTATCACTAATTATAAGATTATTTTAGCCAGAATTACGAAATATGCAATAAATCTAGCTAGTTATAGTTGCAACTGATTGTTACCCTGGGATTAAATGGAATCGAATATCAGTTATGCTAAAAATGATACCATAAGTATGGTGTGTGTGTGGCACCCAAATAAATAATAGCATACGTGTGTGACACTCAAATATTTTATATTTTTTACAAACAGGAGCCACACAACATGAATACTAGAAGCTTGGTCTATATCCTATGTTAACGATGTATGTAAAAACTAAATATATTATCTGATTGAATCAACCCAAGCTTAGACAATGAACAAAGCAACCCGGTTAATTTTCTTTTTCAAATCTTAACTTTATTTCTAATTTGGCAAATAAATCAGTAATTCATTTTAATAGCTTTTTTACTCCAAAATTGTATGAAAGACAAACTAAAAATAATTGTAAGGTTTAAAATTTTAAACATGGCGTCCGTTGTTCGATAAATTTCCTGAAAATTTTCTAAATATTTGTAACTAAAAATCCCATGCATTAAAACAAAATTTTTAATATATACCTATATAATTATAAATAAAAATTGCGATGATTTGTATATTAATATACAATGTTTTGTTGTCTTCATAGTACAAAATGAAAAGCACCATAGTTTCACGTGCTTCATTCCACAAATGTTTTCTTGAAGCTTCAAACAAAACTCGAAATTGAAAATTTATCACCCACTTGCATGTCTGGGTTCCGCTTTCAAAGCAAAATCAAGTTATTATGTCAATTCTTATTACTCGAATGTGTGTCAGTGCCACCAAGAAAGAGTCCATTTGAAAAACGGGCAAACGCTGCTATATTTCAGGTCCAAGTTGTTTGTAGTAATCAATCTCCGCTAATCAATTTTGACGTACATGTATATCTTTCGTACAAACAAGCTTGTACCAAGATAACCGAGGGATCCTGTTGAAAACAACAATAATAACAAAATATAGGGTACGACCAAGCAACTTGACTATATATTATATGCTTATTAGGTATTACTGATATTTTTTCACTTATTTAGTAATATACACATAAGCTTTTCAAAATGTACAGAAGCACGAGTACAAGTTACAAATAACGCAAGCTAATGTTTCGTTGAAAATTGAATAACAAATGCAGACAAATTTTCCATGCGTAGTGGTGGAAGAATGAGAGATTAAAAATAGGCCAAGGAAGGCATATGTAAAAAAAAAAAATTGGGAACCATTGCGCTAGGCCTGTAAAAAAAAAATGGGAACCATAGCGCCAGGCCACCGGTTCTCAAACACAGAAACGTTTTCAGATGGGCCTATTACAAACCTATTTAAAATTGCTAGAGTTATTGATAAATTTAGTCAAATGGGTGGTAGTATAATGAATGACGATACTGTTTTTTGTTACAGGTTGGCATTCTAATTATTTAAGTGAGAGTGTCTATTTTTGCGAAAAGAATTTTTCTTCCAGGTTTTCCTTTGCCCTAAAAATTTTTTAGGCCTCAAAAGAAAAAAGGTTGAGAACCCCTGTGGTAGGCCATTGTACCCACTAACAACAAACAGTCTCATTCTCAAGATATTGGGAATTAGAAGATAAATGGAACTTCAAAATGAAAGTTTAAAGCAAAAGAATCCTAATATCGAAAAGGCCTGCAGAAGACAAATCTTTTATAACCAATAAAATTTATCAGTTCACGACTTCAAAAAAAAAAACATTAAGTATTACTCACCGCACATCATTCCCATAGCAATACTAAACACAGCCATATATCCGAAGTAGTAGACAGTTTGAAACAAACCATACATTCTAGAATTGAAATAAACGTTGTGATAAAAGGGAATAGATGATTAATTTATTTTAAACAAGGAGGACGCAGAAAATTTTAGTTGCCACCAAATAATTAGAATGAGGAACAAACTAAATTATTCATTATTTCAAACATATAATCAAGCAAATAATATTTTTCTACAATGTCGATTACATGTGACATGTACATAGTGTAAATACCATTGTCTTAGCCTTGGTAGAAAATGAACATTACGGTATCTAATAAATAAAATTACCAACTGAATATGTATAGAATACAATTTCAAAATTCCTGTTTATCAGTTTGTGCACATGGAATGGTAGCAAAACTTGGATTACCGAGGTAATTCTTAGCTAATATAAATGGAAATGATCCTGACAGTCAGTATAATGAGAAATTTACTTACTTTGTTTTAAAGAAAAAGTAGTAGAAAGAATAAACATAGACATATACTGCTGTCGAACTTGCTGCACTGAAACTTGTCCATTGCCTGCACAATTGTAAAAAAATAAATAAGAATAAATTTCGGGGTTTTGCTTTCGTAATCTATATCTAATTTATATAGACATGAGTGTGGCAAATAAAATGGCTTGAAAAATAAGGTAATGAATGGAGCAGATAAAAGGCAATCTGCTATCACTATCAATACAAATAAAATATCTATCCAGGGTAATAAACATAAAAAAATAAAAGGACCTAAACCTAATCCTTGAACAATTAAGCGATAAATAGCATTGCAGGTACAAGCCTATTAGAAAATGAGATTATTCCGATCAATCATGCTTCAATGACTCCTGCTGGTCAAAAACTGTCATTATTTTTAAGTAGCCCTGACAGTGACACTAAAAAAAGGCTAGAATCTGAAAGCATCTGATTCAGTTAAAAAAGAGTTGACATTAAAATCTTCCAAATTTAGGTTCTTACCATCTATAGTCTTCTGCGTTGAGTAGGAAATAAGTGCATACGATTGTCACACATACAGTGACAATAGCAAGAATGGCGAGAACAAGAAGTGTGAATCCATACACATAGTAGATTTTGTATGCCCAGAATGATGTGAATATAAAATACCTAAAATAAAAATATTCAAGAGATTGGTAAAAAAAAGAGAATGTGAAGTCACGATGAAATTAACAAGATAGCAATATTCAAATACATGGACGCGACACAAATTTAATTTAATCAAGACATAACAATTTAAACATTGTTGCTACTTACATTTCAATAAAAATTGATCCAAAAGGCAAAATTCCACCCAAAGCAGCTATGACAGGGGGTTCCATGAACCATTTTTTCTCTGGGATGGGTCTTGGAACTGCGTTGATCCTGCATGGATGATTTGGGGCTCCAGATATATTCCTTCCAAGGATTGTACCAACCAGACTTAGTGGCATTATAACAAATAATATGATACAAGCCATTGCCATCTGAAATCAAGAGTTTTTCATCGATATTGGTAAAAAATAAAATGGATACTGGTAGCTGTAGAAGTATAAATACTGTTCATCACAGATTTCTGAAAAAAAATCTATGCAATTTGGAATATATATATTCTAATTGACAATGTTCAAATACATTCAAAATTAGTTATATTTGATATATGGTTGTTAATTCTTGATTTTAGGAAGAATTCGGAATATTTAGGAATTTGATATCTCATGGACATGAGACAAAAAAAAATATTTCAATTTTTGACACAGTAACATAAGTAAAATTTATCAAAACAATATTAATCTCTACGATTCTGCATTACTAAATTAAATTTTTATGAATGTGGTCTGACGAAAGTTTTCTGTGCAACATGACCAATGTCAGAATATATATTCCATATTCGAAAATATTACTCCAGAATGTATTGGGATTTGGGAATAGTAAATTATTCGGTTTTAGTCATCCCTGATTTTAGTTACACGTATAGATGAAAATAGAATACTCAGCGTATATAAAATGCCATAGACACTGAAAGAACAGAAATGTATAGAAGTTGACTTTCAATGACTATTCACAGTATTTAAATCATATTTTCAGTCGCCTACTGAGTGCCATTTTCAATTCAAGATAAACTAAAACATCCATAAATCCATAAAATTTTCTGCATTGAATAAAACTTAAATTTCATCTAAATTTGGTTCATTCTGGGCATCTCGAAGCACAATATCTTCACTCACCATTGTTCCAAATGGAATAGCTCTTGATGCGTGATAATACATTGCAATAAAATTAATAAAGAAAGCAGTGCCACAGACTAATGCAGGAAGCAGTAAAGCACTGAAAGTCATCTGCCTGATCCATTTTCGCCCTTGAAATAGAAATGAAAAATTGAAAGTAATGTTAATAAATAGCAGAAGACTGGTAATGCAGGAAATGATTAAGAGCCGGTTTATAACTAAATTATAAATAAATACTCTTGACACCACGAGTAAAATATCCAAAAATTCGCGATGATCAAATAGAAAACGAGAATATCGGTCATGGACCGAAGACTTATCGATCAAAAGTTGTGGGATCCCCCAAAACAGCGCTCTTACTCCATAGTGACACCTTGTGTCCCATCACTAATTAATTGATTACTCGCTAATTATATGACATAATTCGCCCAAAATCAATAGGCTTCTGGTACGAGATATGATAAATGCACATGCAAAATCTGCAGCAGATCCAATCTCGCTTTCGTGAGATATCGCATGCATCTAACAGACAGACAAACAGACAGACAAATACCTATCAACATACTTACCGATTAAAATCGATAAGTAATAAATAAGTGATAAGTAGTCCGGCAGAAACCCAATGATTTTAAATAGAGGACTGGAGATTATTTAATTAATTTTTTCTGCGAAATAAAATCAATATTCATGAAGAAGACTGAAAATATAAAAACGAACAAAACGACAAAAAACAAAAAAGCAATCTGCAAGTGAATACACAAATTTATTCGTTATAGTGTAAGACAATTTACCTCCCATTCTTGAATATAAAGCTCCACTAACATATCCATTGATCGGTGATAAGGCAGCATAGACAAAGATCCCAGTACTGACCACTGTTCCACGCCTGGATAAAAATAATGAATTTTAAAATGGATTAATATAAAAGCACAAGCAAATTCCTCAGATGAGATATTAGTTGATAGAGAAGGATCAAAAAAATCAGTTTTTCACAAAAAATAAATAATTACGATTTTATTTTAAAATAAACATTTTTTTTATCAAATTTTTATGTACAGGTAATACTGTGATAGTCAACATAACATTTACTTCTCATTACTATTAGAGTAAACATATACCAATTTTATAAATTCATGACAATATTTACTTACTCAGTATACAATTCGCCGCCGATAATGAAAACAACCACAGCGAAGGCACTTGATAGAGCATGGACGCCAGAACCAATCAATCCACATAGAAGTATAGGATAAGACGCAGGACGAAATACGTCACCATGAATTTGTTTCCAACCATATTCATCACCCAAATCTCTTTCCTGAATATCGAAAATATAGAACTAAGGTAACTGTTAGTTGGGATTATTGTCTTATGTTAGACAAACTACTGCGCTCGTGAATACGTAGGAGTATGATGCGAGAAAGCTTGTAACAAGAATAAAGCTGACTATCCTACATGATTAAAGAGTCTTGCTGTGTTTCTGTAAGGTTTCATCTGATCAAGATCAGCCTCAAAAAGGTATAAGTGGTAAAGTAAAGTTAGCATAATATTGAGAATAAGAGTTTAAAAAGCAAAATGTTATGTGAACGCTATTTTAGACACTGTCAATCGCAAGGAATGCTCGGTAACAATAGAAAATGAAGATGAAAAACATAATTTCCATCCTACATATCTTGCCACAGTCGCACATGACCATCCTTTTTCATGATGAAATATGAGATAATCATTGTAAAGTATGTTCAAACAAAACGTCTTTCAGTGTCAAAAATGTGTGCATGTGCGGGCGCAAATACGATAATATTCTTATCAACGCAACTTACAAGAAACGATATACGATGGTCATGTCATGGTATTAGAATACTAATTGGTGTTTCATTTTGAACATCTGTTTCTTTGAATATGGCAATACTCATCAAAACAATGCGGGAGCATACACTACTATATCAAAGCTGAAATATTTCTTATGGTGAAACCTCATTTCAAAAAAGACAATGAATTCAATTACAAAAAAATGAAATCCTAGAGCTCTGAAACTAATTCACAAATAAAATTTCCATTCAACCTTGGGCGGACTGTTCACTCGGTTAGAAAACACTGTACATGGTTATCGATCATTAATTATAACAAGTCCAACTGTTTTTACCATATCATCAAGATCATCTTCTTTACTGTATCTTGCATAATCTTTTCTCAATGTTCTCATTAAAATCATAGATACAAGACCAACCAAGAATATAACCATCATGAAAGAATTGAAAATGGAAAACCAATGAATCTGAATAGAAGCAAACAGTTAATCAATCTGAAGTAGATTCACATACGTGTAGCCTATCTATTTTGTAGCACATAATTGCTTTAACATGGCATATCATTGAAAAGTGAAAAAAAAAATTAGAATTCTTCAGCCTTTCTGAGAAAATCGAGCTGTACTAGATATTTTGAATCGGTATTTTTAATTTTTTGGCATTTTCAAATATTCGTTCCCAAACTTGTTACCTAATTCCATAATTTTGACCCAAAAATCTACACAATAATAAAATATTTGTTTTCTATTCTTACTCTATGTTGGAAAAAACTTGGATCCAGGTATTTCTCATATCTGTCTGCAAACTTCACATCAGAAGGTGTCCATACAACCTACGAATTAATCACAGCTATTAGAATCAAAATCTGCATTAAAATTCGAAAAAAAAACATACCTAAATATGTAGGCAATAGAGTGTCATGTCATACCATACAGTCCAGGGCTACAGAGTCGAGAAAACCTCAAAATCGACTCAGACTTCCAATTCTGAGTTGACAAAATTGGACGCCGCTGACTCCAGCTACAAACTAGAGGAAAATCAAATTTTCATACCAAATACATTGGCATATGCAAGACTCCCATAATAGACCATTAATATCGCTAAGTAAACTTGGTGCTTTTTGAGTTTCTGAACGAAATTTTGACTTCAAGTATGAAATCCGAGAGCAGGATATTTAAAACTATGACTCCTAATCAGAGAGGTTTGAAAAGTCGAATACAGAGACCTGATACTGACAATACTTATGAAGTGATCAACGCAACCAATTAGAAACCTCACTCACCTCATATGTGAATTCAATTTTAATATTTGGAGCCAGTTTCACTTTATGATCGCTTGTTAAGTTGATATCAACAATTTGATCATCGTTATAACCTATTTCAAGTTTTTTATGCGTCCACATGAAATATTCTTCTTTCCCTGACTCTCCTATTTCACCGACGATACCTTGAAACAAAAATGCAAACTGAATTAATTAATTTGAAATATGAAATATGAAGAATCATTCTGCTCAAGAACTAATTTGAGATTTTATCAAGACTTTGTTACCTTATAAACAATAAGTTTGAGGATTTAATGGATTTGGCAGTGAGAATTCTAAAAAACAATGCATTGGGATAAAGACTTTTTAATATGTCATTCTATGTTATGAAAGCTGAGGATATGTGCTGTTGCTGCAGACAATTATTCTTATATAGAATATATAATGGTGCGTGACAATGCACAGGAAATTCATACAAAAGCTGACATCGGCTAACTAACAGTGAAATAATGGAAGATTAACTAACAAATATGCAATTGTGTTTAGATTTTAGCTCCAGGCTTAAAAAAACCACATTGAGCATTGTGAGAACTTGGCTACATGGTTAAAGCTAAGCATAGTAACATATAAGAGATATTAAAATAAATTAGGGATATGATAAGTATCAGTTTATAAACCAGTAAAAACAGGCTTTAAAGAACTTAAAGTTTGACTGACAAATTCACTTTAGGTGGTTCCTAAAAATAGTAAAAAATGAGAATATCCAAGTCAAAAACATGTTTCAATCTCAGGTTATTTGATAAAATTACATAACATTATTAGATACTAAGCCAAATCCAAAAATTCATGGTCAGCCTTCAATCTCTCACATACATAACACATTGATGCTTAATTAAAACTACTTCAGATTTACAATAATAGTAAATAATATACTATTAATTAAGAACCCCCTTTCTTTCCGTAACTCACCCCAAATAGGCAAATCATCCATGTACATTTGATACCAATAATGATTCTTGACTGCGTAAACAAAAGTCTCGTACTTTTTCTTGTCAAGATCAACAGTACAGTATTTCACCATTTGTACATTCTCTGTGAAAGAAAAGCAAGCTGATTTATAGTAATGATCACATAATTTTAAAGACATTTTGAGTATTTAGATTAGGATCTTTTCCCAATTTGTTACTCAATGACCTTTTTTACTTTTGTAACGATGGCAGACATAAAATTCCTCAAGCCTTCAAAATCGAATGTTCAGTACATCTACAGAACAGGATAGGATTTTATCCCGGGGGAGAGGAAAGCCGATAAGATGGCTTATCCATATGGCGAACCACGGCCTCTCGTCCGGTTACCATTCCAAGTCGGGTATGGGATTAGTTTTACTGTATTGTTTGTTTTCAGAAGCATGGACTTGGTGGTGGAGGAAGCCGTAACCGACCAGCGGTTACGTGAATCACCCAACGACGGCGAGGAGTCCAGCAATCCTCTCGCACATAACCATCCCTGCATGGGATTCGAACCTGCGAACCCACGCAGAGTAATTAGAGGTGCGGTGGCGAGCGTATTCCTAACGCTTAGCCCGTTGAGCCACACCGCCGCGCCTATTATATAAGTGTATTTTCACGCTATCTCATCATTGTATCAGGCAATACAAATTTTCCCCAATGTTGTCCATGATGAATAAACAGTTGACTTTAGAAACTTATTTTAGACATTATTATAACAGATTCAAAAGCTGAAAATTTGCAGAGAAAGTACTAACCCTTGAATTTAATGTCCAGACCGCTGTATTTCAATTCAACTCCTTGCAATGCATCACCCAAATTTTCATGATGTCTGTCTATCTTGGACTCTTTACTTCCTTTGCAGAACGGCAATCTGTGTACAATCCAAAATAACCAGATTATACAATAATTAAGATTCCGTTTAACTTATGCAATTTACTTCCAATCATTTTTGCAATAGGTGCAGCATACCATACCTGAAATATTCATATGTCTCCTGTCTGTTGTGATACGGACCAACAGTATTCATCCACAACAAGACATCCTCACCATCATCATACTGAAAAAACAACAATTTAAATTTTTAAAAAATGTCATTAATATATCACATTTGACAACCCTAAAATAGTTCAAACTTCAAATATTGAATTCTTTGAAAAAAGTAACTTAGTTTGTGCGTACATGTTTGAAGAACCTTAGCCACCAACTATATACAGACTTAATTACCTTGTGAGAATCTTCATCACATCGGACGATGCTTATCATGAGGTACCATGTAACGACAGTCTTTATTATATTAGATCCCATAATTTATTTTTTTAGTTATTTGATACTTATGAACTATTTAAAATCTAAAAACTGAAAAAATGGGAATAATGCAAATTAATCTGTCAAGTTACTAGAAAGCACAAATAAGCTCCTTTTTCCATTCTGAATATCGTTGACCACGATAATGAGATCTAACCTCTGAACTTGGTTGTCTGAATTTGGATGATCTGTCAGGAATTTTCTCTGACAATGAAATTTGAGATATGGGCTATATTAGGATTAATATGACAATTAGTTCCAAAGATTTAGTAAGTTTCAAAATATGATGTTCACCAGAATAAAGAGTAGTGTCATTATGACCATTTACAGATTAAACACTAGAACAACTCAGTTTCAAAACACTTGGTGTTTCGAAACGCCAAGCCCTAGAGTGGTTTTATCAAATAATCCTATACTTGCAAGACAACAACAACAACAAAAAATAATAGGCCTAATATACACAATAATACCGATATACACATTTACAGCAAATTATCAACAGCATCTGAATTTAAGACTTACCACTATACCAGTGTTACGTATTTTATCCTCTGCAGCTTCAGTTCATACGGACAGGGCAACATAGCTTGGTACTTGTCCATGAATTATTACTATCATCACATTACCTAACCTCCTTTGGTGAACATATTTCATATTCGGTCACAACCACCCCGCCAATCTATTTAGTGCAGTAGTGTGGCCCGGGTCTCGTGTAGTTTCGTACCTACTTTGTACGTACTTCTAGTGGGCGTAGCATAACAATTTTCTGATATGTCAATCCTAACCCCCATCTGACTATGCCATCCAAAAATTAAATCACTCCGAAATCACAATCACGTCATAGAGCTTGCCAAATATACGCACAATCGACCGAAATGGCATTGGCGCCGACGATAAAGAACTGACTGACGTTATCGATCTCTCCTATTGGAATCGTTGCGACGAAAAATGATAGAAATAATTGTGTGCTCGTCTTGGATGGCAGTTCTGAATTTTGAAGAACTCTATTACGTCACTGTGACGCCGTAATGACGTAATTTTTGGATGGTGTAGTCAGGTGGGGGTTAGGATTGATACGTGAATAATTTGTCATGCTACGCCCACTAGAAGTATGTTAGGTACGAAACTACATAAGACCTGTGTGGCCCCAGTCAACACTCAAAAATTTCCCCCATCAAGCATAAAATCATAATCCGACAATTTGTGTTTGAAAAGCCGCTTTGAACACAGAAACATGGCTGCATGGTCAAAAATACATAATGTTTTTTGCTCTTGTGCTGTGTTTTATCTTTCCCCGTTTTTCCCGCTGCCTTCATTACGGTACTTTAATTAGTTGTGTACATGGAAAAACAAATTTTTTGTGCGGCCCAGAGAGATGCCTGAAGTTGGTTATATGGCCCACTGACAAAAAAAAATTGCACACCTCTGGTATAGATAACACAACACTACGACACTGGTACCGTACCATGTCGAAACTGACAGACTAAGTTCCGGCGTTAGCTGGAAAGGTTTCCAGATTGCGAAGCTAATAGCGCCTGAACGCAGATATCGTTGTCCAGGAGCGATTAGCACCTCGCAGGTGGCGGTGCCAGAGTCTTACCAGACTGCCATTCGGACCTAACCACGAAACCTGTTAACCTATATCAACATTGTCATTGTTGCAATATAAGATTGATAAAAAAATTACTTTACATTCCGTCAAATTTCCTACGACAAGCAACGTTTATATCCATAGGATTCCCCAGAACGTTCAACTAATTTTCAACACAATTTCACCAATGGGAACACCTCACGGTATGTTCTTGTCGCCACGTCAGCCGGATTGAATTGCGCCTGCTAACGTTGGCCAGTCTTCATTTTTGGCCAGCGAAAGAAAATTTAAAATCCAATCTCTGGTATATTTCATAATTTATTTATTTTCCGAACTTTATTTACCACTGAATTTGTACACTATCTTTGGCAGCTGAAAGCTAGATCCACAAATCGCAATGCAATCGAGTGGGTTTTAACGTTTCTACATACGAGTTCTCGATAATGCCGCAGGCGATACCGGTAATACCGCTAGCGTTTATCTACGAACATTAGAATACGGTACGCCTTCAGAAGCTGTAACTAAATCAAAGTCGGCGTTCAACAATGTTTTTCCGGGCTCTTTTCATCCGTTCATAAATTTATTTCACTTTACTTATTCGCTTAGGTTTATATATCACACGACATGTATATGGGAACACTAAACTCATCGCTGTTTTCCCGTGTTATAGCTAATCTCGGGGGGCAGAGGCAGAATTGACAATGTGACGCAGTCAATGACGGGGAGAGACAATGCAAATTTGTGGCAAGATACTGTACCAGAATTTTATTTTCTGGATACTATGTTCGATCTTCACAGAACTGACCATTGATATTTAATTAATATTAATCAATATTTACACAATTCAACAACTTCCACTCAAATGTGTAGGGTAGTTTTCTATTGATTCCTCATTTGCAATCATTGAATATTGTACTCGCAGATATATTTTTCGTTTTTCAGGACGTCATGATGATCAATTTAAATGCTATCTATGTCAACATGAAAGGTGTATACATCAACAAAACTTGCAGACTGATGAATCATCCGTGATGAATTTGAACTGACCGCAGTGATCAACAACCTCAATTAAAGTTACTTGCCTATAATCCATGATCCTAGAAACTTTACTTGAACCTTAAACACCATATATATTCCCTTAACCAATTTTCCTACCTCTGTATCATACCGCCCTAATTAATTTTAATTATGATTACCGGTACTGTTATTGATTAATAGTATTTAAATAATTTGGACGTTATTTGGCTTGTTGTGGCTTCTATTTGATGAGTGAAGCAGGTCTAGCCCACCTCTTCATACATCCAACTTGGCAATTCTGATTGGGCAATTTGGCATTAGGTGACTCCAATTATAATCAGCTTGACGATATCTTTTGAGGAATACTTTTCTATCCACAATACATTACTCTTGTTGACTAATTCGGTATCCGATTTGGCAATCCTCATAAAATTATTAATTTGGTGTGGCAAAAGAATTTATTCATTTTTTTTTTTATTTGTTTGTATATTTTCCTTCTTACTTTCAAGTCTCGTTTTTTTCGCTTCCGACAGTATCATGTCTCGATGATTGTGTGTGTGTGTGCGTGCGTGCAGTATGTTCCCCAGCTCTTCTTTTTAGGGGGGGTGTTTCAAAATTTAGGGGGTGGTAAATAATTTGCTATTAGACATAAAACTAGGTTATTTGTGTTCTTAAAAAAAAGGTATGTATTCAAGAAACGATGTACATGGGGGCCCCCCGAGGTGATTGACGGCAAGCCCAAATCCACAGCAGAATGAAATTGTAGGGCCAAAAAAGGGGAGCGAGTAAAAGTGCGGGACGACACGGCTGGGGTTCAGGGCGCGCTTAAGCGCCCTGAGAAAATTTTGAGAAATAGGCACCAAAATAGGCTCTAAGCTTGATTTTAGATACACCTAGCATCGCAGTTTGTTATGTAATGAAATTAATAATTATAATATTTAGCTGATAGAATTCCCGGGGAATAGATAACAAGCACGGCTTCCAACCGTAAATGTATACTACTACGTTTCAACAAGTAATTTGCAACTGATAGTGACTACTGAAGTTACTTGCTCATCTGGCATTGTATGAATGGCTATTTATGGCTTGTTTTGTTACACATTTCTAATTTTTTTTAACAGGTTTGTTTGACTTTTGTATGAATTAAATTTTGAAATACACTCGTCAACTGATCATAATGTCGCATAATGTTGTATTCCTTCAGAACTGAAATATTTTGTTGGCAAGAAGACAAATCGCTGAAGTTTGATTCTTTTCAATAAAGAAATAAAAACGCTGTCATTCATCTAAAAAACGTCTGTTTTCAGTGCCTAGTTTTCGTTTTGTGACATCTTTAAGCTTTCTTAATATACGGCTGATATCTAAAATACCGCAGTGTGTTATCCTAATACCCATACGTATACATAAGATACCGGAATAATTCAATTGTTACGAAATAAACGTGCTTAAACTGTGATAATGATGTAACAATAGAGGTATCTAAAACTCAAAAGGTACCACATAAAGGATTAAACTATTTCACTCAAGTTCGGCGGGCCATTTTAAATCGTCACGCGGGCCGTAATTGGCCCGCATACTGCGGTTTAGAACCCCACAGTGTGGAATCGCACCTCAAAATTAGGGGGAGTGTTTGAAATTTTAGGGGGGGTGTTCACCCCCTATAGGGGGGGGGGGGGGGGGGGTGTAGGGAAATCACTGCGTGCGTGCCTTAATTTGTTTTTTTTTTACTTTTGGGTGAGCGAACACGTACTACTCCTTTTATCAATACCTTTCCATCTAAAATCTGTACGTTTCAAACCTTACTCTAGGTTTTGTTCGCTTTCCCGATTCTATAATCAGTTACTTTTACTTCTGTTTTTATCTATTTTTTATCGTCTATTGCTGATTATGGAGTCCAAATAAACTTATACTTATATACCATTAATGTAGTACATCTGTAGCCGAAAGTGCAAACTAAACATGAAATCGAAATAAAATTCTTCACCTAACAGGAGTCATCTATCTACATTTGTCTGTAACACAAAAGTTCCTCAGCAGCTTCACAGGTGGCACCATGTATCGATACAACTGACATATAAAAAGCAAAGAATTTCAAGGAGTTTTATTTACGAAATTTCGACAAACTCTGAACTTGCTTGATCCTGTTACTTGAAATGGGAAATCCTCAGAAACATAAGGTGGTAAATCGTCTCTCTGAAAAATAGAAACGCATAATATTTCCTAACATTGAACACGATTTTGCCACTGATTTATCCATCTTGTTCAACAGAATTGCATAGCAATCAAATCGTGATATACATACAGGTGAAATTATGATTGAAACACATGTGCAAAAACATTTGATTCTTGACTACAAATCCAGACATATAATTTCTACAAATCCAGACATATAATTTGTTTAACTTGATACCTTATCAGTTATGTTAAATAATACAAACTAGACTTTACCAACTCAATAAACTGTGGAATTTGATGGCTTCTCAGAATTCAGAGTCAAAAATGCCAAATAAATGTAGCAAATGTAAATCAGTATATCTTGCTCTAGGTTACTTTCGAGAAATAATAGAGAACTTACCTCAGATTGCAACTTTTTACCATATTCCTGGTATAGACATTCTGGAATGCTCGAAACGCCCAATGTTAAGCAATTTACATCCTTCAAAACTGTCTCATGAAGATGACTTATAACATAAAGATTTTTATTTGCTGGATCAACTCCTCGAATTATCCCAAGTCCAATACATTTGCACACAGGTGGTGCAGTAAGATATTCATCATATTTGTGTGTTTCAAAATATGCTTTGTCAACTACACACAATCCTACAATGCCGGCATTGATAAGTGCAAAAGCATGGGTTTTCAATATACCAGTTTCATGAGTGATACACAGAAGCACATCAGATAACTTCACAACAAAAGGTTGAATGCGAGACAGTTTGCTAAAACTCAACCTGTAAAATAAAATTGTTTTATATTTCTCATACAGCCTATGTATCGCAATGTCACTGAACTAAAAAAAACGCAATTCAAAATAATATAGTTTCACAATGCACAATCGAATTTTCACAATTGGATCACCTAAGGTCTTGCTCCATCTACCCAAGTAGCATTTTCTCCCTTTGTAATTTGTAATTTGTAGATGTGAATTTCACCTTCTGTAGGTGTGAGATGTTACACATACCCGGTAATTGTAATATTGGGAAAATAAAGTCTAGTAAAGGTTTTACCCACAAAATGCTTTGTCTGTAACCAACAGTTCATGAGGGATCAAGATGGGGTTATCAAAAAACTTTATAATTTAGCAATTTATTAAACAATAACAATCACCTAGATTCTGATAAACCATCTCTCTTCAAACAGATTTTTTGCATTTCATTGAGATATGATAATAGTCTTAGATTTCTTAAATCGGATGGCTTGTAAAAGATTCTGAAAAAAGTGAAGGTTTATTGTTAACACTATTCAATTAAACATATCTAAAAATGATGTTAATTTCTAGTCGAAAAATAAACCTGAATTGAACAAATACTCTTGACATGAGTTATGTAGCTGATATTCTTGTCGCATAGTTGACTAAAATCACAGATTCATAGAATATCTTACATTTCAGGAGTTGGTATGTCAATATCCATCAATAAATGTGTATAATCAGGAATTTCTCCAGTTCTTCCAGCCATGATCCAACATTCCGATTTATCAACATACTGCTTCGATAATATGGGAAAGTTTTTTGATTCTCTTGGTGACATGATTTGAAGTAGATGAGTAGGTTTAACCTAAGTGAATAAAATTATGAAATAAATTTATCTATGACTAATTTACTACAATACAATAACAATTCTCAGCAGTGACTGATGAAATATTTTTTCCAACATTATTCGGAATAATTAAACTTTAGTAAATGGTTTCTGATAAATGTGGTATTATGGTAATGTGAGCTTGAAATAAAAGTACAACAGAATCTAAAAGACAAAATTGAATTGTTAAAACCACTACAAATATGGCATGATACTATGGAATATAACATGGGACAATTATGGTAATTTAGTCCAAAACATTGACTCTTAAAATATAAACAAGTCAGGTTCTGAAAAATCCAATACCATGTTTAGTATTACTAAATGGAACTTTCAGATAGCATTTAGTATGAATGATTTGTATCATATTCTTGAGTTCCACGTCAATATCTCTGGATAGATGTGATAAAACAATGGACATCAACATTTTACAAATACTCTATCAGTCTAGAAATGCATAATGCTACCTATTGTCGGAAATCCGATTATGGGCAAATGAATCTCCCAAAGTCTACAATAACCCAGCAATACAACTTTATATATATTTGGTACTCACAATATGAAGGGTATCGAGTAACAAGTTCAATCCCATCCCTCTATTCCACCCCATTGTATTTACAACAACAGGAATTCCTGAGTGCTGAACTGTTGAAAACACTTCCCGTATACTTTCAATGTAACGATCTGGTTCACCTGTATGGAGGATGCAATTCGATATGAGAATATTCACATCCAATGTCTTGGGATAAGATACTTATCTTTGGATATAGAAAAGTTGATACTGATAGTAGTTTGGCAAACATGAAATATGCAGATAACTAACCAGTTAATCATTCAAAGCTTGTATTAGCTTGTGGTGGCGAGCAGACCAGATATCTTCTCACTGTGATCATATACCGTAGGATTCAACTCACTCAAGCTTATTAGAGGAGACATGTGTAAAGCTAACCATTTAATGGTTTCAGATGTAAGGACATATACCATCCTGGTGAAAAGTCCAAGAATTATTTCCCGATACCCCAAATTATACCCCATCAGATTCAGTGATTAAACCAGAGCAATTAATCAGAATCACAAATACAATTATTTTCCAAATACAAAGTATGATTTATTCACTGCCAGAAGCCAGGGCATTAAATCAAATCATGAAGCACATAACATTTTAGAACCATGTGTAAATTGTTGTTAATTTCCTTCCAATTTTATTATTGTGAGTAATTACGAAACATAGCGAAACCAGGATCAGTTGGGTGCTGGAATAAGTCACAGTCAATTATTGAGGATACAATATCAAATATCTACAGACCTGCTGCATTAATGTCACCATAGTAAACTGAATACAATGGCGACTTGATATGAGTGAATGGTGGTCCCAAAATTGGTGATGATACTTCAGTGACAGATACAAATCCCGGTGGTGTAAACTCAGGTTGTCCTATATCGCACTCCAAGAAACATATTTTGGTACACCTAAGATATCATGGATATTAAAAATTAATCAACAATTCCAGATCCACCAGTTGACTGATTAAACATATTCAACTTGACTGCCAAATAAATTTGGCATGTATGGGCAAGGAATCCTAGTAGAGTTACGTTTGATTTTCCAATATCTATGACATAATGATTATCTAACGGTAAAGAAAAACCAGCAGACATTTGAGAGAATTTAATTGGTACTTGGTTCCGAGAGATATTCAGTAAAGGGGTAGTAACTGATTCCATTTTAAAAGAATTCCCTATTACTGCTTATGATATTTATTATATTACACTTCAATATTTTCATTATTTATTAAACAAAGCAATACTATTTACACCAGCATCACTATATAGTGGATACAGATGAGAAACATAGTAGTTACCAAGGACTTTGCAATAGTTTATTGACAAGAAATCGATTGAAAGTTGATTTTCCAGTGCTTTTTCCTCCTGCAGTCAAAATGACAGGAGTTCGGAGGTTCCCATTAGTTGTCCATAACTCTATATTTGATAGGATCTCACTGCACGGAGTTTCATAACATGGGAAGCATTCAAAGTATCTAAGATAGAAATATTTTATAATGAAAAAAAAAAATAAAGCTTTGTACAGGAAAAATAGCCCTAAAGAACTCTGCTGTCACTATCCACAGTTTCAAATTTATAATTAATGGCAATATGAATACCGTAATTATGAGGTCACAACAGGATTACTCTCCCATCCATTCAATGGCCATAAATCGGTGCAGTAAAACTGCTTTTCTTTGAAATTACTGGACCAATCCATTTTGAATTTTCAGTGGAGATGAAGAAATAGCTTGAAGGCTATTCTATATCTTTCAAATTTTCTCTGAGTTCTACGTGGCCTGATATTTCACATCAAGTTTTGCTGTTTTTTAAAGTTTAAGGGCACACATTCATATGGAATTCGATAAATTTTTTCTATATTTTGGATGGGATTTAGTTGACATCATTAAGGTGGCAATGTTAGCCATGCAAACATCGTGTTGATATATAAGCGCAATGTTCTTCAAAAAAGATTTTTCATGCACATTAATTGAGGCAAAAGGAAGAGAGTAAGCTAGCATAGCTAGTTCTGACAATAATGGGAACCACAAGCCCCATTGGGCCGCGACCCACCGGGAGGTCAGGACGCCAGTTTGAAGAGCCCAGTATTAGAGTATTGTTCCTTTTCTCATATCTCATTAACTAATGCATGGCAGAGTACTATGCATCATGTATTTAGGTATAGATGGTCTTAAGTAGGGCTACAGATAAAAATATCTAACTAACCAGACTTGAACAAAATAAAAAAATTATGCATTTCAAAAAATTAAAAGATTTAATAGATAATTATTGCCATATGGAATAGAAAAACCATACAATTGTGAATAGTTAGTTATAGCTCTCAAGAAATTAATAATTTCCGCTTATTGGCATACTTCTCTGTTTTCACAATATAAGTTCCGGAACACAGTTCATCCACAATTTCACCATTAGTAGATCGGATTTTGTAGATATCTTGGAATCCGGGAAGAGTATGCTTTGATAACTTTGTATCATTGCGAAGCTTTGTTAACATCAAGACAATATCGAACCTTTGTACCATATCTGAATATGTTATTCAACACAAAATAGTTATTTAACCAGCATATTCAGTGAATATATTTATGTTCAGAAACCTTCACAATATGTGTCATTTTTCATTACAATATAGTGAGATTAGTAATAGATAACAGGTGAAAATCTAATTCAACCCAACGCATCATACTCATGGTAAAGAACAATGATATACGTAGTTCATAAAGCTGGTTAAATGGCAGTAAATTTTTAAGTGACCCTAAGAATTTAAGAGTTCAAAATCCTGGCCATTTGAAGAAGCTCTGTGTTGAAAAAAAATGACTCTTGACTTCTACTCCTGATAGGAGGGATTTCTTCTAAAACTTCAGTGTATGCAAGGCTTCTAATTGTCTGTTGAGAATGTTTAGGTAACTTGATGTCTTTTAAGGTTGACTATAATTTTGACTCTGATAACCAATCAAATCCGGCTCCCGATTTTGGGGAGTTACGAAAATATGACCCCAATGTAACATAAAATGTTGCCTAACTCTGACACCGCAGACTCAAATGAAAGCCTGAAACATGCACAAGAGATTATACCATATTTTTTTTTGAATTTAGACTTGGGTATTTTATATTTAAAATGTATATATATATATATATATATATACCTTTAGCAGCTTCAGTGTGTTGTTCATTCAATCCTGCTTTTCTTATATTCTCAATCAAATTAGATTCTGTTTTAATGCAACTTGGAATTGGCTCCAACAGCAGTGCGCTATGACTCACTGGGGCAAAATATTTTATTTTTTCGCTCTGGGGATTTAGACAAAAGCCAAGAATGCTAATGCAACCCTTGATAACTTGGACAGATCCACAACCAAATATCTTGATATCCTGCAGAAAAAAATTATATTAATAATGGTGAGAAATGATTATATTTATTTAAGGAAGGATTGAATTTTCAAATTCATCCTGGAAAAAGATCATATGGCGAACCATGGCCTCTTATCTGTTTACCAGTTGATGTTGGGTATTGAATAGTTGAAAAAGTATTTGTATCAAATATACGCACTTGATGACAAAGGAAATTGTACCCAACCAGTAGTTACATGCCATCCTGTAACAGGGAATATTCCCACAAGACCTCCGAACTGGCAGGGTAATCAGAGGGAATCTAGTATAGTTTTGTACCTCAAGTACTGCTAGTGGGCGTAGCATAACAATTTTTGCATAGGTCAAAAATTATGTCACTACGACGTCAAAGTGACGTAACAAGCCTCTTCAGTCTATATGAACTGTCACTCAAGACGCATAGACGATCACCCGAAATCAAGCAAGCTATTTCTCTTGTTTTCTCATCGCAACGATCCCGATATGAGAGAGAGATCGCTGCCGTTAGTGGGTTCTTTATTTTCGGCGTTGATGCCATTTCGGGCGATCGTAGGTAAACTTTGGCAAGCTCTATAACGTGATTGTGACATCGTGGTAACATAATTTTTGGATGACGTAGTCAGGTGGGGGTTAGGATTGACATGTGCAAAAATTGTTATGCTACGACCACTAGAAGTACTTGAGGTACAAAACTACAAGAGACCCATCAGAGGTGCGTGGTAAGTGTGTTTGAATTGCTTAGCACAAAAAATAGAGAACCTCAAATAAATACCTACAGAACAGAATAAAAGACAGACACATGGCCAATTAAAACATCAAAAATTCAATTTATTTTTCTAACCTTGCACTCTTTGGTGATTCCAAGCAGAACACAAGATCTTATTGAGGAAATTGGTAATATTTCAAACTTCCGATCAAAATTTTGTGTTTCTTGAGGTTTCGGACGGCTCTTAACGCTATTTTCGGACAAGGAATCTTCAACCAACTAAAAATAAAAAGTACATCAGTAATGAAATGATTTTTGCTATAATATTGATTCAATATAAAGTTAATATATTTTTACGATAGCAGAATTCTATTTAAAAATGATTATAAACCATTAATATATTATGTTATAAGAAATAAATTTAACCAGTAGTTATAAATAGTTAAACTTGGTGTTTGTAAAATATACTCCCTTTTTTGGGAAACATGTAACTATTAAAGAATAGAAAATACTGCAATGTACAGCAGTGCAAATTCAAACATATTATAAAACTAAAACAATCTGGAGGTGTTATAATACTTAGTTCAGTAGTTCACAACCACCTTAATTAAAATAATAAAATTTGCTTGTTTTAAATTTCGATCCAGAAAAATCACCTGTACATAATAAATGGTAAAGAAAACAGCCGTTAAAGATACAAAAAAACTGAGTAATGAAGTCATGATATATACTCTAAAGACAATATGTAATATTATTTATCCTATTAATTTAGGGAGTATTACAAACATATACTGCCAATATCAGACTGATCAAAACGATTTATATATGGTCGAGAAAAAGATGGATTAGGATTCATCTTATTTGTATATTCATCAAAATGAATTTATTTTCAGTATGGCCTCTAACGAAATTTCGATATTGAATACTCACTTCTGTATCTGGGCGGCAATCTTCATCTTCCTGAAGACTAGAGACTGCTTGGTATTCAAAATTGGATTGATAATTGTCTGTATCAGTTGAATCATCATCGGGATCCTGGAGAATTTCAACTGAGGGCGATGGCATTTCTGTTTGTGTTTGTGGAAGTGATGGTATAGTTTTAGAAATTTCCAAAGTGTTTTCTTCTTTTTCATCATGAATTTGTTCAACATTTTCACCAATCAATTTTGCTTCATTTACATAAGTTGCAAATGCTGATATATGTAAACGTTTTTGAGCAGACGAGACCCCATTTTTCTTTTTTGACTTTGTAGTTTTAGTTACACCACCTGTTTTTGGAATGTCTGAATGACTTGTTTTAGCGGCTTTTTTCTTCATTTAATATTTACAGTCAATATTGCTTATATCTCTTTATTAACGGCTGAATTTAAATTGGATAGGATTTACATATTTATCCCGGGGGAGAGGAAAGCCGATAAGACGGCTTATCCATATGGCGAACCACGGCCTCTCGTCCAGTTACCATTCCAAGTCGGGTATGGGATTAGTTATATTGTTTTTGTTTTCGGAAGCATGGACTTGGTGGTGGAGGAAGCCGTAACCGACCAGTGGTTAGTAAACCACCCAACGACGGCGAGGAGTCCAGCAACCCTCTCGCACATAATCATCTCTGCATGGGATTCGAACCTGCGAACCCACGCAGAGTAATTAGAGGTGCGGTCGCGAGCGTATTCCTAACGCTTAGCCCGTTGAGCCACACCGCCGCGCCATATTATAAGGAAAGATGTCATAAATCAGTACATTGACGTGTTGATTGTTAGTTAGTATTATATGACAAAGTATGAATATGACAAACACGCTATTTATACGATTTTGATATGGTCTCACTCAATACTATTATTACTAGTGATCAATAAAGCACAACTAGTCAGAAAAACATCATTCTATTGTGATATTCAGCACTATATTTGTTCTCAGGTTGACGTCATACAAACGTAGAATGGCCAATACAAATCTGATTCCAGTATCAGAGTAATGCGTATGTATTTATGTCAATTTCATAACAGGTGAACAAAATGCGTATTGATGAGGTAACTTGATTCAATCATGACAAAAACATTGCAAAGAAAAATTAAAATACAGTATCAATTTTCGATTTTCGGATAACTCTTGATTTACCCAATGTTATACGCAGTAACTCTTCTCATCACATTTTTTCACAATAATGGTCTTTTTGAAATTTCACAGCATTACCAACTGACACAATGAATGGTAATCAATATTCTGTATACATATATATTCTGAATACCAGCAAATAGAAAGTGAAATAAAGAATGAATGACAATTTCACAAGTGTGTAAGTAATGTCAATGGTGTGTCCACACTTCATTATTTGTTAGATTAGTATAGTTCACATATTACAGAATTTGACTACACCTAAAGTCCAAACAATCCCATTGGGACACAATTGCCAAAAGTAACATCGAAAACGTTAGACATGTATTGCGCAATATACATTGGTGTTTACACCTCTCGCGAAAACCATGCAGCAAGAAAAAAAGCAAACGTCACGTCCTCGGAATCTGATTGGAGATTGAGTAACATGTGACCGTGGCAAACCTGGGGAAGTCCCTGGGGCAACCGATGGTTTAGCTAGCTTTCTTTCCTGCTTCCATCGAATTATCGTCAGTTTACTTCCTTGTTGTTGGAAGTTTCCTGCGTTTCATATAAGTACCATCGTATCTCCACAACAGAAGGAAGGGTAGTAATAGGTGTCATAGTTTGGAAGGGGAATAATGGTAGAGGTTTTAACCGTGTCCTAATGCAGTAATGCTGTACTGCAGTACTGAGTCTGTGTTCAAAAATCAAGCAATACAGCAATATGAGTTTAATGGCGTAAAATCACTTTCTCAATTTAATTTATTACAGTATCATTAGAACTCTACTCGTGTTTCACTGCTCCTTCATGTATGTCACTAACATGTGTGGTATTATCACAATTCTTCCAAGTTCTGAAGTTATTGTTCTATTTAATGTTACTGCTGTACTGGTACTGATTTAAGAGTATCGTATATGATGTGTTTTCTACAAGTTATATTCGTGTGTTACCACAAGTTCAAAACCTGATTAGATAGTGATTGGTCATTAGATCCCTATTTTGACACGCGTCGACCTTATGTTATATCGCCATCTCCATTTTGACTCGTCAACCCTATTACTTCATCCCTATTTTGACATTCATCGACCACATTTGCCCTCCTTATTTTGACATTTCCAATATTACTTTTATGCTACCAACCTTTTTCGAAAATTTAATCACTTGATATTGGTTATAAAGCATCACTTCTTGAAATAAATGGGAAATTTTTTTAATTTATTTTTGATTTTATGAGATATTGTATAACTATTGGAGCTTAACAACGCGGCAACATGCCGTTCATGCAAGAAATCACCCCAGAATTTGAGAAATTTTGCTGTGACCTGGGATTGAGAAAAGAAACTGCTCACGAGATGTGGGATGGTAAGAATTTGGTAACTTTTCTTGGATGATATACTTTAAACTAATATGCTTCTCTGCTCTCTTATTTGAGTAGAATTCTATCCCTCTTTTCAGACTCTTATATAGTCAAATTTGGGCAAAAAGCAGAAGGAATAATTAGTTTTGAGGACAAAGACCTGGTTTATGACCTCGATTTTAAGTCTTTATTTTACAAAATTGTTCTATTCTTTTCCTATTAAAATTCATCAATTTTTTATTTTAATTTTGTTATCGAATATTTTGCAGCTGACATCCACTCACCGCAAGAACTTGCAGCGATGGAAATTTCAGAGTTGAAAAAGTTTTCGAGCAATTCACTCTTGTTGAACAACATACATCCCATCCTGCAGAAGGTAACTTTTCAGAAGAAAACTCTATTACATGAATATAAGATAATTTTGTATTAGATGTTGGGAATTTTACTTTATGGTGTTATTAAGATTATCTTCTTTAATTGTATATAAGATTGGTTTTAAGTAGATCCATGAATTATTCAATCATTACTTCATCAAATGAATATCAAATTCAACATTGTGTTTTTTATATAGATTTGCTCAACCTTTATTTAGTTGTAGATATTTTTTTGATGTTCTCAAGGTTATATGAAAACTGTACCATAGTTTTTTGGGTGCTCCTGTAGTATGTGTACCAGGTTAGGGTTAGGCCAGGGGTGGGCAACTTCTCTAGTCGGCGGGCCAGATGTGGGAAAATAAAGTTCTCAGCGGGCCGGATTATAACATGAATAGTATTCAATTTCTCAATCACATATTTATTCGCTAATGCAAGAAAGAAAATTATAAATCATGTTTAAAGTAAAGTTTAAAGTAAAAATAGAGACTAAAAAACACATAATGAATTTGTCATAATGTACTAAAAGTGTAATAATGTAATATCACAATTCACAATGTACTGATGTACTGACCCGGCCCGTGGGCCGTATATTGCCCACCCCTGGGTTAGGCCATAATTTTATTCCGATTTTCCTTATTTTAGTTCTATTACGAGTTCAGGGATTGTTTGTGTTAGCCAAGTGAAGATACCCCTGCCCATAAGCTTCTGTCATTTTACACAACTTGATGTAAAGTAAGCGAACAAAATTAGTTACCTCCATATTGGTACACACACTTCTGAAGCGCTGTTTTTTTTTTGCATTGCTAGTACTCCCACTATTTCTAAAAATAAGTTCAGTTAATAATATTGTCTAATTTTTGAGATATATTTTGTCGTAGTATTGTTTTCAACCATAATTTTAGAAGTCTTATTATTGCCAAACAAAAAAAACAAATGTGGATTTTCTAACTTACATTTGAATTGTTAAATTTGAAATGTGGAATCTATTCTTAACATGTATCACTTATATTTATGTTAATTTTGACTATCTTACTATTATTATATGTGAAGCTCATGTGTTTTCTTTGTGTGGATTCCAGTTACACGTCATACTATTATGACCTCTTATTGATTGAATCATTGCCAATATGACTAATTCTCATCAACAAATTTTTTCTCTCGCACACATGATCTTACACATACCTATAACATGATCTGAACCCAATTCAACTGAAAATATTGCCAATAACATATCATATAACATATAACTTGAAATATTATGAAATTTTAAATGAAATATTTTTTAAACAAAATTCTTTTAATTTGATTAATTTTATTTGATTATTCAGTATGTATTCAACATCACCACGGCGAAAGATCCGTACAAGATGTCACTCAAAATTATCAGAAAACAAGCCCAAGCTATGGAACTGGAAGAGGATGAGGTAAGATTAGATTCAACACAAAAATTTTTTTCTCTAAATTCTTAGTTTGGCTGGAATTTGGAATTGGATGAATATTCCATGACTTTTCCTTGGGTGCAACGTTCTATAAGAAAAAAATTACTGGGTGGAGTTTTCCCAGTATCGTTTGCAGGGATGTTCAAATCAAATTGGATAATCAAATATAATCAAATACCGCTTTTAATGTTTATCAAAGTTTCATTCACGTACCACACACTCTCAATGCTGCCATTTGGGACATTTTTATCAGACATTATTTTATGTTTCATCATAATCAAGAATAGTTGTGTGCAGCTGTGACAATTAGGAATTACAATTACACTAATTAGTAATTATTAGGTTGCAACAATAGATATGTAAAAGTTATGATTTACTGTAACATTATGAAATTTTTGGTTTTGGAATTTTGAATGGAGAGCTGTTAAAGGATGTACTACAAGTCTACAACCTTTTTTAATATTATCGTGTGAATTTTGACAATACATTCTTGGTAATAATTGACTAGAAATGTACACGAAAACATTTCAAATTTTGTTCTGCGAGTCTGACAGTGCCGACTGAATGCAAGCATTTATATTGTCATCTTTTAAATATGAATATGAAACTGCAAATATTTGAAAACTTCGTTAATGGTATGGAAAAATTGAATATATAACCTCTTACCAAACCCCGATGCCTCTTACCAGTATTCTTATCGTAGCTTTGACAATACATTTTTGTTAATGATTAATAGGGAATGAAACACAATTGTTTCATCATAAATGTTATGAGATTGTTGTTGTTTTCCAATGTTGCATCAATGGCCTAAATATGAAAGCCCCAACTTTTATTTTAAGTGGGGTTAACGCCTAATATCGGGACAAAATTGAACAATCATTAAATTAATGATCACTCCGTATACATAATTTAGAAGCATTGTCTTGTCTTCTTCCTTTTATATGAATTGTTATTATGTTGAGCTTGATACGATCGATCTTTCAGAAATCAATTATCTTAGCATCATGGAAAAAGTTGGTATAAAAATAGGCAAGATAGACAGAAAATTAGGTAATCCCTTGGTTTTTACCCCAAGTATTAATCGTATTAAAAGGTAATCTAAACATTGACTTTTTACAATTTGTAGTATATAGAATGTGATTTATTCGTAATTTTTATTTTCTTTCAGCCGATGGATGCAGCTGATTCCACCACTGTAGCGGATTCTACTGCTTTCACTGATAAGACAGAAGAACTGAATGGAAGAACTGGAGGGTATGACTATTAATTTAGGACTGTTCAGCTAATAAATTCTAATTTTGAATATTTCATAATTTGATCCATTATTTGGATATATGCGAAATTTCATGAAATGATATCATATTATTGGATGTAGAGAGAACTTATGAATCGATTTATTAAATTGTTGTTGCCAGTATTCATCGTTTTCTTCTTGGTATTCTTGTTGTCACTAGAAGGCTGTTATGATTTATATATTGTACTCAGAAGGCAGTGTTTCCAATTCTGTATATTCTCTCAAGTGCAATTTTCAAATGAGTAAATTTCAGGTCTCATTTAAACTGAATTATTGTCTACTACTAATCATCATGACCAGATTACCCTGAATATTTATATTTAAAGACACTGTTAAAGCTGGCAATGGAAAACTTAATAGTTATTCATAATAGCAATATTACGCAGGTTTTGTGCTTGTATCATATATCATGTAATGTCTCATTTCCTGGTAAATTTCATAGGACTGCTGTTATTAAAAAGACTTCTACATCATGCTGTTTCAAATATAACCTTATATGCATCTAGTTGTTGAGCAATACATATATAACTGGGGTTATTGTTTTTGACAACATGACTTGAATAGCATTATTTGTTGGATTGAATGACGCACTCAAGACTGAAAACTACTTACCTGGGGAAATTTCCTCAAACAATAATAACTAAACAGCTATCTTGTTTCGATTTCATTTTATCTGATTTTGATATTAAAACTTTTACAATTGTTTCAAGTTTTTGAATAGCAGGTTAATACCCACTTTCTCACACTTCTTTCTACTTCCTTGTTTTGGGGGTCATTATGAAACAGTTCATAGGGAGTTTACTGACAACTTAAACTGAGCTATGACATGCTGTTACTGTTAGTCAAGTTTAAATGTTTCTGCAACATAATTAATCTTGTAGGATATCAAATTACTTAATGTAATTTAGTGTGTAAGTGTGATTTTAAATCTAGACAATAGAAATTTTTTCACAATTTTTTATCGAAAATCTGAGTTTTTCCTGAAAATTAAAGGACACAAATTATTCTTTAAAATTTGTATTCTATCACGATTTGGATCAAAAAGGTGATTTCAAAATAAATGCATTTGAAATATTTAAGATTTAAAAATAATTATGTTAATTAAATTTATTGTAATTCTCTCATAATAAACTATCCAATTTTATAATGACATTTATTGTATTCTTATCCAATTACAGCATATATTCAGGACTATGGTGTACATGCTTTAATAATAAAAACTTTTTGAAATATTACGGATATGCACAGTACTTCTTTTATATGTCAAATGCAGTAAATTAAATCTATTATTAGTCAAACCTGGTAATTGAATGAAAAGGTATAAATTTCAAAAAAATATCCATCAATTTCAATCAGATAAATTATAAAAATGTTCAAATTTACTAGTAGACTATGATTTTTGGAGTAGGATATATTAATGTATTGGTAATCCATTTGTTCATAAATGTAAACAGTAACTCGTGTATTCCGTAATATTTTACCTAATTACTTATCGATTTTAATCGGTAAGTATGTTGATAAGTATTTGTCTGTATGTCTGTTTGTCTGTTAGATGCACGCGATATCTCACGAAAGCAAGATTGAATCTGCTCCAGATTTTGCATGTGCATTCATCTTATCTCGGACCAGAAGCCTATTGTTTTTGGGCGAATTATGTCGTATAATTAGCGAGTTATTAATCAATTAGTGATGGAACACAAGGTGTCACTATGGAGTAAGAGCGCTGTTTTGGGGGATCCCCTAACTTTCAATCGATAAGTCTTCGGTCTCTGACGGATATTCTCGTTTCATGATTCTTGATACCTAATTTATATTTTCAGAAAAGCAAATCTGCAGTTGAACAATGCTGGAAGAACTGGCGAAGTGAGGTACGTTATGCTCATGGAAATTTAATTTTTATTTTGAACTTTTTCTTAGAACTCTTAGAATTCTGGTATACATAGCTGGTCAAAAGTAGGGTTACAGTTAACACGGACAAATTTGTCTGTTTGTGTCTGTATCTCTAATTTTCGTCTATCCTGTATATACATTGTCAGCATTGCATAATCAATATGATAATAATTTTTGAACCGCCTAACCACTAAGCATTATTTTAAATAAAGACGTTTGTAACTCAGGTTATTATGTTTTACCTCAGAAGAAAATATTTGTTAATGTTAATAAAAATGGCAAAATTGAAACTTTATTTACATTTAATTGATTCAGTAAATAGTTCTGAATCTGGGATGAATTTCAATATTTCTTGTTAAAAAATTTGAAATAAATTGAAATGAATTAAAAATAAAAAGTTTCCCTTTGTTTAGATACAATAACAATGGGACAAGCCTCAACAACAGAGGAGCTAGTAAGTTTGTATAATATTGATTCAGTTATTCTGTTTGTACAAGGTGATTTAAAATGCATATTAAGTTTTGTTGTAAATTTACTGTCCCAACTCCCAAGTATGTTTGGGTTTTTTGGTCATAGATTTGGGAGATAATTGAGACATTGCTCCCAACCTTAATCAAAGATAATAAATTTGATAGGTAATGTAGAACAGGAAATATTCTTGCCCTATTTGTTTTATTGGCACTGAATTGGTATATTTGGGCTGTTGTGCACATGAAGGTACCAGTGAAAACATCAAGACGGACTGCAAAACAGCGATTTTTTCAATGACAGATTTTTTTATTAATTTTAAAGGGTATTTTTTGTCTGGAGTTTCTGGTAAAACACCTGAATTTTTTATCAAAAATCTTTTTTTGTACATAAAAGATTTACTGACTAATAATCGCTGTATTATTCTCAATATAGATTGTTTTTTATGGTTTGTTGAAGTAGGTCTGGTTTAGTTCCTTTCGTGTATTATTAATGCAGCTTATATTTATCATTGTTTCGAGCAAAGGTTCCTAATACCTCTCATATAATATTCATAAGTTTAGATTTTCAGTTTTGAGTTTCTTTATTGAATTTTATAGATTGTGTCCAAAGCAACATTGGATTGAAAGGGAATGGCACAGGAAAGGGTCATTCCATCACCATAACTGGAGGAAACTTCACTCAGTCGAGTGTGTTGTCAAGTGGACCTGTCACTTACAACAACACCAATACCACCATTACCACTACTGGTAAATAGAGTGTTTTATTTTTATTCTTTTCAAGAAAAGCGAAAGTCTTACGCATGATAAACAAGCCTCTTCCATCACATAACCTTGCGAATAATATAACCCAAATAAGATATAATGATTGTGTGGAGTAATATATGCTAGGCCAGTTTACCATGGTACAAATTTACTATTACGGGATACAATTTTAATAACTTTATCGCACCTGCAAATTTTTCTGCTCATTCCATTGACCATCATTGAAAATGGTTCAGAATGCATCAAATTTAGAACTAAGCTTGATTTTGAATTATTTCAAACCATTGTTTTGTTTTATTCTTCAGTTAACAGCGAATCTGAGGCCGATATAAAAAAGAGAAGATCTAAACTTCTTGGATCTACTCTGTTCCTGGATGGTAAAAATATTGTATTTGCATTCTTTTTTTTAACAAAAATAAGATTACTTTATAAATCTTACAACACGCTTTGATTATCTGATGTTCAAACATTCGTGAAAATATGTTCTTATTCAATATCGGAAAGAGTTGCTAGACTCCTTGCCACTGTAGGGTGGTTCACGTAATCGCTGGTCGGATACGGCTTGGTCCACTGTCAAGTCTGAATCAAATACCTGATTTATCTATTCACATACCCGACATGGACCGGTAACCAGACAAGAGGCTGTGGTTTGGTATAGAATTTCTCAATCCTATCAGTTTTCTTCTACAGCGATAAATATGAAATATCATATCTTGTACTACATTTCCCCCAGGTCCTCGTCCATAAATTGTGGAACTCCCAGCTTGTAAACAAAATTCCTATTTGAAAATTAATTTTACAGCTTCAGATTTGTTAATTAATTTTCTTCTGCATAACTATTTCCTTGATAGTTTTATTTTATTTGACTTAAATGGCACAGATTACGTAGAAACCAGACAAAATCCACTTGACTCCGAGGTAGAGCTACAAGTGTACGCACAGCAAATCCTATATAATAATATTTGATGGGCATACTTATTTAAACTAGGTTTTTTTTATGTGTATTAGGCACATATTTCAGGTGAAGAATCATCTTTATGCTTTTAAAAGTGAAGGTGATTTTTTACGTTGCTTTGTAACTTTTTTTACGTTACTCTGTGTTACACATGATTTATAATCTTACTCCTGTTTATATTGTCTTGCTGAATTTTTTTCTAAATTTCACATGTAGGTACCCAGGTGAAAACCGCTGATATTGGATGGATGGACAACCACAACTTTTGGGTCGATAAAATTCGTCTTCCAACTGCGGAGTACGAGCAATACACTGAACATTTGAATTGTGATGATGTAATTTGCTATTTTATTATTTTCGCATCACACTCAATCTTCTTATATTTAAATTAAACTCGTTAAAAGGAGGCTAATTTTACAAGCATTCATGTCAAAATTTGTATTCAACTCCTGACTTTAATTGTTTAGGTAGATGTTTTCCAGGGCCTGATTCAGAGTGAAGATACATAAAATGTTATAACAAAATAAATGATAATTTTTCCAGAAAATGAAGACTTTTGTAAATAATATGTGATTGAATATTTATAATTCTTTCGCAAAAAACATTAATTTAGGTTGTTGAAGAAGTTTGCAGATGGATGTGAGAAATTTTGTATGTAAAACACTCATACCAGGTTAATTTTCTTTAGGTTTACCACATCCGTAGCAATGGACGTGCCCTGATCTTGAACAACATTGAATTCGGTGCAGCATCAGGGTATCTTGAATCATTTCATTTTGAAGTTTTAATTTTAGCTTTTTTCTGTTACAATTCTAATCTAACATAACTGTGCCAGGAAACGATCAGTAATCGCTTTTAAAAGTGACTGAAATATAGGAGATCAGTTTTTCATGACATTCATATGGGCCATATAATTTGATGGAGTCTAGTCTAGTCACATTTTCAAACTCGAACAGTCTATTGAAGATGACTGTAAGAGTATGAATAGTCAAAAAAAAAATTAACCCATCGCCGAAGACATATTTTTCAACACATAGTCTGAGCCAATAGTGAGTTTTCTCCTTCCTCACAGCCCTAGCTTATACCATGATGACATAGCAATTCAATAAATGGTCTTTTTAGTTATTAGGACTAATAAAATAAAACACAGACATCGAGAATGTACCAATGAAAATAACTTTTTTAGAATGAAAAAGAGAACTGGTGCAGATGCTGATTGTAAACGTATGGAACAGCTTCTTTCTGAACTCGGATTCAAAGTCAGAGCAGAAAGAAACAAGACCGCTGCGGTATTATTTTATCTTTTCTTAAAAAGATTTTATTTTTTAAATGAAATTTATGTAATACTGGTTATATTATATATTTGCATGAAAATACAGGAAATGAAAACTATTCTGAAGGATTTTGCGCAAAGTCGGGACAACCGCAGTATTGGCATCAGTGTTATATACATTGGATCACATGGAGAAAGAGGTCAAAAACAATTAATCTGTTGATATTTGTCTTCAGAATTCTGTTATTTTCCAATGAGTGGCCATATAAGAATAGTTTATCATTTCGAATACCTCAATTATTATTTTCTATCTTTTACATTGATTGATTTAAGTTGAAATGACTGTTTTGACTTTTCTACCGATATCAAAAGTTAAGTAAGTTCGAAATGCCTAAATACCAGATAACATTCACACACGATTCCCATATTTTTAAATTAAAATATTCCAGGTTAAAAATTATCTATATCATTCAGTATATGAAATGAAATTGGTTTTAAACATTAGGTTCATTTAGTTTATTACATTCCTGTCTGGTACTCCCGTATTATAGGTACCAGGTTAGGATTAGGGCATTAGGCCATAATTTAATTTTGATTCTCCTTATTTTATTTCTATCACGAGTTCGGGGACTGTCTGTGTTAACCAAGTGAATATACCCCTACCCTTAGGTTTCATTCCCTTTACACAACTTGATGTAGAATAGCCGAACAAAATTAGGTACTTCTGGATCGATTTCTATGTTCTATTGTCTTTAGCCATTGTGAATCTCCCGAAAGCTTTATGGATATTAAAAATATAGTAAAATATTTTTAATGACTTAGAAAAGAAATATTTGTTTTTGAATCATAAATGTTATTTTTTAGATGAACGTGGCAACGATACTTTCGTTGGTTCTGATGGAGGGAGAGTGAATTTCAGAGAAGTGCAAGACATGTTTAGTCCCAAAAACTGTCCTCTGTTAAACAACATTCCGAAGGTTTTCTTCCTCCAGTTTTGTAGACAGGGTAAAAGAACTGACTTATTGTTTAGACACACTATTTTCTAGAGAGTAAATTTCTATAAAAATAAAACTAGATTTCCAACAAATGAGTCAGATTCAATCTTTATTATGAATCAACTTAAAAAGGCATATTTTGCGTTTTTTAATTCGAAGATATTAAGAAATTACATTTTGATATAATGTTCAAGTATGTGGGAACATTGCTTGCATAACAAAATAGTTGAATAAATAAGTAGAATCAAGTCGTCTTCGTTATTAATTATGTTGAATGATGTTATTGTAGAATTTTTAGAAATTTAATTCAATTTCATTTTTTCAGAGGGACCCACCATTCGCACTCCTGCGGCAGGTGTGTTGTTTTTGTGTGAAAATCTATTCTTATTAAAATTAATCTACTGTGCTATATTTATTATTATATTTACTTCACAAGAGCATTTTTTTTTATGTTTCATATGCTAAGATTTTTAATTTACAGTAAAATATTTTCATTTCAATTTGCATTCAGCTCCGCTCCAAACTGCAAGTGTAATGTCTGATGCTAGTCCGATTGAGATGCATACTGGAAAAGCAGTTGCCAATTTGATGGTGTCAGAAGTTGATCCCTCTGAAGAAACCCGCCTTATGGATATGCTTTGTGTGTATGCAACACTTACTGGTATGTAACAACCAGGATTAGTTCCAATTAATTTTCAAAATTTGAGTCCCAAACCAACTCTGGTCTCTGTAACCGAGACACAAGTCTGGTTGATTCCAAGTCAGCAGATTTCATTAACAACATGGAGTGAATAATTGTGAGTCATGTTGACACTTAGACTTTCTTCCATCTTGTTTAACCAACGTTATTGTGATTCAAAAATAGGATTTAATCATTCATGGACGATATTTTCTTCACAGTTTTCACACAAGTAATTGTGATTTAGGTGAGCCAGTAAATTTCTGATAGTATTCCTCTGTACTAAAAGTTAAAAATATATTAAAATTTTCATTGGGTAACCATTCTAACCAATACAAAATTTTATTTGAAGGAACTAAGGCTTATCGTGATACAGCAGATGGCTCATGGTTTGTTACTGCATTGATTCGTGTCTTCCAAGAAAATGCTCACAAGGATGATGTACTCAGCATGCTTACAAAGGTAAACTACATATAGCTGTACTGTACACCAAAACCAAAGTGAAACTATCTTGAATCTACGTACAGTAAATTCTTTAAAAGGTTGGGACAGAGATCATATTGAGATAGACCAAACATGTCCAAAATCAAGCTATTTCATGGATAAACTATGATTAAAATGCCAAATGAGCTTATTTTTGTGTAATATCTCCTAAAAAGCAATAAAGAAACAAACCATCAAATGTTTGCAAGTCACTCATTTTATATAATTATTTGTTATTAGAACTTAGAACTTTGACATTTTTCACATATTCAATTTGTGTTATATTAAATGAAAGATTTTTTTTTTTAAAGATTTTATTTTGCATAACATTCTTTGAGTATATTTGTTATAGATCAAAACGAAAGTCAGTTGATATAATTTCAAATTTATGTTTAGGTGAACAACAGTGTATCACTCAATAACGGGAATGAAGGATCTCGCAGAGCGCTCCAGGTCAGCGAAGTCTGTAGCAGTCTCCGCAAGAAACTGTATTTCTACCCGGGCCAACTTGCCTAATCAAGTCTGGAACTACTTTGTTCGACAAACATGGTCAATGAATTCATGTTCAATTCATGTTCCAAAATATGATTATTCTATCTGTCATATTTGAGTGAATGAGATGTAAATAGCAATATATAATTTTTTTTGGAAATTACTATTTTTTAGATTATCCGTAATTTCAGTTTCAACTTGTTGTTATATTTTGTGAGAACCACTGGTATTTAAGACTAAAATATGATCACGTTTTTCTGGAAAACAAATAATGTCAGAGTTAGTTTGTATGATAATTTAGTTGTGTATATACTTAATTATTTTATTCACTCACTTTCAAATATTTCTTTTTACAAAAGTTTTATACTTTTGTGTATGCTAAATAATTTGGTAATGAGTAGAAAATCTCTGATTTTAATAGGAAGTTTTGAAGATTTTGTCCCAAATAGTTATTTAATTTTTGTAGTGAGTCGATATATAAAAAGTTTCATTTTGAAAATTATCAGTTTTTTGTTACTGAATTGAATTATATCTATTTTCTAGCCCCCAGTTTTTGTTCTTGATTTTAATTCCTTAAACGTTATGCCCCCAATAAAATGTAAAGTAAATGCTTTTTAAAACACTGGCTGCAAATGTTAGTATAATCATCCCAAAGTTCATGTATGTATGCCCAAAGCAGTCCAGTCAAAGCAATTCTGCACTCATCTATTTCAATTGCTCAAAAAATATTCATTTAATCCTTTTATCATGATTGTTATTTTTCTTTTTCGAGAGATTGAATTATAAATGTAAATTTACTAAAGATAATGGAGTGAATGAAAAGTAGATGCATGTAGAAAATTGTTTTTATTACTTACTTCTTTGTGGGCGAAGGATGTTAATAAATGAAGTCAGGTTGTCTGCGCACAGAAAGGGAAGACTCTGTTTTAACTTTTAGGAAGTTGCTATGGAAAATGTATTATTTTTGCCAGAGATGGAGTCATATTTTTCGTATTCACAAGAGAGATAAGTCAATAAGATTGCGTTTGCTTAGTCATATGGTGAACCATACTGTCCAGAGGGGTGATTTGCTTCGTATAAAGCAAGGTTATGCAATTGTTTCGACTTTTTTAAATTCAAACAACATTTTAATATATCCAAAACGTTATACTGTTTTATTCAGAATCATGACCACAACTTTTTGAGCCAAATTGAACGTCGAGCACCTTTCGAATTCTTTTTTTCCGCGTATTTAATCATTATCATAAGGTTTCAATATATTTAGCAAATGGTTTACATCTGTCGTAATGGTTATACAAAGGCGCCGAGATGGTTGAAAAACACCTGTCGGAATAGTTAATACCGTCACCAGTAGGGTTAGAGGTTGGGATGAAACATGAAAAGTTCGCACAAATGTACGGTAGCTGGTGAGGCGAGACAGGACAAATTCTAGCACAGGGGGTTTCATATGGGCTACGGTACTTGATAAAAAAAAAAGCAAGCAAGTCCAAGCAATACACATCATACACCAGTTTGTTCGGTATAGACTGGGGGAGCGATACGACCATAAGGTCATCATCCGTGTAGTCGAGTTGATCGTCAGCCATTGCGTCGTAAACGTACGGTACCGGTACCTTACCTGCACAGTCTGACAGGGGTCTAGTATAGTTTAGTAGGTACCCTCCCACAAGTTCCGTACTTCCACTCCGCCACTGTGACGTCGAAAAGACGTAATTTTTCGATGACGTACCGTAGTCAGGTGGGGGTTAGAATGGACATATTGCAAAAATTGTTGAGCCAGGCCAACTAGAAGTGCATGTGGTACCGGTACGGCGGTACTAAACTATACCAGACCCCAAAACTACATGAGACCCAATTTTTGAATGGTGCAGTCAGGTGGGGGTTAGGATTGACATTTTGTTACCCGGTACGGTATGCTAGGTCCACTAGAAGTACCTAAGGTTAGAAACTACACCAGACCCGAGACATCTTCTGATCTCACTCCTTCAGGCGCAAAAAAACTGGAACCATCTTATGTTACCTCTTGGTCTGAAAGTCTCATATCGTCTGAAAGTAGATAAGCTTACTGTAGGCTTTAATTAAATTATTACTTCCATCCATAACTACTCACAGACACTATATTTAACTTTATTAAATATGGAACAAAATGTATCATGCAAGGAAATGTTTAAAATCGAAATTTTGAAGAAATATAAGATTAGTGGTAAATACTACATTGCGGAAGAAGAATATCAACAAATAGTTAAAGATCTCAAAGCATCGTTGGAAAAAAAAGTACAAAATCTGCCCATGAATATTATATTCTACGAAAATTTGAAATAATTGATACATTAACGGGAGAAAAATTGATAAAAAAAAGGAAATCAAAGGAGGATGATCCCGTATATTATGTCACTATTGAGGAAATGTACGAAATCATTGAACGTGCACATCTTGCTACTAACCATGGTGGTCGTTACAGAATGAATTTGCATTTGGGTGGAAAATATGCAAATATAACTAGAGAAGCTCTTGAAATATTTAAATCTAATTGTGAACCATGCCAAACCAAGGCTGAAAAATATATTGAGAGTGCAATTGCACGTTCAAACGAACTAACAGAAATTTCATCTCTACATGATTTGATACAATCATATTGTATAGGGAAACGTAAAAATAAGCCCTGTTTAACAGCTGAAGTTTTATGTAAAATTAAAGATAAGGATATCTGTCGGGGCTATTTATTTCTTATTGACGCACAATTATATGGGGATTCTAATTATAAATGGATACTGGTATATCGGGATAAATCAACCAAGTTTTGTGTCTTGAGAACAATTTCTTGTATGCTGGTTTCAGAAGTTGCCTTTGAGCTGTTTGATATATTTCATTTGTTTGGTACACCAACAATTTTATATAGTGATTTGACTGATAAGTTTTTTGTAGAAGTGATTGATGAACTCAAAATCTTATGGCCTGGTCTAATACTTGTCCGTGGAATTGCTCCGGATCAAAGCATTGTTGATTTGAAGCAGTCGTTAAATCATGATATTAAGAAAAAACTTGACAAGTGGATGAGTGATAGAAAATCTGACGTTTGGATTATAGGTTTGCGCTTTGTGCAAAGTGAAATGAACTCTGTATTTAATCCGGAAATAGACTGTTCACCATATACTGCCATGTTTGGCTCATCTTGTAGATACTTCGATATTTCATCTTCAGGACTGCCTGACAAAGTCACCAGCATTCTCAAAACAGAAGATGATATATTAACTATTATTAATATTCTGTCTAAATGTGCAAACCAATCCCAAATAGATCCTAGTTCAAAAGAGAGAGAGTCGTTATCAGAAGTATCGAACTTTGATCGGAAAGTGATTAACAGTGGTAGCACAAATACAGGCAATGACTCGCAAAATCACTGTGAAACCTCCAGAAAAAGGGGAATGTTTTTAGAGTCTGTCTTGAAAAAATCAATCAAAAAGCAAAAGAAATCGGTACAAAGCGTTGCTGAATTCAGTAAATCAAAGTCAATTGATGACACCACGAATAATTCTATCAATAATACATTAGAAATAAATCATGCAACATGAGTTGAAAAGGCTAGTTCACTGTATCTGAATAATACCTAGCACTGTCTAATACAATTTAAAAAGAGGATCAACGATGATCATTGTAATCATATACCAGACAATGAGAGTTTGGCAACTTGGAAAGGTTTTTAAGCTTCAAAATATAGTTTTCTTTCACCAAATTGATCACTTAGAACAGAGTGGCCCAAACCCAGGCCCGCGGGCCACATGTGGCCCGCTGCTTCATTATCTTTGGCCCGCGCCGCATTCGGAGAGTAATCAAAATATCTCATTTTAAATTGCTTCTCATAAAATAAATCAAAAAAATCGTTTGACATATTGTTGTTATCACCACTGTGACTGAATTGACTAGTATGATGGCCAGCTGAAGCAACTAGCGAAGTTGAAGATGTGATGGGCAGTCTAAATTGTTACCTGGATTTTTATCGTTTTGGTCGGGAATATAATTATGCTAACCATATAGGCATGATAAAAAACTAAAAATCGAATGATGATTCCATTAGCCTAGGTTGATAATGCCTGATAACTATGTGTTTACACAATAGAAGTGCTTGTTTTGTATTGCACTGTTTACCTATTCCTGGTACTATTGTGGCCCGCGACCAATGCCAAAATGATATTTTGGCATTGCGACCTTAATTGTGACACTTTCTACCGCTTGATTTTTTGCATTCTGTACTGTGTAAACATTCATAATGTGATATTTCATGGCAAATTCTTTAATTAAATAAAGAGATTATGTAATTGAATCTAAAATGTGATATCATGAATAACAATATTTATCAAATAATAATTCTCCAATTCACCTGCTGAGTTCATTTTAATTTGACAAATTTTGCAACCTTACTTTCATGCTGCAAATCTTTGTTTTGTAAGTGAATATTTGCTCAGTAAAATTTTATAGATCATGATTCCTATTCACTCAACCTCTACCTATATTTTTGTACCCTAACTAACAATAGCGGTAGCTAATGTTGTAAAACTTTGTGAATTTTTGAGCCCTATTACTACACTACTGCATTTTATTTTTATTAATACAAATTATACAATAAAATTGATAAGCAGACACACACATTTGTTATTTACATTCATGTAGCAATGCTGATTTCACAATTTTTTTCAAATTTGTTTCTGTATAATTGCTAACACTTTCATTCATTCTTAGGAATTCTTCAATTGTATCATAGAGTTATATTAAATTAGCGAATATGACGACTGTTCCATCAGCCTTTAACCAAGTAGAACAAGCTCCTCCTGTTGCTGTCTTCAAGCTAAAGGATGATTATACTGCAGATAGCGCTGAAGAGAAAATCAATTTGGGAGTAGGAGCTTACAGAGATGCAAATGGTCAGCCTTGGGTTCTTCCTGTAGTCAGGTCTATAGAAGCACAAATGATAAATGACCCTGCTCTAAACCACGAGTATTTGCCTATATCAGGCCTACCAGCATTTTGTCAAGCAGCAACAAAGCTTTGTCTTGGCTCAGACAGCAAGGCGATAACGGAGAACAGAGCCGGTGGCGTGCAAGCTCTCAGTGGCACTGGTGCACTTCGACTTGCTGCTGAGTTTTTGAAACGTTTCTACAATACTCATGTGGAAAGCACTGTTGTAAGTTATCCTGACCCGACATGGGCAAATCATGATGCTATTTTTAGATACGCTGGGTTTACGGATCGCCGTAAATACAGATACTGGGATGCAAAGAACAGGTGCCTCGATTTAGCTGGTTTAAAAGAGGACTTGCTACAGCTTCCCGAGTTTTCTATCGTCATCCTTCATGCCTGTGCTCACAATCCCACTGGTGTAGACCCTACTCAAGAGCAATGGAAGGAGATAGCAGATGTTTGTAAACAAAAAAATCACTTTCCTGTATTCGATTCTGCTTATCAAGGATTTGCCACTGGTGATCCAGATGTTGACGCATGGAGTATTCGTCACTTTGAAAAATGTGGATTCGAGTTCTTTGTTTGTCAGTCATTTTCGAAAAATTTTGGTCTTTACAATGAAAGAGTTGGAAATCTCGCAATGGTGATGAAGGATCCAGATTCGCTGACACGTAGCAGATCTCAATTGGAGTTGATTATCAGAGGAATGTATTCAAACCCACCAAACCATGGTGCAAGGGTGGTTGCAACAGCCTATGTAATCCATCTTCATTGGGAATGGCATGATAATATTCGCACCATGTCAGCTCGAATTAAGCAAATGAGGAAATCTCTGCATGAAAAGCTAAAAATACTTGGCACTCCAGGAAATTGGGATCATATCGTTAATCAAATTGGAATGTTCTATACAGGTCTCAACCAAGCTCAATGTGAATTCATGGTAAAACAGAAGCACATCTATCTGATGAAATCTGGGCGTATCAGCATGTGTGGTCTGACTGAAGGTAACATTGACTACTTCGCTCAGTCCCTGCATGAAGCTGTCACAAAGATCAATGAAAATAAACTTTAAATAGAACATGATTATGCATGAATAGTAATTGCCACAAAAATTTTTTTTCAGTAGTATGACAATAATGTTTTTCGAGTTAGATTATTTTATATTTACTATAATTACTGTGATTATGTAAAAATTATTTTAAATCGTGAAAGTTTCACATCTAATAAAGTTCAATAGTGACTGAAATAACACTTGATACTTCATTGTTTTTACAGTCTGATGTTTCCACATGTTTTTGATAATAATATTGTATGTGACGGAAATTATGGTATTTTTATAATGCATTACTCAATTCGGTGAATGTGTATAAATAAATGAGTTCCTGGTTATGAAATTAGTTTTGATTTTTTTTGTTTCATGACCCATTTGGGCAAGGTTTATTCTCTGCTAATTTCTATATATTCTCTCAAATACTATTTTCTTCGTAATTCAATTTTCATGCATAAATTCATTAAAGTGGTGTGTAATAAGCTTTGAAGACACATATTTTTGTGTTTTTATGTATTATTGCATAATGGATCTTGTGTTATGTTTAGATATATAACTAGATATTCATTAGAATAGAAACTGAGTTGTATATTTGCTGCATATCGATGGCGTCCGCTGAACTGTTTGAAGATCCTTTTGATCCAACTGAATATGTTGAAAGACTGGCATGGAGAACACCCGGTGGTGGTACAAAAGGCGGAGCTCAAGGATTCAACCCTCGACTCTTGTATGATGAATTCGTGGCTCACATCAATGAACTGAAAATACTTGATGCTAGAATTCAGCAAAAAGCTGAGAAGTTGGACGTTGCTCTTGAAAAAGAATCGCGTTTACATAAAGATAGACTCATGGAGTTGCAAAAGAAAAATCAAGAGGCTTTTGGTCAGTTTCAGGCATTGGATGATCGAATTAATTACGTTGCTACCAAAGTAGTTCATCTCGGGGATCAGTTAGAAGGTGTAAATACACCTAGAGCACATGCTGCAGAAGCTCACCAACTCATGCAATATTTTGACGAGTTTTTGACCGGGAAACTCACATCTGAAGTCCTGACAAACCAGTATAGAGTGCGAGAGGCTGCTGAAATTGTACATAAGCTACATCTTATTGCGCAAGAATTACCATACGATAGGTTCTCTGAAGTGAAAGGCAGAATTGTTTCCAAGTACCATCAAATTGAAGAAGAATTAATTGATGAGTTCAAGGAAGCTCACAGGAATGGAGAAGTGAAAAAAATGCAAGAACTTGCATCTACGCTTTCTTTGTTTACAGGTTATCAACACTGTATTGATGCATTTATAGATGAAAATATAAAGAATGCATTCTACAACAAAAACGACATATTTAACGAAATATTAGACTTGTGTACAAAAGTCAGCAAGATCATTGCTGAAGTGTTTTCATCACCAGAACAAGTTATGGGCAAACTGTTGTCAAAAATATATCAAAGCAAACTCAAGGATCAAGTTGAAAAAAAGCTCAGTGAAAGTAGAACCACAGACCCTGAAAAGTATTTACAAAATCTCTATACACTCTATTCAAAAACTGTGGAATTATCTCAAAAGCTTTCTCAATTTAAATTGGGTTCAGATTCTAATTTTATCACAAAATTGACGAACGGCATTTTCAAAAGTTATCTCGACTCTTACATTGATGTTGAAATAAAATTTCTTAAGGATAAAGCAATGATGATATCACAACGTTTCTATGATTCAAAAGATCATGTAAAAAAACCTGTCGCGGCTGTATCTTCATTAAAAGCCGTCATTGCGGACAAAAGCAGAGGACATATTACATTTGGAATGAGTAGCAATGTTCCTGAAAATACCAGTGGAGAAACTTATCTTTCACAGGAATTGGCCATCAATCTGCTTCAAGAAACAAAAATGGCTTTTGCAAGATGCAGAGTTTTGTCAAGCTCATCTGTTTTGAGCAATAATTCTGTTCAGATCTTCAATCTATTGGTGGAATATTTATGCGATCAACACATCGGATATGCTATTGAATTGTGTTTACAGGGCATACCTACAGCTGAATGCAAAGCTGAACCTAATTTGTATTTTTTTGATGTCTCTCAACAAACAAACATCATTTTTCATCTTTTTGAAAAACAGTTCAGCGACACTCTTCTGCCTTTAATCAGTTCTTCTTCAAGATACGGTGAATGCATTCAGAGAAAGAAACAAATCCGTGAGCAAATGGAAGTTAAACTTGATTCTGGTATTGATCGCTGTCTTCAAGCTGCCATAGGATGGATGAAAACTATATTTAAAACTGAACAGAAAAAGAATGATTATTCGACTGATAAACCACCTGAGCGTCAATGTACGCAGGCATGTAACACAGTATGTGCGTATTTCAGCAGAATCATGGATTATATCAGGAAATCTCTTGATGGAAACAATGTTGAAGCAGTTCTTGCAGAATATGGAAAAAGATTTCATCGCCTGCTTTTTGAACATTTCCAGCTTTTCAGATTCAGTTTTATGGGGGGAATGATGGCAATTTGCGATATTAATGAATACAGGAAATGTGCAGAAAAGCTTTGTGTACCCTTCGTCACGAATTTGTTCGAAAGTTTACATTCCCTATGTAATCTATTAGTAGTTGCCCCAGAAAATTTGAGACAAGTTTGCACTGGTGAACAATTGTCAAATCTCGATCGCACTGTTTTACATTCATTTATTCAGCTTCGTTCAGATTACCGCTCTGCAAAACTAGACAAGCTCTTTGCTAACTAAATGAATCGCTTTCTTTTGTTCTCATGTATAAATAATATAGACTGTATCATTCTATTGTTCAAATTTAATATTACAAATGTTATATTATCCAGTACTGAGCTAAATAATAAAACTCAGAGTTTCTATTATCTATGATTAGAATTTATGTTGAAATTTTATCATATTCAACAACTTCTTACTTTCACATATTCCGAATGATTTGGACTATTCTAAGGATAAGTGCAGCGAAGGCTGAAAAGTGTTAACTTCCATTTCCATGAAATTCTGTGTATCCTATCAGCTATCACTTTCTTATATATATATATATATATACATTCATTCTTGAGCATCCAGGCATGTGGAGGCTCTCAATGTTACTTTGATTTGAAACAAGAGTCAATTTGGGACATTATTGATGCTTCCTTTCATGTCTCATTGACTGGATAGTTAAAAATTTGGTTGTCTGTGATAAAAGATACTGAAATCTCAGTGACCGTTTTCGAATTTTCATGGAATCCTATTATTACATTATGGGGTGTACCAGGGTATTGTGCACTGAACTACAAGTCCTCTCTCCATGTTTACTTTCTATTGCGGATTCGTATGTGTCAATTGCCACATGGATGCTTATTCATATTACATTATGGCTCTTAATATGCAAATTATAATTTTGTTTTGATTAAGTTAGCACTTGGATGCTCAGAGTAGTATTGTTTCGTGAATTGCGCCCTCTGGATCAGAATAGATAGAATCCTGCTTACACGATTTGAGCTAAACTTCTGATCACTGTTTAATATCCAGCATAACTTTTACTACATAATGCTCATTAATAATCATCTGTAACATTGAAACTTATTCATTGATTGCCTAATACCCAGTTTATTTTCTTCTTCGTCCTTATGTGTATTACTCGTGCTCCTCTTGCTGCAATAAATGTACTAAGAAATTCTATTTTGCATCAATCTTTATTATCACAGTTTTAAAGTTTTTGAATGTGTGAAATGGGGTGATCGATTCAGTTGGACCTAATGTCATAGATACAATACTTCATTTGGAAAACTACAAATCACACAAAACAGAAATAATAGGCAGAAAAACCACACAGAGTGGAGTGTGACTTGGCAAAAACCCTGACTGGAATCGTGAGACTTAGACGATCTTCTGTTTGAAATGTGGATGACAGCTTTTGATTACCATCAGCTATTTTATCCAAATCCTATAATTTCGATCGAATGAAGCAATTATGGAACACCCCCGTGGCCCTGGTCAGAAATTAATATGCTTTCGCATTCACACTAATTTCGTATATAACACATATTATTTAGTTTCATGATTTATGTGGTGCAAAGGCTTTTACAAGAGATAGCCAACCTATAAAAATACTTTTCCGTTGCCTACATGAAAATACTAATTTTCTGTGAAGCGGAAAAGTCGCATCAATTTTGTCTGAGGTTTATTGAACAATCGCTATCTCTGCACTTCCGATGAATGCATGAACGACTGTGGTTTGTTGTATGATAACGTTCCTTTATTCTCTTGTGATATAAATAAGTCGCTCCTTCTGAAATTGGCATTTCGCCCCTTATCATTGTTTACTTCAAGTCATATATCGTCACGCTAATAACCGAATTGCGTAAGTCAATTTTAGCAGTTTTGAGAAAAACGTAAAAAACTTTCTAATGATATTGTTATGCCATTGAGAGTCAATAATTTGCCATGGTTCAATTTTTTGATCGTAGCTGGATTTAAGTTAATTTGTATGACGCAGTTAAGTGACGTCATAATGGCGCACTGTGACTTGGGCAGAAATGTGTCTATGACTCGGGGACATACGCAATTTTGCAACTTTACAATATGTACCAGTCCTGTAAATTAAACTTTCCAAAAACGAATGTAATTCTCAGTATCTACAATGTCTAATCCCAAAAATAGCTAATCAGTTTCAATAACATTATTTTTCATGTTTAAAAATATATATTTCATCAATATAACACGTTCTGCACAACCACCAAAATAAGACTAAAATTAAATATAAAGAATAAAACATCAATGCACCTAATAAAAAGCCAACCAAGGTGAATTGGACTCGGACAGTGAATATCACAAGTGCACGCCTTCCTATACTGTAGTATAAATTCAAATTAATATGCGCTAAGCTAGAATCCGAGATGCAAAAACTCGAAAATACCTCGGCGAGGTTATTTTGCCTTTGTGACGTCACAATAGTCCTGTAATAATTCATTATGACGAAACAATTTCACAAATGTGCATGCCATACTAAATCTCTATTTTTATGGGTTTTGGATTTCCTTAAATAAAATCTGAGTTAACAGACAGGTGCGCAGCATTACATAAATACCTATTTTATAAAAAACTCAAAATCGCCAAAAATGACTTACGCATTTCGGTTATTAGCGTGACGATATATAAAAGTGTAAAATATAAAAGTAACATTTTCGGTAAAATAGTGGGTCCATGAGACTTTTGAAACAAACATATATATAAGTAATGGCCTTCTATTCCTAATTATCGTGCGTACACATAAAGTTTACAAATCCAAAGAAAATCTTCACGATTCTGTATAAATCTACTCTACCTCTTCTAGCAGTCCAGGACTGGACCAATCGAATATTACAAACATTATTCTGAAAATTTGTTTTGAATTTTCACAATCACAGCAGGTATAGTGATTACCCAAAAATGAATAAGCAAAGGATGAACCATCTTTTTGTATTTTTCAAGCTACTTAAGGTCTTGTTTGCTCTCCTGGTTCTATAATCAGTTTTTATATTTATTTGTTTCCATTAATTATTTTATTGTCTTTTATGCTGATTATGGAGTCGAAATAAATTTGTACTCGTATATATTTCATTGCGCTTAATAGAGCTTTTAATCGAGTCTCGCGATTCCTAGCGTCTGTGCACAACGGAACGTTTGCTATAATTGGCCTGAGTTCGAAGCATCTTCGCACACGCACAAATGATCTTTACAATGCAATTTATTCAAGTATTGCATAAACCGCTAGTAGCGAATATCTTATGTATTTAATGTCGCGTTCTGAAATATCTTTTGAGCTAGTTGCAAAAATATTCAGTGTATGCTCAACGGTGTGACGCATGGTTCCATTACATTTGAAACCCCGACAATTGAACCTATGGAATTGGTTTACCGATATTTGAACCCATACTAACCCTAACTCATGGGTTTTAGCACCCGCATATAAATTGATCCCGCGGATATACACATGGGTTCAAATGTACGGTCACTGTGGCGCATCATTCCACTACCAGAGTGGTGACTCCTCTACCGCCCACGATCTAATTTGATCATAAGTTTTTGCATTCCCTCTGATCTCGTAAGCACATTTTATTTAGTTTCATGATTATGTGTTGCAAAGGCATAATACATTTCAACCTATCGTCAATGAAATAGGTCGAGTATTCTACTGTCCGAAATTGCCCCCATGATTCACAAAATTAGAAATTTGGCTTTTTAGCATTTGGAAAAACTACACCTCTAACGAACATGTAGCTCACATGGATCATGAAAGAAATATTACCTGGTGACTGTCGGCTTAAGGTTCTTAAGCATGTCGATATGTATTTTATAATTCCCCGAGACAATTATATGCATATGCAAACAATTAAATAATATAATGAAAAATGTGGAAATTTGTATAATTAATCGGAATTCGCGAACACTGCAAAGGCCAAACTGTCATCTAAAACTCTAAAAAGCACAGTCAAGGATTATGGCACAATAAGAAGTCGAAGTTTAAATTGTAACCAAGGAAATTTTTCACAATCATTTGCACCGAGTTAAGTACGTACGTTCAATAAATCTCCATAATAGTTAGTTTATACTTTTCAATATTGAAACGGATTTCGCAGAGAACGGAGTAAATAATGAGTGATTTTATAACAATTACACATTGCATTAGAAACATTCGTGGCTATGAAATAATGGCTACACAGTTCAAATATGTAGAAAATGAACGCGATTTGAATTGACAATATGCTGTTTCTGGTATTGCGAATTATATCAATTAAAAATTTATTTACAATAACTGTTAATTATCCTGGATGAAGATACGGGTTCGAATATTTACGAAGTTTCTCATTATGTACGACAGCATTGCTGGACGAATCTTAGCTGATTTTGAATCTTAGCTGATATGCCTCGTTATTTAATTACTTTCAAATAGGTTTACAACTAATAATATACAATCTTAGTGTTTCGTAAAACATACTCATAAAATTTCAAATCATTGATTCGGTTTCGAAACTCCAATATTGCTAAAAATTTGGTGTGTGGAGTAGTAAGTTATTCAAACATCCGAGGGATCCCATTCCTCATAGCAGGGGTGGGCAAGCTTTTTGGACCAGGGGACAAAAATTTTGCCCACCTAGACTGGCAGGCCATGTAACTGTGACGTAAAAAGTTACATTTTATGTTTACAATTAAGCCTTGTGTCGAAACTAAATTTAATCGCAATCTCAACAAATTCTTTGAGCTATTATTTTTAGCCAAAACATCAAAATTTGGTTTTAGTTAGGTTGTGGCAATTGTCAAAACAGATTTGAGATGAGTATCGGTCAATTAAAATCTGTGTTTGGATTTGTTGAAATTCATCAGACTGAAGGTCAGTTCAGTCACTGAAATGGACAAAAATTAGTCTTTAAATATTTAGCTATCAATCTTCACGAATTAGGGTGCAGAAAAGACATACAGCAACAGATTATTAGAAACCAGGGGAAAGCGATAGACTAAATATTATGGTAAGAATGCGTAAGCTATGAACAAAAAAGGACGTTGAGATAGCGCTTTGGGGACGTTAACAAATCTTTGTCGATACTAAATTGAAACGCCGTCGAATCGAGTGAGCGAGAAAACGTGAAGTTTTGTTAACGTCCCCATAACTAGAAAGTCCTTGGCAACCCAAAATACAATTTACATAGACTACAATCATAATCTAACAACCTATAGCACCATCTAGATTTTAATAACAACAACTATATACATAGTGCAAGCAGAATTGATGAAAAGCAGAAATTTATGGCAGCATCAGCCGGGCCAGATTGAATACCCAACATTTATTCCGTCCAGTGAAATATAACATACGAAATTGAGAAAAAATAAATAAAACTTAACATACATTTTAACTTGGGAAGGAAAGTTATGGGGAACCAAGCCGCGACAGCCAAGGTTCAATATCAAATTAAATTTTACTTCAATGTAATTTTTTTTTCAATTCACCACCCCCTCAGACCAATACCTTATGACAATACCTTACATGTATAAGTATATGAGACCAAACCATGGTCAAACTACTTAACACAAGAGCATGCATCTGAAATTAATAACTGGCTAACCCATCCGATACCCGACATCGACTGGTAAGCGGACGAAAGGTGGTTCGCCATATGAGTAAGCCGTATTATTGGCTTTTCTCTTCTCCGGGATAAATATGTAATCCCATCCTGTAACTGTATAACTAAAATGGCAGAATGACCATGACCGAATAAAAAGAAAGTTGGGCGTATCGTAAACAGGAAGTATAGGTCATAGTCAATTTAATTTTTTCAACCAGCAAGAAATATTAAATGATACAAATACAATAAATATGCAATTATATCAAGAATAATTATGCTTGGCAAGGGGAGCTGCGGCATCCAAGATGACATTTTGATGTCTTTTATCTCAGTTCATTTTCTGCGTGAGTTCTTGTCTCTCCTTGTTGATTTCTGTTTCGGCTTGGCTTCACCTTGTTTTCTCTCTGCTTCTTTCTGTTCACCATTGTGGCAGATGACTTCAGAAGGTTCGAGTAAATTCTCTATTTTTTTCAAATCAAAGTTAATAAAACGATAGTTTTCAATTATTTTGTTGTTTTTCGTTTGGTCAATGTTAGTTTTTACTTATTGTATAGTGTACGGATTTACAACTTAGAAGATAAAATTTCGTTAAATTACTTTATCGCTTTGTTTATGTGGATATAATGAGTATATATATATAATATATATATGTACCAGAGACGAAGGAAGAAGCGTCACAATTGTAATAATTTAAGCGTTCTGCGATCCTATTATAATAACTATGAAAGTAGGAACATTAAAGACTGAGAATGTAAATATAAAAACAAAATTATTATATTCTAAACTTCTTCTTACTGTTTCGAAATGAGCTTCCATGACTGATACGCATACTTAAATATTATTATTATAGATATACGAAGTAATTTTGAATACATATCTCATGGAAAATGTTATCAATTTGTGGTGCCTTTCGCGAATGTATTTTTTTTTATCTGTATCTGGGTAAAGTGTAAAAAGAGAACGCATAAATTTCCTAATTACTCACTGATTAATGAAGTAAATTATTTGATTCCATTACGGGCATAACTGTACTCAAACGTTTTAGAAATCTAGGGCGTTTACCACAAAAGGGAGATGAAGGAGGAACCCACTCGACGTCACTGCTGATTGTTAATTAGCCTTTCCCGAAATCACTCTTTCAGTCGGTCAAGGGGTTGGTTTGATATGTGAGAGACCGTCAAACCAATACGGACCGATTAGGTTATGTTTGAAAATGATTAGCCATGCCGTGCACTTTACTGAGTGCGACGGTCACTGAAAGCTGTGTCTCAATAAACACCATTGTTGCTATTCAGGAGCCCTGACAGCAGAAAATGCGTTTCAGTAGAAAACAAAATTAGTGATGGGCAAATGTGCGCAACGGATACAAGTGTGTCTCTAGAGCGGATAAGGTTATTTGGAACATACTGTAGAGAGAACATTTTGGCACAAAGTGTCTTAGATTACTGAAACTTTTGCGTAAAATCAGAAGTTGAATCGCAGACAAAATTAGATAATTCATGTGATAAGAAATAATAGTGATTGGAAAAATTGTGGGTTCCGTTTTTTAGGGGTCAAATTGTTAAATCGGATTCTATCCGCAGAAAATACTACATATAGACTTACCGTTTGAAGTGTTTACTGCATCAAATGATTCTTTTTTGCTGCCAGATGAAAGATTACAGAGCTTTTGTATAATCCATGGGCAACTACCATGATAACCTGGAAGAAGTCAATGACAAACATAAATTTTTACAAAATAAAACTGCTAACTGAATAATGTATAAAGTCTTTTACTAATGAATTGCAATAGTATGTCTATGTTACGGTAGTGTTATTTAGGCAATAGCATATATAGGGTTACCATATTTTTGTGACCTCAAAGCGGGACGCCTCCAAAGACCATAGCTGTGATTTTTTTAACTTTAAATTTACCAATTTTACATTGGGGGCTTTCATTCAAAACCATCCCGGCTGTTTTTATTGGCCATATTGTCATCGGGAGTTCATGCGCTGTCTGTCTGAATATGGGTTACAGTTCGAAAAATAGAAAGGAATTTATGATAACGTTAAGCACCCTTTTGGCGTACAGGGCTTACACGTAACAAATTGTAGGAATTATCCGTATACAACGAAACAAACAAATTCACGCATCCATCTTCAGTAAGTAGTCTCCATGTACGCTACACAGCAACAACAGTATATCGAGAATCTGCTAATTGGTAATGTTCGTGTATTGTGCTGACTGGCTGAACGCCAAACGGGACTTTTGGCTGACCGGTCGGGACGCCGGGACAAGAAGTTGAAAAGTGGGGCTGTCACGCCTAAAACGGGACGTATGGTAAGCCTATATTATGGACAAAGGATCATCTTCATTATACCATATACAATCTAATTTATCTTCATACATTTTTTAGGTCACTTTCGAATCTGCCGACAGATCAGTCAGAATAAACTATGTTTAAATAACAAGAGAGCTATGCTCAAATATATGGACACGTAGAGTCACATAATTTTGATGACGTCATAGCGAAAAAAAAGTAATAGCCTTCTGGAGAAAATTTTTATCTTCAACCACTGAAAATTTCAAAGCAATTGGTCTAGTATTCGAAGAGAAAAGCGACTTTTTAAAAACGTGTCAAAGAACAAGAACAACAACAACAACAACATAATATTGAAACGATCGTTATGTCCACTACGTGTCCAATAAATATATGTAAAATGTAACTTACTTATCAGCGCAACAAAAGGTCCAATAAATAACATTAGACAAATCATAACGATTGCCGCAGTTGACACACATTCACAGTTGATTGGAGGAGACTTTTTTAGTTCTCGTAACTCTTTTTGTAATTCACTCAACTGTAATTTAGCAATATGAACGTTTGAATATATTATTTTCGATATTCACTGAATAATATCAAATGTCTGAAATGCCATACCGTTCAAAAAAATGCAAAATATCTTTCGACAAAACGAAAATAAAATTACTGCCAAAACGTTTTCTTTTTTGGAGAATTATTATGAAATGGAGACAATGAAATTGGAACAACATGCCAAGTATATTCTTCAATATAAACGGAAATGATAAAACAGCAAACTAGCGATGCTTAGTATAATAAATTTTGTTAAAACTTACCTTAATTTCAATTTCGGCGAAGATATTCACTTCGGCCTCATCATCATCATTGATACTTGTGCTAGGTGGACAATCAGTGTTGATTCTGACGCTTGTATTTGATTGTTCATCCTCTGTGGAAATCTGGGGAGATTTAATGCAATTTTTTGAGTTTATTTTTCAGCGTAAATGGAGATATTATGGCAACAAAATCAAATCATTGATGAAGATATTATTCGGCTTCAGATATCACGAATTTCAGGGACCGATTATTCTCGACCTTGAAATCCTAAAAACCGGAAGATGTTTTATTATAAACTTATTATTGGACACGAAATGTATATACATATGAATCAATATGGTGCGGGCTATATTATACGGTAATTGTATTTCGACAGGGAATCAGGATTCAGAAATTTATCAATCCGTGATTTGTAGCTGGCATAAAACACTGAAGCTAAGAAGGAAAATGTATCAAAAATAAATTGCACAGTGAAAATACGAAAATTGTTACACTCGCCTCATTCTCTGTGAAAGTGTTGTTGAATGGTACTGTGTTCGGGCAAACACACTCGGTCGTCTCTGGCAAGCCGTACCTTCAAAATGTAAATATTTATAGTTAAATATGCAACCGACGTATGTATTGATAATGAAGCTTGTAATGATTTTAGCGGTTAAAAGTTTTAGCGATTCACGTACTATATTAATCTTTACAGGAGGTGTCATTTTCATCTCAAGCAGGTACATATATATTCCCGTTATGAAAGTACGTTCTAATAATATGATTTTAGACAAAAACAGTCCGCCATACCGTAACGCAACGGTACAGATCTTTGACAAGATCTATCCATGATTGGAGCGACAAAAAAAACTCAAATTCCAGAAACTAATAGTCTGTGGGTATTGTTGCAATCTACCAAGAATACCAGTCTAAAGGTGAAGAAATCTTCCTTTTTTATGTTTGGAAAAACATTAAACAAACTAAAAAATACAAAATGCCTCCTAATTCGTCACATTGTGGTAGCTACTCTATTGACAATTATCAGATTTTAAATTTTCGCGGGAAAATTATCCAATGTCAACAGAACTATAAATGACTGTGTTGCATCAGCATACCGACTTAACTATTATTTGTCCGTTATTTCACATTGATATCTTACCCACCTGCAGAGTTTAACCTGTATCAGTGGTTCCCTACATTTACAGCAAAACATGACGTAGCCATCTCGTAATGGTATGTATTCAACATGAAAAATTCCACACATTTCTTTGGAATGAGCTTCGTATGTAATAGGGCGATCAGAAAATCCGAATTTTCCAATCTGAATGATAAAAATACAAGTTGCTATTGTCACGTATAATAAAACCACGACAAAATGTGTTTAGTGAAATTGGACATGTTGGCCATTTCTATCAGATCCGTATCGCAACGGCTATTTAATAGGAATTGGAAAAGTGCCAACAAAGTGAACCACAAGTTGAAATCATCACACCAAAATAATTTAAGGGTATATATAAAAACTTGGACTGCCTGTGCATTTTGTCGCATTTTTGCGTTCCGGTTATTGTTAAACACTAGGATTTGATAAGTATTTTTCCACCATGCTTTCCAAATATATATATCGTAAAATAGAATTTCCCAAACAGTAAACTTTTAAGCCGCCACCCCTTTCGCGCCCACTTAAGAATAACTGGCTAGCAATAAGCTACAAATAACAGACAGGAAGGCGAAAATGTGTTTATTTAAAAAAAAACGTTGCAAATACGTGGATTGAACGTGAATATCCAAAATAAGGCGGGAAAGATCAAATCTAACAAATATTTTTTTATTAGCTCCGGGCCCCCGAAATCGTCTACGCCTCCCTTGTTGGAAGTACCCAGCCGTTTGAGAACCACTGGTCTAAAACAACGTTTCTCAGTCGTTCCCATCGTAATGGCTACTTATAGTGGTATTGTCAAATGAATTTTTATATTACACGGTTTATAACAAATATGCTAATGAATGCGCCACCAAGTATATAAATTACATACCAACATCAAGATCATCAATACGTAAATTTTCTTTTGCATTGTTTTTCAGTTGTCTTCATCTATCTATACTATACTCAAATGAAGCACTTTTTGATAAGTAGACTGAAAGAAATGTATCATAAGCAGGGCCTGTTTCGCGTAAAACGGAAAGTCTTGTCGTAAGAGCCACGTGACATGAGGGGGCGGACGGGCTTTAGTTGGAAATCTAGAACGATAACTTCGTTTAGAAGGTGATTCATCAACTTTATAGAACAATCACCACATACCATAGTCAATAAAATAATCTCTTTCACTGTCTGGATTATTCCAGGACTAACACTCAACTAAAGCTTACGATGAAAATTGAATTTGTTGCTGGGTAGGTTCAGTAAGAAAAGATCCAATTGACAATTTTATGTCAAGACCTGACGAATGTATGAAATGTCTTTCTCTGTACGGAGAAGGACCGATAACATTGAATATTATGTTCACCACGAACCGGTATCAAAACATTTAAATGAATGGAACACAAAATGCTTACTTAAAACTATCGTAATCGCAGCTTGAGATCGAGCCCCACCGGGGAATCACTTATATATACTCGTCATACAATTTATCGAAAGGCAAAGCGCTCTGTTGCGAAATATAACTTTTCTGTAGACAGTCGATCATGTTGGAACAACCGTTCAGAACCTCTGACTACACGAATAGAAACTTTCTCCTGGCATCGCCCATATTTGAAAACCTGATAATATTGTCAACTTTATTGTGAGCTTTATATAGAAAAGACTCTTACGAAAATCACCATGTATCCTAACAACGTAACCTTTTCCAGAAGGTACACTGTTTAATTCTTACTGTCATAAAATGCTGTCAAATTATCATTTCACCTCTAGTTATATATTACTTTATATTACCTTACTTGTCTTTCAGGCTTGAATGAACAGCCTCAAGTCTGAATAAATACGTCTGTCTGGCGTTCACAAAGCATATTGCGTGTAATAGATACAATTGTTTCTCCAAGAAGTTGGAAGCCACGCCGAACGATTACAATAACATGCTCTATTGAATGTGGAATATTCCTTTGTCGAACTTCAATGAATCAATAACTTACATTAAGTAAGCTTTTATAGTTGTCGAATTTGGACTTTGGTCGTGAGTTTTTTCGCCTGACGACGCAAGAAAGAAGTTTAATAATAATAATAAGTATATTTCGACTTCATAACCCACATAACTGGCAATAACATAATTGGTAAAAACAAATAAATAAAAACTGATTATGAAGTCAGGGGAACAAACAAAACCTTAGATAAGGTTCAAAACGTACAGAATATAAAATAGAAGGTATTGCCGAAAATAAGTGGTACGTGTTCACTCATCTAAAATTATTTCACACGCGCTCACACTCATCCACCCACACACACATACACGCACAATCACAGAGAAATTATTAAGTAAAAACGCGATAAACTTATAGTAAATTACATAGTAATCAAAAATAACGGAAAGTAAAAAATTGCTTGCCACACCATATCAATAATTTTGTAACGGTTGGCACTGTCAAATTGATCGATTTTCCAATCGGAAGTGAACAGTGAAGAAAAACTTTCATTGAAAACATATTGCCAAGCTGATTATTATATTTGTAGTCAAATGCTTAAAAAAGGTCGAAAATGAGAGAATCCAGGGTTCTACCTCCTCAAAAATCACCGGGTACTTGTCTGATGACCTGTACCAAAATACATCATAACCATTTTCGGTAAAATTCATCTTCGATTCCTCATCATGTGGGCTACCACGGCTTCCAGCCCGGTTACCAGTCAATAGAATGAATCAGCTATGTATGTTTCAGATTCATGGACTTGATAGCGGGGAAGCCGTAACTGACGATAGGCTACGCCAGGGTACAACCTTTTGTAGCTCGTGGGCCAAAATTAAAGGTTGCAAGTCTTGACGGGCAGCAAAGTTAAAGTTAAAAAGTTGAAAGTTAAAAACGGAACAATACGAGCAGACTGCGACAATTCGTGAACTCAACTCAGTTGTCTTATCAAAAGAAAAAAATTACAAATGCCATTTAATGTAACTCTGTCTTGTTGCTGCATCATGCTTGATAGCTTTTCGATGGCACACTGAATGAAACCAAGATTAGGACATTTTCTGAATGGGCATCAGTCACTAACCCTAATTCTCTGCTAGTTCTTCGTAATATTCATTTTCTAAAATAATTGTTGCACAAATATGCACTTTCCGAACAATGAATTATATTTTTTCGAATGGTTTGTCAAATATTCATAGAGATTTTTTTAAGAAGATACATTTCTATAAAAATCAATCTTTCGAAAAGAATATGAATATTATTTCCTCATTGCATTGGAGCTCCATTTGAATATTTTCTGCGCCATTGAAACCCTGCACTCAGCATCAATTTTCTGCAGTTGCAATTTGTTTAATTATGATTAAATTGTAGGATCTTTAAACGAGTAGCTGTTCACTAAATTAATAGGTCATAACCGTTATACTATAACTTCTAGTCTAAACGTGTCTCACGATAAATTCTGTTACGTAAAAAATATAATCTATTGCTCGAGCGTAGAATATAAAATTAATTCATCGTCAAAATCGCCGTTTTGTCGCTATAATAAGTGCGAGCGGGAGTATTTTACTCCGCGGCCGGATCTGGCCCACTTTAAGAATTTCTGGGTCATTCCATTGCCCTAATTAAAGCCAATTATTGGCTAAATTATAGTCCAGATTGTAAGTACTTAAACTACCAGTACGGTATAGGTATGATTAAACACAATAACTAAAGTAAAGTAGAACAATAGTGTATGGGAATAAACTGGTTACAAAGCAAGTTTTTTTCCATTACTGGATATTGACTTCATTGACTTTTAATTATCGCCTTACCGAATGTATTAGGTACTAAAGACGAGATCATCATAATTACTGATGTGATGAATTACTGAGAGTGGAACGATTTTTTATTGAATGTCCAAGGTTTCGAGAAGTAATGAAGCTACAAGATCAAACATGCCACTGGACTGGAGTATTTTTTTATGGGTCATATGACAAGAGATAGCCAACCTATAAAAATACTTTTCCGTTGCCTACATGAAAATACTAATTTTCTGAGAAGCGTAAAAGTCCCATCAATTTTGTCTAAAGTTTATTGATCAATCGCTATCTCTGCACTTCCGATGAATGCATGAACGACTGTGGTTTGTTGTATGATAACGTTGCTTTATGATCTTGTGATATAAATAGGTCGCTCCTTCTGAAATTGGAAAATTGGCATTTCGCCCCTTATCATTGTTTACTTCAAGTCATATATCGTCACGCTAATAACCGAATTGCGTAAGTCAATTTTAGCAGTTTTGAGAAAAACGTAAAAAACTTTCTAAGGATATTGTTATGCCATTGAGAGTCAATAATTTGCCATGGTTCAATTTTTTGATCGTAGCCGGATTTAAGTTAATTTGTATGACGCAGTTAAGTGACGTCATAATGGCGCACTGTGACTTGGGCAGAAATGTGTCTATGACTCGGGGACATACGCAATTTTGCAACTTTACTATATGTACCAGTCCTGTAAACTAAACTTTCCAAAAACGAATGTAATCCTCAGTATCTACAATGTCTAATCCCAAAATTAGCTAATCAGTTTCAATAACATTATTTTTTATGTTTAAAAATATATATTTCATCAATATAACACGTTCTGCACAACCACCAAAATAAGACTGAAATTAAATATAAAGAATAAAACATCAATGCACCTAATAAAAAAGCCAACCAAGGTGAATTGGACTCGGACAGTGAATATCACAAGTGCACGCCTTCCTATACTGTAGTATAAATTCAAATTAATATGCGATAAGCTAGAATCCGAGATGCAAAAACTCGAAAATACCTCGGCGAGGTTATTTTGCCTTTGTGACGTCACAATAGTCCTGTAATAATTCATTATGACGAAACAATTTCACAAATGTGCATGTCATACTAAATCTCTATTTTTATGGGTTTTGGATTTCCTTAAATAAATCTGAGTTAACAGACAGGTGCGCAGCATTACATAAATACCTATTTTATAAAAAAACTCAAAATCGCCAAAAATGACTTACGCAGGTCGGTTATTAGCGTGACGATATATAAAAGTGTAAAATATAAAAGTAACATTTTCGGTAAAATAGTGGGTCCATGAGACTTTTGAAACAAACATATATATAAGTAATGGCCTTCTATTCCTAATTATCGTGCGTACACATAAAGTTTACAAATCCAAAGAAAATCTTCACGATTCTGTATAAATCTACTCTACCTCTTCTAGCAGTCCAGGACTGGACCAATCGAATATTACAAACATTATTCTGAAAATTTGTTTTGAATTTTCACAATCACAGCAGGTATAGTGATTACCCATAGATGAATAAACAAAGGATGAACCATCTTTTTGTATTTTTCAAGCTACTTAAGGTCTTGTTTGCTCTCCTGGTTCTATAATCAGTTTTTATATTTATTTGTTTCCATTAATTATTTTATTGTCTTTTATGCTGATTATGGGGTCGGAATAAATTTGTACTCGTATATATTTCATTGCGCTTAATAGAGCTTTTTAATCGAGTCTCGCGATTCCTAGCGTCTGTGCACAACGGAACATCTGCTATAATTGGCCTGAGTTCGAAGCATCTTCGCACACGCACAAATGATCTTTACAATGCAATTTATTCAAGTATTGCATAAACCGCTAGTAGCGAATTTCTCATGTATTCAATGTCGCGTTCCGAAATATCTTTTGAGTTAGTTGCAAAAATGTTCAGTATATGCTCAACGGTGTGACGCATGGTTCCATTACATTTGAAACCACGACAATTGCACCTATGGAATTGTTTTACCGATATTTGAACCCATACTAACCCTAACTCATGGGTTTTAGCACCCGCATATAAATTGATCGCGCGGATATACACATGGGTTCAAATGTACGGTCACTGTGGCGCATCATTCCACTACCAGAGTGGTGACTCCTCTACCGCCCACGATCTAATTTGATCATAAGTTTTTGCATTCCGTCTGATTTCGTAAGCACATTTTATTTAGTTTCATGATTATGTGTTGCAAAGGCATAATACATTTCAACCTCTCGTCAATGAAATAGGTCGAGTATTCTACTGTCCGAAATTGCCCCCATGATTCACAAAATTAGAAATTTGGCTTTTTAGCATTTGGAAAAACTACACCTCTAACGAACATGTAGCTCACATGGATCATGAAAGAAATATTACCTGGTGACTGTCGGCTTAAGGTTCTTAAGCATGTCGATATGTTTTTTATTAATCCCCGAGACAATTAAAATGCGTGACCGTACATTTGAACCCACGTACATTTGAACCCATGCGTATATCCACGGGTTCAATCTATATGCGGGTGCTAAAACCCATGGGTTAGGGTTAGTATGGGTTTAACTATCCGTGAAACAAAAAAAAATTCCATAGGTGCAATAGCATACAGGTGCAATTGTCATGGGTTCAAATGTACGTGGGTTCAAATGTAATGGAACCATTATATGCATATGCAAACAATTAAATAATATAATGGAAAATGAGGAAATTTGAATAATTAATCGGAATTCGCGAACACTGCAAAGGCCAAACTGTCATCTAAAACTCTAAAAAGCACAGTCAAGGATTATGGCACAATAAGAAGTTGAAGTTTAAATTGTAACCAAGTAAATTATTCACAATCATTTGCATCGAGTTACGTACGTACGTTCAATAAATCTCCATAATAGTTAGTTTATACTTTTCAATATTGTAACGGATTTCGCAGAGAACGGAGTAAATAATGAGTGATTTTATAACAATTACACATTGCATTAGAAACATTCGTGGCTATGAAATAATGGCTACACAGTTCAAATATGTAGAAAATGAACGCGATTTGAATTGACAATACCGTCACGCTAATAACCGAATTGCGTAAGTCATTTTTAGCAGTTTTGAGAAAAACGTAAAAAACTTCCTAATGATATTGTTATGCCATTGAGAGTCAATAATTTGCCACGGTTCAACTTTTTGATCGTAGCCGGATTTAAGTTAATTTGTATGACGTAGTTAAGTGACTTCATAATGGCGCACTGTGACTTAGGCAGAAATGTGTCTATGACTTGGGGACATACGCAATTTTGCGACTTTACTATATGCACCAGTCCTGAAAACTAAACATTCCAAAAACGAATGTAATTCTCAGTATCTACAATGTCTAATCCCCAAAATAGCTAATCAGTTTCAATTACATTATTTTTTATGTTCAAAAATATATATTTCATCAAAATAACACGTTCTGCACACCCACCGAGATAAGACTAAGATTAAATATAAAGAATAAAACAGCAATGCACCCAATATAAAAGCCAACCAAGGTGAATTGGACTCGGACAGTGAATATCACAAGTGCACGCCTTCCTATACTGTAGTATAAATTCAAATTAATACGCGCTAAGCTAGAATCCGAGATGCAAAAACTCGAAAATACTTCGTCGAGGTTATTTTGCCTTTGTGACGTCACAATAGTTCTGCGACAACAATAATAATTCCTTATGACGAAACAATTGCACAAATGTGCATGTCATACTGAATCTCCATTTTTATGGGTTTTGGAATTCTGGAAATAAAATCTGAGTTAACAGACAGATGCGCAGCATTACATAAATACCTATTATATAAAAAACTCAAAATCGCCAAAAATGACTTACGCAATTCGGTTATTAGCGTGACGATATGCTGTTCCTGGTAGTGCGAATTATAGCAGTTAAAAATTTATTTACAATACCTGTTAATTACTGTATACTGGATGAAGATGCAGGTTCGAAATTTCCAGATGTGCTTAAAATACGATAGAATTACTGGACACTATATATATTGTCAGTTTTTAAAAGTTGTATCAGTCGTCAAATGTGCACATTCCGAATCTCAGCTGATATGCCATGATATTTTAGTTGTAATTTAATAATTTCGGTTAAACTAAATTTTTGACTAATGAAATACAAACATACTCATAAAATTTTTAAATCATTGGTTTAATTTCGGTTAAACTAAATTTTTGGCTAATGATATACAAACATACTCATAAAATTTTTAAATCATCGATTCTGAATTCGAACTCCAATATTGCTACAAAGTTGGTGTGCAGCGTAGAAAGTTATTTGAACATCCGAGCGATATCATTCCTCATAGGCATATTTATTTGAACATTGTAGGTGACATTTATAAAGCTTTAATTCCAGTTTAATAGCTGCGTGAGTTCCTGCCTCTTCTATTTGATTTCGGTTTCGGCTTGATTTGTTTCCTGGCTTCATCTAGTCTTCTCTTTGCTTGTCCACGTTGACCATTCTGGGAGATGACTTCCTGCAAATCTTCTCCTTTTTTGAAAAAAAAAAAAAAGTTAATTAATAAAACGATAGTTTTGAATTATTCCTACCATAATTTTTTAAAAGTAGGAACATTAAAAACTAGGAATGACACCTCACCGTTTGAGAACCACTGTCTATCTGTACTGAAGGGAACATAACTTCGGCACAAACGTCCTGGATTTCTGAAACTATTGCGTAAAGTGGGAGTTGAATCCCAGACAAAATTTAATAATTTATGTCAGGGTGGACTGGGTGGTCCAAGGTTGCGAGACTGAAGAGCCGCAAAAACTTTTGAGAATGTCTCGCGGTCCGCAATCGGAGAAAACCCAAAAGTGATCAAAAGTATCGCGAGTCTACCTATATACTCTAAATGTATTAAAGAATGTGAGTTTAGCGTTCTAATCACCCTATTATTATGTTGCATGGGTGGTGCTTTTTAGAAAGATATATAAAGCCTTCAGTTATTTTTAAATTGCTTCCCCAGGATCACCGTTGTGTTTTCCGTATCTTTTCTCGTCTGTCTGAGTTGGGATTCCATGACCCAGTTTAAAAAAAACTGGATTGTGCAACGCTAACACAGCTCTGCGTTTCGTCACTGCCGTCTCATGGCCACCGCTTGGCAAACAGAGGAGTGTTTTTACTAGAAACAAAGGCACAAAACGTCTCTCCAAATAAGTAGTTGCTTGACGCGAGCTTGAGGTGCGAAGTCGAGATGAAAAGCGCGACTCATCTCATCGTCTTGGTCCTGTTTGCACAGTGCAATTCATTCTCCTTGTACCGATCACAATCACAGGACGTCATTCCCATATTTGGCACCGTAATGATGTTTATAGATGCAACATTGAAATTCCGCGATTTTAGCAAACATCATTCCCGGCATCGAGATTGATCGATCGGCATCGGGTTTTTTGAATCTCGGGAATCCAGCCCCAATTGGAATAGCTGAAAAAAAAAAACTAAAAACTGTTCCGCCACTAAATAAAATACACACGCGGGCCTCACGGGTGCGGCGTGTCCGCGGCGGTTGGACCGCCCTGATTTAAGTGAAAAAAATAATAGCGAAAAAATTCATGGGTTGCGTTTTTCTCGGGGTCGACTTGTAAAACCGTATTTTATCTCCAAAAATACCATATATTTACCGTCTGAAGAGCTTACTGCATCAGAAGATTCCAATTTATGAACAGCTGGAAGATTGCGAGGCTTGTGTATAATCCGCTGGCAAATATGATGATAACCTGAAAGGAGTCAATGACAAATTATAGTTATTTTTACAAAAAAACTTTTAACCAAAAAATGTAAATTGTTTTTTCCACTAATGAGTTGCAATGGTGTGTCTATGTTACGATAGTGTTATTCGGGCAATACCTTATTCAATGGACAATGCATCATCTTCATTATACTATAATCTATTTCATCTTCATACATTTGTTAGGCACTTTCGAATCTGCCGACAGATCAGTCAGAATAAACTATGTTTAAATAATAAATATATGTAAAATGTAACTTACTTATCAGCGCAACAAAAGGTCCAATAAATAACATTAGACAAATCATAACGATTGCCGCAGTTGACACACATTCACAGTTGATTGGAGGAGACTTTTTTAGTTCTCGTAACTCTTTTTGTAATTCACTCAACTGCAAGTTAGCAATATGAACGTTTAAATATATTATTTTCAATATTCACTGAATCATATCAAATTCTGAAATGACATACCGTTCAAAAAAATGCAAAATATCTTTCGACAAAACGCAAATAAAATTACTGCCAAAACGTTTTCTTTTTTGGAGAATTATCATGAAATGAAGACAATGAAATTGGAACAACATGCCAAGTATATATATTCTTCAATATAAACGGAAATGATAAAACAGCAAACTAGTGATGCTTAGAATAATAAATTTTGTTAAAATTTACCTTAATTTCAATTTCGGCAAAGATATCTACTTCGGCCTCATCATCATCACTGATACTTGTGCTAGGTGGACAATCAGTGTTGTTCCTGACACTTGTATTTGATTGTTCATCCACTGTGGAAATCTGGAGAGATTTAATGCAATTTTTTGAGTTTTTTTTTTAGCGTAAATGGAGATAATATGGCAACAAAATCAAATCATTGATGAAGATATTATTCGGCTTCAGATCTCACGAATTTCAAGGATCAATTATTCTCGACCTTGAAATCTTAAAAACTGGAAGATGCTTTAATATGCCGGTTGACAAAAACAAACAAACTTATATATTATTAGACACGTATAGTGTATATACATGCATGCGGGCTATACATGTACTAGACACGAAATACTATATACATGTATGCGGACTATAATATACGTTAATTGTATTTTGACAGGGAATCAGAAATCCGAAATTTATAGTCTGCACACGTGGTCTGCATAAAACACTAAAGCTAGGAAGGAAAATGTATCAAAAATAAATTCCACAGTGGAGATACGAAAATTGTTACACTCGCCTCATTCTCTGTGAAAGTTTTGTTGAATGGCATTGTATTCGGGCAAACACACCCGGTTGTCTCTGGTTTGCCGAACCTGTAAGATGTAAATATTTAGTTAAATATATATGCTACTTACGTATGTATCAAAAATTAGGCTTGAAATATTTTTGAAATTTCAGGCGACTCGCGTACTATAATCTTCACATGAGATGTCATTTTCAAGCAGATACATATATATTTCCATTCTGAAAGCACATTTCTAATAATTTGATTTCTAACAAAACTAGTCTGTCATACCGTAACGCAACGATATAGATCTTTGAACAAGATTGGAGCGACCGAAGCATTCCCTCAAATTCTAGAAACTGATATTCTGCGGGTTACAACTCCAAAGGTGAATATATCTACCTTAATTCGTTTGTTTTATCATGTTTTGAACAGTAAATAATCAAAAAAAATGCAAAATGTCCTTTTGTTCGTCACATTGTGGTCGCTACTCTTTTGTCAATTACCAAAATTAAAATATTCGCGGGAAAGTTTTCCTACGCCAACACAAAAATAACTGACTGTTTTATATAGGCCTACTTTTTGTCATAATTTTGTCCGACAGGTAGTCACTCCGACCGACTTAACTATTATTTGTATGTTATTTCAAATTGATATCTCATCCACCTGCATCGTTTAACCTGTATCAGAGGTGCCATGCATTTACAGCAAAACATGACGTAGCCATTTCGTTCTATAGTGATGACACGATTAATTCCACACACTTCTATGGAATGAGCTTCGTATGTATCAACACGATTAGAAAATCCTAATTCTCCAACCTGAATGATATAAATACAAGTTGCTATTATTACGTATACTATAGAGACACAAAAATGTGCTTAGTGACACTAGCGATGATGGCCATTTCTACCAGATCGGTATCGCATCGGCTATTTGATAGGCATATTATATCATCGATAATTTACGATGCCAAAAAAGTGAACTACAAGTCGAAATCACCACACCAAAATTCATTTCGAAGGTATGAAAACTTGGAATTGCCTGTTTATAACAGATTCGAGAAGTACTTTTCGGCCATACTTCCCAAACAAATATCGTGAAATAAAAGATCTAAAACCACCATCCGAAATTCTTCCCGGGGTAGAAAGGTCCCTTCAAAAATTATGCTTTACATTTGCTGTAGTATTACAAAATTCTCTGGTTTTCATTATTGTACCACTTATTCATGAACATATTATAAACTACTTGAACTGTTTAAAAACGGGAGTGCCATTTGCGCATAACACTAGTAAATAATTCATTAAAGATTAATCAAATAATGTAGTTTATGCACGGGGAGGAAGGAATAAAGGGTTTCAACATAGGAAAAAGGAGGAAAAAGTTTGGGAAGCACTGGTCTAAAACATCAAGTATATCGTAATGGCAACTTTTAGTGGTATTGTCGAATGTTTTTTCCAAATTATACAGTAATTACGAATATGCTAGTAACTACAATACTAAATAAATAAAAACATACCAACATCGTCAAGATCATCAATACGTAAACCTTCCCTTTCATTGTTTTTCAATTGTCTTAATCTCTATACTATACTAAAAAAGTACTTTTTGATAAATACACTGAAAGATAAGTATCATTAGCATGGCTTGTTTCGCGTAAAACAGAAACGTCGTGTAGTAAGAGTCACACGATATGAGGGCTGCGGACGGGCTTTAGTTTGAAATCGATGAACAAAAAATTCTTTTAGAAGGTGATTCATCAATTTTATAGAACAATCACCACAAACCATAGTGAATATATTGAACTCTCTTTCACTGTTTGGATTATTTCAGTACTAACGCCCAACTAAAGCTTACGATTAAATTGAATTTGGTCTCGTACTTTCGGTTGCTGGTTATGTTCAGTAAGAAATGATCAAATTGACAATTTCATGTCAAGACCTGACGAATGTATGAAATATCTTTTTGTGTGTGGAGAAGGACCGGTAACATTAAATAATATTAACCCACGAACCGGCATCAAAACATTTAGATCAGTGGTTGTTAAACTTGTCATACAATTTATTGAAAGACAAAGCGCTCTTTTGCGAAATGAACTTTTTTTTGTAGGCACTCGATCATGCTGTAACAACCGCGTTGAGAACCACTAACCGTAACCACACGAATAGCAACTTTCTCCTGGCATCGCCCATTATTTGGAAGCCTGATATTTTTATCAACTTCATTAGGCTTTATATAGAGAATACTGTTACGAAAATCACCATGCATCCCAACAACGTAACCTTTTCCAGATAGGTACACTGTTTAAATTCTTACTGTCATGAAATGCTGTCAAATTATTATTTTACCTCTAGTTACCTTACTTGCTGTCCTTCAGGCTTGAATGAACAACATCAAATCTATAACATAAGCCTGTCTGGCGTTCACAAAACATATCGTGTGTAATGAATACAATTGTTTCTCCAAGAAGTTGGAAGCCACGCCGAACGATTACAATAACATGCTCTATTGAATGTAAAATATTCCTTTGTCGAACTTCAATGAAATATTCATTTACTTACATTAAGTAAGCTTTTATAGTTGTCAAATTTGGATTTTGGTCGTGAGTTGTTTCGCCTGACGACACAAAAAAGAAGTTTAATGATAATAATAGATTTATTTCGACTCCATAACCCGCATAACTGGCAATAAAATGATAAATAAAAACTGATTATGAAATCAGGGAAGCAAACAAAACCTCAGATAATGTTTAAAACGTACAAAATATAAAATGGAAGGTATTGCCAAGAAGAATTGGTACGTGTTCACTCACCTAAAATTATTGAATTATTTCACACACGCACAACCACGGAGCAATTATTAAGTAAAAAAAATGCGATAAACTTATCGCAAGTCACATAGTATTCAAAAATAATAAAAAAGTAAAAAATTATTTGCCACGCCATATCAATAATTTTATAATGGTTGCCAATGCCGAATTGGTCGATTTTCTAATCGGGAGTGAACAGTAAAAAAACTTCTATTGAAAACATATTGGCAATCTGATTATAGCTGGAGTCAAATGCCAAATTGCCCAAATCAACGTTGCCAGAATTGGGTGCATGGAGAGGTGGGTTAGCTAGACCACTTCATTTCTTAAATTAAACACAAATATTGCCAAGTTATAGTCCAGATTGCAATAACTTCTCAAAGCTACCCGTACGGTAACAGTATAAGTTATTATAATTAATAGGGTACGGGAATAAACTGGTGACAAAGGGTGTAAGTAAAGTTTTTTTCATTACAATGGCGACAGAAAGACCAGGAAAATGGAATCTTGGATATTGACTTCAGACGAGGATATAGGAATAAAATTGGTATTTCACAGGATCTCTTTATCAGAGTATTTGTTTGATTTTTTTCCTCCATTCAATAATTGCGAAGTAAAACGAAAAACAAATATGCAAGTAGTTGTTTTATGATTGAATGAAGGGAAACATGCTGAACTATTAATTAGATGAGACAAAGTAATCTTTTAAATGCTTTTGGGATATATTGTCATTCTACAAAATCTATAGTGATGGTTAGACGATCTAGGAGGATCTGCTTAGGAAACAGAAGAATTTATCACACCATGCAATAGAACACCCAAAGTTTGCTCACTCTATCTATACCTTGGCCATCAAGTCAACTCCACGCCAATACCCAAAGCAAATGCAAATAGGCAATGTCACTGGCGTAAATATACTTACCGGTATATCGAAGAGAACCGTTTTCAGTCTTGTAATCGTGCCGATGTAACTAACGTTGCGAAGATACTTTGCAGTAGGCACATATGTTTACATACACAAGTCTAGTCTGGACTCAATGTGTAGCTCTCCCCAGTTTATATCGATTTAACTTGCATATTTTGTATATATTTTATTGTACCGTAGTCCCGTAGCTTGTTTTTAGTTGACAAAACAATAAATTTATCTCTCACTCTCTATCTCAACTTTGTGTGGCGGGACTGGAGTTGTACTATTTTTTATTGTTTTGTATTTTATGTATATTTTGTGTCTAGTTATTGCATATGCATTGGTGTGTGGAGTCTGAGCCTAATTCGCCCGACAGTTGGTCCCAGTTTCTCGACTCCAACCACCCCTGCATATGTGAAATGTGCTGCGGATTCGCAGTGTCAGCCTCTTCTTGCTTCTGCTGCGCTGGGTAAGGACCGTGTTTTGTCCCTCTTATTTTATCTGCTTTAAGCGTGGATTTTACACCATTTTAATAAAGTCTCTTCGTTTGCATCGTGAACTTCGAACCTATTTGTGTGTCTTTGCAGCACACTGGATCTTCTTAACTAATTATTACAGTATTATTAGACTGTATTAGTGGCGAGCACCTACCGGTATTCCGGTTAAATCGTACTGTTGCATTTGTTATCAACTTTGAGATCAAAAGCATTAATGAAAAAAAATACCACCATACTTTCCCGAAACTATTTGAGCCTGCATCGCAAAAAATTATAGTGAAACACATGCATGTAGCAATTTCTTCAACTACTATCTTTCTTTCCAACAAAGCCCGGACAAATGGTTTGAGATCTAGAGCACTTTTGTCTTGTAGTGCTTCTATCATTGTCTTTCCTGTTCAAATTGAATGTGCGAGAATGTATAGATAGTATAAATACAAGGATGAAATGAAATTCTTTTTACATACATAACACATAATTGAAAGAATAATTCAATATATTTGTTGTCGAAGCAATTAACAAAAAGTTTTTTTTGTTTGTCATAACATCTAACAGTCCTATTCTTACCAACTTTGGGATCAATTAGAAGACCTTCCACACAGCAAACTTCCACCTACAAAAACAAAGGTCCTATCTATGAATACATTTTACCATACTCAACATAATACGTACTAAACTAAATACAAATTCTCATTATAGATTCTGCGAGTTAAATAATCAAAGATTTAATCAGAGTAAAATAATTCAGATGTAAATAAGGCTGTCAAGTAATATAAACAAAGTCAGTTTGACTTCACTACAGCACTAGAAGCATTCTGATAACTTTTTATCAAAAACTCAATTCAAGATAATTTCAATTATAACTAAATTTATTGATTATAAATTTCACAGAACATCTCCATATCCAGATATCGGTAAGAGATATATGAGTTATCAAATATATCCAAATTACAGTTATTTACCCGCGATCATTCCAGTTCTCAGTTGCTGGACATAGCGTAAAATGTTTATCATTTATTACGCTGCCAAAGTGGCTGTATCTCTAGGAATAGCTACAGTTAACAATGTTAGTAGAAGAATGTACAGCAGTTAAGTAGTTGAAATGAATACTCACGTTGGTTATACTATCTGAGCGATGTCTATAAGACGTATAAAGTTTCAAAGTCAATTCCCGAAGGTTATTACTGCCACAAAATGCTGTCATTTTTTTGTTATTTTACCTCCGGAAAAACATACGTGAATAACAAATAAAGTTAAAAAAAGTGGAATTTTTCACACACAAAATTTAAACACGATCGTTTTTGGGCCCCTCAAAAGTATTTTGAACATTGATTAATAGATAGAATTTTTTTCCAATAAAATGAAAAAAATAGAGAAAACTTTGTCGGTTTTCTAACACAATACTTTTAGTATAGTGTGATACGTAAATTCACAAAAATTTGAAAAATCGTTAAATTGACCCAAAATTTGAATAAAATTCGCCTTTAGGATCAAAAATATTTTTTGGGGGTATGGATAGATATTTTAAAACATTTTTTCAATCAAGAGGTAAAATTATTCGCTCCTATTCAACATAAATAGTTTTCTCACGTTTTAAAAAAAATAGAAACCGGCGGAAAAATTCTGTCCTTCAAATAATATCGGATTTTTACATTTTGTTGAGTGAAAGTGGCTGTATTTATTGGATGTTATTCAAAGCGGAAGGCGGAATAATCGCTGGGTGAATTTCTAGGCTTCATAAGAAATTTGATAGACATAAAAATATTTGTCTGAAAGCGACTTTTATTTATTTCCAAATCGATTGGTCAATAGCAGTGGCTGCATGAACAACAATATCTATAACAAGGTAGGGGTACTACGATGAATAAGTCCAAATTCTTTCCGGTAATCCCATTTGAGTCAGATTTACGTTATTACGTTGTGATAAAAGTATTTTGTTGAAATTTTGTTATTTAACTAGAAAGATGTCGAAACCATCCATCAATAACTAAAATATTTTTTAAGTCCTAAAGGCGGATGTTGTTCAAATTTTGGGTCAGTTTAACAAATTTTCGGATTTTTATTAAATTAGGTTGTATTAAAAGCATTTTGTTAAAAAAATGATCGTTTTTATTTTTTAATTTCCCTCATTTGATTTAAAAGATGTTAACAATATCTATCCATATATATATACTCGAAAATATTTTTTGAGCCCTAAAAGCGGATGTTGTTTAAATTTTTGGTCAATTAAACGATTTTTCGGAAATTTGTGAAATTTACGTCGTTACGTTGTATTAAAAGTATTCTGTTGAAAAACTAACTGATTGAGGTTTTTTCAAATTTGATTAGAAAGATGTTTATTATATCCTTCCGTACCTATAATATTTTTTGAGCCCCTAAGGCAGATCTTGTTCGAATGTTCGTTCAATTTAATTAACAAGTTTTCGGAATTTTGTGAAATTTACGTCATTACGTTGTATTAAAAGTATTTTGTTAGAACACTAATCGAGTTTTTTTCCATTTTTTTTACTTGATTGTAAGGATGTTGAAACTGTCCATAAAATACAAAATATTTTTAGAGCCCCAAAGGCGGATCTTATTTAAATTCAGGTTAATTGACAATTTTTTAAAAATTCGAGGATTTTAAGTTATTACGCTCTAATACAGGGTTTCCAAAACTTTTTAGGTCGCGAACTATTGTCTCGTCAGGGAAAATATTTGCGAACTAAACGTGCGTTAATCTTGTAACCAAACTTTGTGTGAAGAAGCAATAGAATCAAAATCAACAGAATTTTAACAAAGTCAGTTCATTACGCACGTTTACGAATTTCAATTGGAACCATAGCGAGGGTGCTCCATCATTGAGAGATCGAGAACTGCTCGCTTTGACAAACTCGAAAGATAATATATATGAGATTACTGGCGACGATTCACTGAGGAAAATTGTAGCAAGGAATTTACAGGTAAAATTTACAAAAAAATTCATTCTGTTTATTACCAGAACATCCTGACATTAGAGCAGTTTTTAACATTTCTCCCTGACGCACATTTGACCACTAAAACTCCGTTTTAGTATTTTAAAGCTTTTTGTGTGATGACGCAGAAAATATATTTTTTGCCAATATGGAGCAAACTTTTTCTTCACATCTATTGACCAATTTTGCTGGTTTTGCCCATTTTATTCCTAATATTTATTTCAGCTGCTGTCGCTAAAAGCGTGTCGATGTAATGAACGCAAGTAAGTGAAAGATAGCTTGCGGTATGCGCATATGAAGTTTCAGAGTCTACTTACACAGCACTTCGCTCATCGCAGAACCAAGCGATTTGTATTATGTACTGAGAATTAGACTTCCCGTTTACAAAACAAACAGCAGCGAAATGGAACCATATTTGGTAGTAGGCCCAATTATCAAGGTGGGCATTTAATCATCGCCTTACAGAATGTATTGGGCACCAAAGACGAGAACATCATTATTTACTGATGTGATGAAGTACTAAGAATGAAAAGATTTTTATAACATATATATATATCAAAGGTTTCGAGAAGTAATGAAGCGCGAAACGTGTCCATTGAGTATCTTTTTGTTGGCCACACCACTAGCGACAGCCAATCTTTAAATATATATACTGCACTTTCAAAATAAATTTTTTGATAAGTCGCACCAGTTTTGCCTCAAGTTAATTGAACAATTGCTATCTCTGCACATCCTCATGATTTAATGAAAGAATGTGTTTTGTTTCACGATAACGCTGCTCTCTTCATTTGTGATATAGATTGGCGCTTCTACTGAAATTGGAAAATTTACATTCTGCTGCTTATCGGTATTTTCTTTACGTCATATAAAAGTGTGAAATAAGACCGTAACATTTTTAACAGCCTTCCAGCAGATCGAACCATCTCAAATCAGGTCTACTGAAAATTTGGAATGAAGTGGCTCATTAGTAACGGAGAAAAGCGATTGTCGCACACAACATCATTTTTTTCAAAAATGATCTTCACACTGCATGTCCAACTACTTTTGCTGGAAAGAAATGTATCCAACACCCATGTTTCGATTTCTCATTTCGTTTTCAAATATTATTCCTTATTAGGTCGTTTTTATGTTGTAGAGGATGTTTCAGAATAAAACCGATATTTGTTCAATTTTCAATCGAGTTAACATTTCTTGTCTTAAATATTTACGGTTTTGAAGATAAAATATTAAACACGGTACAGTGGAATAAATAATTTTGACTAAAATTGGAAAACTCCACTAGTGCCGCGAGTGATAATCGTACGTATTTGCTTGTAACTAAAATTCAAATTCCACGCAAAATTATTCACGACGTCATAATAATTTGCACACAGAGCAAAAGACCTATTACTGTGACTTTATTTTTCTTTGCTGGTCTTAAAGGTGTTGTATACTCGATGGCAGAGCAATCCGTCTTTCACAACTTCTGTCATTTCTATATTACTCAAAACATTTATGTTGAAACTTTCCGATTGTTGAAGTGACTCACGAATGGCTATCCCAGGGCCTCACATTGTATAAATCCGGTCCTGTTGGTACAGGACCAGTGTCCGCATACAATCGGTACATCTTGTGTGGTGCACGAAATATTTCTCTTGTAGCACAGCACTCTATCGTTGCAACATAAGCAAATAATTATTTTGCACAGTTGATAAAATACTAGGACATGCTGGTCAACATATGTCATTTCCAAACAAATCCTTTATTAGAAAGTCCATACAAATAAAATCAGTCGCTCGCATTCTATAAGAATATAAAGAATGAAAAATAGTGCAAACATTCTATATTCGATAACTGTATTTGCTAAAGCTCCACAGTAATTTTTAAATTTGTCCACCCTGCATAGTAAAAATGTGCAATTCATAGTTGATCAAATCAACTAGAGAAAGCAAATTCAAATCCGGTTGATGGTTCGCAAAACTTTTAATTAGGTAAAGTTCCATAAACCGAGCACATGTATCAGAATAAATTCCTACTTAGGTATCTCATACTACTAAGTGAAAAAAAAGTTATGGTTTTGACTATGATTAAATCATTCAATCACAATCACTCTACCATACAGGTGATGATCAACATAAGTTTAGCCTTCGAGGACATTCCATTAAACTATTATACAGGGTTGAGGCCCTGTTGGGGGAACCTGTCACAAATTTCGACAGAATTGAAATTTAAATCACCAAATCTTTTTGATTACCATTTCAACAAAAAGTTATGTTCGCCAAGGATCAAGGTTTTATGAGAAAGAATATTACTATGGATAACAAAAACAACTTCAATGAGTTGATAAAACCAAAGTCAAAGCAGCAAACGATGTCATTTTTTTTAAAAGTGAGAGTATTTTGCTTGCAAACTTTACCCCTAAATCATTTCGTAGGTGAATTCATAACCCCTAATATAGTAAAATAATGATCATTTTTATTTACCACTACATATCTCAATGCAAAACAAGATCAAAACTGTTTGCATTATAATCATAATATTGTTATCTGATTTCTGAAATTCACCACAAAACATGTTTGAAGTAAGAGTTGAAAAGAATATTGTTTTGTTTAATATTATAGGCAGACCTAATGTTGAAAAGTCTCATATATTGCATTAAAATATTGCTTGCATTCATATACTCATACTCATTGGTATTAAATCCCACTGGTTATTTTGTTCATACATTTGGGACTGTAAAATTGAAAACAACTTACTTATAGTAAAGAGTATTTGAACAAATTCCTGAACTACTAGGAATTGAAAATTTGTTAATACAGCATAAATTTCAAGAATGAATAAAAAAATAGAGAAGCAACGTAAAAAGTAAAGTTTTGATAATTTATTTTCTTTAGATAATATAATGAACTGTTTCATTCTTTGTTCTATAATTTTTTGGCACATTATGACTCATTGATTCCAAGTTGGATTTTTAACTCCCATGCTTGCTCATCTGTCGATCATTTCCTGTGATGTCATTTGACACTTTTTTCCATTGTTTTCGTTGCTTGCATTACATGCTGAAATAATAGATATCAATTAACGTGTTGGTGTCAAAAAACATTGGTAGTCAACTAGCCAATGAGAACTAAATTTTTATTGTATAGCGCAAAGTTATCACAGGAGTATTGGGGTTTCCAAACATATTTTTTCAATATACGGTATGTTTTCCAAACAATCATATTCCTTAACATTCCAGAATATTTTTGAGGGAACATTTGTATACCATTATGAATCATGAAGAGAACTCATTCCTTAAGGCTAGCAACAAAGCTGGACACAGTATGCGTCATATTGTCCTGAACTTTGTAGAATATATATTTATCTTTTTCATTTTAATAAAGAGTCTATGCAAATTTATATAGGATTATAAATAGGAAGGCATCAATGTCGTGAAAGCCCAGAAAATATCATTGTTGCTAATTTAATACAAAAACACACGATACATAAAGCTATCTGGTGAAAAGTGTGCTACTGTTGTATTCAGAAAACACTTCAATTTGAATATATTAACAATTTGGTCGCAAATCCAAGTTGAGAGAACAGAGTTTGATGATAGAAATATATTTTTTTAAGAAAATTGGCTCAATGTAACTAAAGATATAAAAGAAATATAAAATCATATTCAATGTTGCCACTTCAAAAATCAGAAACAAACAAAAACACAAGTGGGCTGCTGCTTACCATATTCTCATGAATGATTATCACATCTTTTCAGATTTTCGAAAAATTTATCTTCTAAAGTATCTTTAAAAGATTGGTAGTGGGTGGGAGTGTTATCAAAAAGAACTTGCGGGGTCAACTTTCGCCCTGCCTGAGTAATAACTGCTTGAATCCATTGATGTTTCATTTCTCTATTATCTCCTTGATGATCTGAATAAGAGCAATTTATGAAATTCAAGGAGTGTGACATGATCAGACTGGAGTCTCCCCAACATTGGCTCTCATTTTTTAAATGGGTTCACATGGTAGCATAAAAGCAGAATTTTGCCTTATAGGCTGATCCAATGAAGCATCCAATTTTGTAGTATATGCTTTAAATCAGGGCTACTCAACTATTTTTACTGAAGATCCGCATACAAAACTTTTTTGAGTCCGGTGTTTCCAGAAAATATATTTCGGCATCCTTGAACGCACACTTCCTCGACCGACTCATAATTATTAGCTAATCTAGATTGTTTATTATGGTGTTAAACTTTTCATATATATTCGAAACTATAAAAATCATTATATAAAATGAAACTTCAAAAGTGGGGCTAATGAATAATGATCCAAAATAAATTTCTCTCTCACTCTCAATCTCAACTTTGTTATCAACATTGAGATCAAAAGCATTAAGGAAGAAAAAAAATACCATCATACTTTCACGAAACTATTTGAGTCTGTATCCAAAAAAATTACAGTGAAACACATACTTGTAGCAATTTCCTCTACTGCTATCGTTCTTTTGAGGAGACGCCTGACAAATGGTTTAAGATCTTTATCACTTTTGTCTTCTAGTGCTTCTATCATCGTCTTTCCTGTTCAAATTGAATGTGCAAGAATGGGCTAGGATTCCAAATAGCGACTGTCAGAACAGCGACTGTCAATAGAGCGACCACACGACAGCGATTAATTTAAAACAGCGACTGTCGATAGAGCGACTACACAACTGTACAAAAAGCATTCCTGTACAAAAAGCCTTCATGACATATCATGTCACTTCCTTTTCTTGAAGTTATGAAATCCATTGGGGCAAATTTTTCAAACGACCTTAAAATTAATGTGACACGACAAAGCGTTGCCTTCCAACGAGCAACGACCTACCCGGAAATTCGACCCAGTGAACACGAGTTAAGTCTGTATCATAACAGTCGCTGTTTTATTGCGGTGGCCATTATGACGGTCGCTGTCTGGAATGTCGCTCACTTGATTACGTCGCTGTTTTGACAGTCGCTATTCGGCCTGGATACCGCAAGAATGGGTACTCCCGTAGTATATGAACCAAGATGGCGGACATCAGAACGTAGTATGTGTACCAGGTTAGGGTTAGGTAACAATTTCAGGTACAGATACTACGAGAGTCAATTGGCTAGTCCCCGAACTTGTAATTGAACTCAAATAAGTAAAATTGGAATAAAATTATGGCCTAACCCTAACATAATACACTTACTACGTTCCGGTGTCCGCGATCTTGGTTCACATACTACGGGAGCACCCATGAATGTATAGATAGTACAAATACAAGGATGAAATGAATTCTTTTTACATACATTACACAAAATTGAGTGAATATTACAATTTAATTTTGTTGCTGAAGTAACTACTAACATCGTCAAAAAAAGATTTTGTTTGGAAATAAACTAATATACTTGAACTGGTCAAAAGTTGTTGAATTGAAACTTTACTCAAGAAAATTATTTTTTGATGATTGGTACACAGTAGATGGATGTCTTTACAAGCTATTACATTATTGTTTACATTTCTTCAAAAGTCACTGAGTTTGGTCAATTCAACAATATTCTACACTTAACCAGCTTTCGCTTTCACAAAGAGCAAAAAAATCTGAAATGTGCTAATGATTTGGTTTTTGCGAGATTAACTACTTATCCTTCTTCTATGCTCTTGTACCAGTGGATCCATATGCATATAACGCAAGAGTGCTGTAGCAAGAGTAAAGATAACTAACTATCCTAAGTGATAGTTGAACTATGTATGTCTGAAGAAGTCTGACCTTGGTCAGACGAAACATTACAGAAATATATTTATGTTAGTGTGCAGCAAGACTCTTGAATCACTTAGGATAATAATCCGAAAAATATGAAACATTTCTCACCAACTTTGTGATCTTGAAGATGACTTTCAACACAACAAACTTCCACCTACAAAAACAAAGTGCTGATCTATAATTACAGTGTTTTTCAACCTTTTTTTATCAGGGTATACCTTTTACAATTTTTCAAGAACTTTGTATACCTTACAAATACCAATGTTATTTAAGGCTTAAAAAACAATAAATTTTAAGCACATATTGTACTGCAAATTGCAATATCATCATGCAATCTAATAGGCTAGTGTCCGCAAGTTATAAATTTGACTGAGGGCCTTAGCATCAACAGAAATAATGTTAAACGTAAATCAAACAAGTGCATAGCAGCCAAAATCACCAACCCAGGCAACATGATCGCATTATCTATATAATTTATGATGTAACAATGTGCTCACGTTTGTTCTTAGCGTTAAAGACATTTTATATTTCATGTGCGCCTCGTTTGAATTGTTGTTTATTATATTAACGTTTAGAATCCCTGACTTAGGCTGTACATCCTTCATATACCCTTTATCAGTTGTATACCCAACTTACAATATACACTTGGGTATATCGTATTGAAGAGCACTGTAAATATATTTTACTATACTAAAATAAATTAAAATTCTAACTATAGATTTGAAAGCATCACAGATTTGAACACAGTAAAATAACTCAGATGTAAATATTGCCAGCAGGTGACATAAACAAAGTCATTTTAATATTACTAAAAGCATTCTGATGACTTTTTAATCAGAAACTCAACATGTTCAAACTATAATTAAGCCACGTCCTAAATTCATCAGGAATAGATTTACAAAAAAAGTTGAATAAATTTAGAAAAAAAAGTTGCTATTTTGAAAAAGTGTATTTTATATCATGAGTTCTATCTCCATAAGAGATATAATTTTATCAAAGATATCCAAATTACAGTCATGTAACTGCGATAATTCAAGTTCTAAGATGCAAAAAATTTATCATTTATTGCCCTGCAAAAGTGGTCTTCTATCTAGAAATAGCTTCAGTTAACAATGTTAGTAAAAGATTGTTTAGTAGTTGGAGTGAATACTCACGTCAGGTAAAAAGTCTTGGCGTTCTCTATAAGATGTATGAAATTCCGTAGATAAGTTTCGAAGGTTTCCTTCATTCATAGCCTTAACAAAAATTATGTAATTTCCTAATCTCAGGTCTTAACTTTGAATACAATTATAAAAATGTAAAAGGATTATTTTCAGATTATATTGAAAACAAACAAATGAGGATTAAACATCACGCTTCAAAAATAAAAAAAATATTTTTGCATCTTTGAATGAAAAACAGATGAAATAAAATATAGATCACAAAAAAAAGATGATAATCTATTCAGTGTAAAATGATAAAATGAATAAAGGATATAGATATTGAAATTAAGTTGTATGAAAGTATTGTTGAAACTCAAAAGAGAGAATATTAAAGATGCATTGATGACCACATCTTAGGTTACAAAAAAAGCTTCCTTACTTTATTAGCAACTGCTCCCTCACCAGATTCCGTCCCAACTGTTTGTTTGGTTTCCATTGATGATGAAGCACCTGATACAGAGCAGTTAAACTCACAAGACAAATCGAAAAAATTTAGAAGGCGATTGTCAAAACTTGGATTTTAAATCTACCTTTTGTTATCAAAATATCTACTACAGATTTAAATATGTCAGATGTTCCTTGATCTGATATAAAGTTAGTATATTGGTTTAATTATAGTCACACAACTAGCCAAAACAGCTCGACAGAGAATCATTAATGCAAAATAAATCTTCCTCATATCAGCAATAATGTGAAAACACAATCAATTGGGCCATAGTTTGACGATATGCAAAAGATTGTTTATTCTGTCTAGATCGGCGTTCTCAAAGTGGGCAATATTGCCCCCCAGGGCCGAAAGAGATAAAATATGTGGCTTCGAAATGGGTGACAGGGGGGCATTCTCGAATAGTCAAATATGGTTAACGAAAATGATAACATAAAAATTTATGTAAGGAGCGACAGTACAAAAAAGTTTGAGAACCACTGGTCTGAATGATTTACCGGTATATTACTGTACAATGGTGACTTAACATAGGTAGCAGCTGAATATTTTCAAATCAGCGTATTTTTGTCAAAAAAGAGAGAACCGCCCTCTGATAAATAACCCATACCTAAATTAGCTAATAGTCAGTTCTTCTACTGCTAGTCTTTCAGAAATATCAACAATATTGCATAATCATGTCCAAACCGAGAAAGAAATAATCGTTTCAGATTTATGAAATGGGATGGTGTCACAAATTGTGATGCTGTTACTGAACCACCTTACAATGACGAAGCCATTTAGTAGAATTCAATCATAAGAGTCAAGCAAAGGCGGAAACTTGTTCCAAATGCTAGATACAATGTATCAATAATAAGGCATAGAATCTTTTATCACGGTATTGATATTAGGTTGAACTAACCTTCAATGCTTTTAGGTCTCGCAGCCTGGAAACGAAAATTGGAATTAGAGGCCAGAAATTAATTCATGCCACTAAAATTTCGCAAAAAAACTTGAGTATACGATATTTATTTCAAATTCATAGAAACCAATAATGAAATCGAGGAAGCACTCGTACTAGTACTCAAGTACTAGTTATTTGACAATCCAAAAAATTGGGTATCACGTACATTAAACATAATTGTCGAACAAAAAATTATTGAACAAAATTTTTGACTAATAATTTTGAGTAATTTTGAGTAATAATAGTTAATAAGAACAATAGCTTGTAAAGTATTGCCAAACTCAGCTGGGCCAATAGGTAATAAAAAAGTACCTTTCTGAGGTTTTCTTGATCTTGAGATTCGTTTATTTGTATTTTTACAGTTGATCTATCTTTTTCTTTATGGTCACTGTTCTTTTGCGGGGGGAGATCAACTATGTCACCTTTCTTTAGCGGGGGGAGATCTTCTGTTCCATTGGGTTCTACTAAATCACAATATAATACTAATGACATGCTTTGGTCTTATACCATACGATTACGCCCCCCCCCCCCAAAAAAAGAAGCAATAGTGCACTTGATTTAATAAGTGTGGCGCGAATGTTTAACACAATTCTGGTGATTTTCGAACCAGAATTGTGTTAAAAACATAACTAATATATGATTGTATATTTGAAAGCTGTGTTCAGAGCAGCAACCACATACCTAAGTGCCTACAAACTTTAAAAAGCATAAAATACACATTAACATCATAAAATTGAGTTTTATCTGAAGGCAGCAATTTTTGTTGTGTAGGTGTGCCGGAAACCGCCGCCATAAGGCAGTAGGCACAAAACTCAAAGCTATGCCAAAGATCAATGAAAACGAACGATTTAAGTACATATATAGCAAGTTTGAACATGGGATTTGAGGTATTGAATTTGTTTTTACAAAGAGGTAACGTTTTGAATTTGTCCTAAATGTACATTTGTGCCGTGCCCCTCACTAACACAAAATTATTCACCTACAAAAATATTTATAAATTCTCAAGCCACGATAAGTAGAATATTCTGTAGTTAGGCTTGTTACTGAATAATTGCATTTCCTTACTTTTTTGATTTGGTTCAAGCAAGGGTGATTTGAAAACAAACAATTAACGGTACATTTATCTGCATAAAGTGTCAATATCGGATAGTTAGTCATGTGGTATAATTGCTTTTGTTAAAAATCTTGCTTTGGAAGTTTATACATCAACTTCAAGACAACATAACAAGTCAGTTACATACAGGGGAAATAGTAATAAAAGAGGTTTTAAAGTACTTAAAGATGTTGAAAAAAAACATCAAAATCTAAATACTCAAAGATCATTCGTGTAACAAAAGAACGATGCTCAGAAATTCAAACCGGCGTAGTATTGGTATGCAAAATGTTACAGTAGACTACCAGTAACAGCCGTCATGAATCATGATATCATAAAAATATGTTCCATAAGTAAAAATAATACAGCATATTTTAGATAAAATATCGAATTTCACAAAAAATTTAAGGAAAAAATAGGAAGCCTTCCAGCGAGAAATACAATCTTTAATCATTGAAAATTTCGAAGCCATTGGTCCAGTAGTGAATGATAAAAATGTGATTTTTCATAAGTAACAAGAAGAAGAAGAATGACAACAAGATAATAACAAAACGATTTATATGTCTACTTCTTATCAAATAATTAACATAAATGTAATAAGGTGAGGATAAAAAACTAACCATCTGCAAATGCTAATTCTGCTGTGTCATAGATTGGAGAGGGAACTTTCTAAAAAAAAAAAAGATACCTCAAATCACAACCAGAGTAGGATAAATAGTATCAATCCCTGACCAATTTTGAAGCTCTCATCTCTCTTCCGTTTAAAAAACAACAACAAATTTGGGTAATATATATGAGAACTGAATTCATAACAAAAGTCCCCTTGTGGGATTAACTGATTCAAAGCAGAGTCTTCAAAAAGAAACGACTAGAGGAAAAATATTATATGATTTGATATTGGTCAGATATATATCAAATATGGCAAAATGATTCTCACCTCACAAAAACATCTATTCAGATATGTATTTAAATCTATAAACCAGTTTGACATCCAGAAATTGAACTATAGTAATCAATACCAAATAGTGGACCTGAGAAGGCATATATAATTTGTATAAGCGCCAGACCTAAATCACAGCATTTAATTTTTAAGGTATGTAATGTGATGATTTACGCTTTGATATCTTTTCGAAAAAATTTAACAATAAATAGTACAATACCTGTTGGGATCTTACCTGTTCTTGTTGCAATAATAATGTTGATTCATTTGCATTGTCAGATTCCTCATTACGTCTATAGTTTTCTAGATTGTAAAAAGGTGTTTAAATTGGATCTGCATAATTTTTTTTTCATGTCCTATATACTACACTTACGGTAATCAGATTTGATCCTGATATGTGTAATCTGTGTTGCCAACTTAATTCTAACTCTTTACCCGCCAAGCCATCCACTTTGGTTTTGTTTTACAATTTTTGCTTTATGTGACAGTAATAGCAGTGACTCTACTTAATTGACTTGCTGACATCTTCCCAATTAGCCAATGTAAATGCAGGTAACCAAGGTTGTAAAACGTGACATAAATTATTTATACAAGACTCACCCCCAAGATTTTGAAGTTGCGTTGGCCGCTTTGGAACATTTGTTTCACCTAAAATGTTAATGTCATTTAAAAAATATATAACTATGTGCAAAAGTTAAATTTTAGAAATTCAAATAATAACACATTCCACAATGGTTTTATGATAAACTTCAAATTATTTAGTAAAAGCAATATTATATCAACCAGTCGAAGTAGCAAGGCCAAGCACATAAAATGTCACTAGAGCTTGTACTTGTACAATGCCTAGATTAGAGTTAATCATCCCATAAAAATGAAACGAATGACAAAAAGTGATCATTAAATTCTCAATACCTTGAGTAGTTTGGGCTACAGTTGTATCAGGTTGCTGAAATGAAAACATGAAAAATTATTGTATTGTATTATTTATTACTGATATTGAAGGAAATATAACAACTAGAGAAAAATATACCCAATGTAAAATGCCATATACATAAAGTAAAAAAGGATACAAAAGTGTATTCTAATTCCAATGATACATCCTACTGAAATATTATAAAATACCCGTTGAAGATTCTCTCGGCCTTCACTGGGTAGATTGGCGTTATCACCATTTTCTTCAGGAAGAGAAACACTCGGACCTGAGAAGGAACATTACAGTCTGTTATAATCTTATCAATGATTTGCAACACAAAATTTTCACATAAAAATTCCCACAGGAACTTACCCTCAGAAAATATTAATGTTGTGTTTTTAAAAGATACTGAGAACTATTTGAGAAGTCAGCATAATATTACATAACATTTTATATCAAAATTTAAAGTATGTATCGCACTAAAAGTATTTTATATTAATTCAGTATTACTTTTTTGTTGTTCAGAACAGAAATTGAAAAAATCAATGAAAATTTATTATAAAACTTCAAAGTATATAGTATAGTTTCTGCATGCATATAGCCTAAGTTACACTAAAACATCCCATAAAAAAGTAACAACGAATGCAAAACACAAATCATTAAATTTTTTACCTTCGATATGTGGAGATACTGGTGCTACATGTTCCTGAAATAAAATCATATTAAATTAAAAACCAATGTTCTATTTTATTTAGCATTGATTTCAAATGAAAATATACACAATGTGTAATAGCTAAAATGAAAACAAAAGTACTATCTAATTCAGATCATATTTATTATTTGATCAAAATATTACTGCACCTCCTGAGGATGGTCCGGGCTGTCTCCTGGCTGATTGCCGGTATTACCACTGTCCTCTGGAGGTGCAATGACTGTAGAAAAATAAAAGTATATTATTCAGTTTTTTCGATTATCGTAGTTGTAGCAAGGATAATTCGCATGTCATTTTATGTAGAAACTTACGACCAGAAATTTTTTGTCTAATTGGAGTCTCCGACGGATTTTGTGAATCCGAAACTATAAATGATTTAAAATCAAGTCAAGTTTATTTTTTTCCGACCAGTAAAGAAAATCAATTGAACAAAAATTTTAGATTTACTGGGGATGGGAAAGTCAAGGGGAACCAAAGCTGGTTATCGAGCTGCGACATCTAAGGTTTCAAATGTGTAATTAAAAAAAATTAGAATGAATAGAAAAATAATAGAAATGAATAGAAAAAATATGACGACATATAACTTTATAATAAAATTTGAAGTATATAGTCCTAGGATTTTCTTGTTGTGATTCGTAAGTTTCCAAATACACTGTATTTGCCATCAAAGTTCAATATTAAAAATATTTAAGTTCGTGTACCATCTTAAAAAGATTGAAGCCTTTTAGTTGGTATTTCATAAAATTGTCGAATTAATGTACTAGAATCTAATTCTAGACACAACTTGCAACTTACCACCAATGTCTCCATTTGAATTATCAGCATCTGTAAAAATAAATAGCAATTTTCTAAACTTCCTGTGCCAGAATCAATTCTTTAGAATCATCCTGGATTATGACATTATATTAATAGAATTCCCTAATATGGGTATATAAAGGGTGTCCATAAAGTCCCTCTACAATTTCAATTTTTTTATGGAGTCAGTTCTCAATATATCAATTTTAGAATTTATGTTACACCCTATATTTTCTGGGGCGTCTGGGGTAGTGGTTTCCAACCAGCGGTCGACAGAGATTATGGGGAGTTTGTTGGCATAAGATGCCAATGAGGTAACTAATAATCTCATTCATATGAACGCACAAAGATGATATTCCAACTAGCTATTAGGAAAAGTTTGATGATAATATTTAATATTGAGCATCTCATCTACGCAAAACATCTGACTGATTGACGACTGACGTCTCTTCTTACATCATCTCAAAAATTTGAGACAATTTCCGTGTGCACTGAGCAGTGATAATGAAAACGAGCATTATTTCGGATTGGGACTAGAGATGTACCGATACCACTTTTGTCGCCAATACCGATCCAATACCAACTAAAAATGCCGATACCGATTCACCAATATTACAAAAATGCCGATATTTGGTAATTATTACCCTAATTAAGTGTGCTGTGTAGGGCAGAGGGGTTAAAACAATGGTATTTGAGCATTATTCATAGTACACATTATTTCAGATTGAAAAAGAGATATATCACATAATATGAAATTGATGTTTGGTATCCAGATGCATTATTTGGTTTAGATTCATTGTGCACCGACGCTAGTAATCTCAGTGACCTTCGAATACCGTTTTTCGTGTTTAAAAGAATAACGAATATCGCCCACGCATTCTAGCGCCGCCGTCCTACGTTTTAATTTGAAGCATTTTTAAAATATTTTATTTTGTGTTTAATCGTAATCGTCGCGGCAATAAATTACAGTCAAAACAAAAGGATATCAATCAGCGCCGACTAGAGGTACCTATAATACGTCGAGAATGTTTTTTATAATATTTCACAATTACTATCATATATTTTGAGACAGTTTAGGTGGCCACGCCAATAAATCTATAAAGAAATTGCGTTTACAAAATTAGAATTACTGAAATCACAATATATAATACTTGCTTAGGGGAATAATTGTGTTGGATTTAGTTTAACGAAGTCGACGGACTAAATGACACTCGCGCTTGACGATAAATAGTCAGAATTTATAGCAGTGCCAAAAAGTCCATGTGCTGTAAAAAAGAACTCGGATTCCACTGTATGATTTGAAACTGGGCGACTAGTTGCTCATTTTTCTGGGCTGTGTTGATATATTTCTTCATAATTACTATGTATAGTATGTAACATTGAAATATCAATATAAAAATTTGGCAGCAAAAATAGTCAAATTAGTTGAGCTAGTTTGGCTGGAAAATATTTAAAAACAGGGGAATTCTATTATCGTTACTACGCGCGGGGGTGGGGACATGCATGGCCCATAGTTCAGGATCTCTCCAGACAAAAAAGAAATTAAAAAGTAGTATTTCAACTTATCTTTCAAAACATTCTGGATCATATTAAAAAAGTAAATATATCGGAAATATCGGTATTATTTTAGCCGATACCGATATATGACCGATATCGAAAAAATGGTCGATATTGCCGATACATCTCTAGTTGGGACCACTTGTGTACATATCATATCAGACTGCAACTTTTTTCGAACAGGTTAATAATGATGAGAAGTTTGGAACCACTGTCGACCACTCAAAAAAACAATTTACTTAAAAATTACTTTTGTTCCCTTGTCCCTCAATCTCTAGTGAGTTGATTTGCAATCGTGTTTCAAACAAGAGAAATGTTTCCATTGCTTCAATAAATTTCATAAATCTCCCTATGACTACTCAAAAATGACAAATAAATATGTCCATTGAACTAGAACTCACCCCCACGATTATTACCCTGATTTCGTCCACCTAAAATAGAAAAAAATAGTTTTAAATTAATATAAATATCTAGAAACATATTTGTTTATATAACCGATGTTACATGTCTACAAGCAATAATATAGCGATTCATTCAACAGTACTGAGGTTGAACCTAACAGCTTCTCTACAGGATTGTTGCTGCCTGGTGTCTGTACAGAGCTTAATTGAGAGTGAAACTTGTTAAAGATATGACAAGCGTAAAAAAATGATTGAATAATTTCACTATACCTGGCCTTCCTTGAAGTTCCATTTCGCCTGCTCCCTGAAATTAATTCATACAATTTAAAAACCAATGTAATTTCTCAAGTAGAACGAAATGTAACCTAGAGAGAAAAATATGCACAATACAATATATAATTTAAAATGACAAACAAAATTACATTAAAATTCAATATCAAATTACCGCTTGGATAACCAAATTTTCCTTTTCTTCTTTTCCTGCAGAAGAAGAAGCAAAGGTTAAAAATCATTAATATATTCTAGCATGGGAAATATATAAGAAAATTTATAACAAAGATTCCAGCTTAACTAGAACAACAAAGATTCCAGCTTAGCTAGAACAACTTACCGTCGTCAGGTCCGTCCGGAGATGGTGATTTTGTTTTTTCTGAAAATATAAATATTACGCTTTCAAATAGGCATCAATATGTAATGCTAAAATTTAAAAAAAAAATTAAAAACAATAACAGTCTGCACTTTATGATCCAGAATATAAACTGAAACGGCGGTGTGGCGCATCATGCTAAGCATTAGAAATACTCCCACCACCATAGGGCGGTGGATAATAATGTGCGAGAGTATTGCTGGCCGCTCACTGACGTAGGGTGGTTCACATAACGGCTGGTCGGTTACTGCTTCCTCCACCATCAAAGTCCATGTGTTTGAAACAAATAATTGACTAACTAATCCCATACCAGACATGGACTGGTAATCGGATGAAAAGCCGTGGTTCATCATTGGATTAGGCCGTCTTATCGAATTTCCATTATCCTCGGATAAATATGTAAATCCTATCCTAATACAGTATATGATTTTCAAATTCATTTGTATGGATAAGCTGATATGACAGATCATTCAAAGCGCAAACAATGGTATTTCGTCTAGTTACTAGTCAATGTACAGGAAAATAGTTCACCAGGTTTTTATTTCATATGAATGAACTTGATGGAGAAGAACACATAATCAATCATGATCGAAAGTTACACCCACAAGATTGTAACTGTTTAGGATGAGCACGGTTGACAAGCGTGGTGCAATAAATTTTACCATGGGTTCCCCTAAGAGTTGTTTTCAAATTTTACAATATTTCAGAAGTTTTTGAATTTATATAAGGAGAAGAATACTTTGCCTACTATATATGAAGCAATAGCACATAGATACTGATTCTAAAAAGATACATTGTTATGCTGGGTCCGCAGCTTCTTAGCCAGCAGCTGCTCTTGCAGAGTCATATCCAGAACAAAAGGCACATAAATAACACATATAAAAAAAAAGGATGATAGTGCACCGCACATGCTTATGAACAAAATCATGCACTGCCAGGCCAATACAAAACAATGAAAAAATAACAAGCCACCAAATAACATAAACCCCCATTTATTTGATTGTGTCAGTAATTCAGCAAAATTGGAGCATTTTACTTAAAAAATTACAAGATAAAAATATTGAAAAGTGAAAATATTTTAACTATTCCCTCAACTAAAATTTTACTAATACACTATATCTTTCAACCAATAATCGGAACAATTTTTTTTCTTCATATTATTGCGTAATGAGCCGTGGCAGAATGTTTGTGTCACTTTTTTTTCCATTGGTCAGTTGAGCACTGATATGCACTATATTTATCAATTGTATTTTACTCATTTTTCTCCAGTTATGCGCCAATGTGCCCTCTCTTTTCGACATGTTTATTACATTACAGTACATGCGCAATGTGTCAAGATGCCTTGTTTTCACAATTTATTACATGTTATGGTATCGGTGATAGGTTTTTCTTGTAATGCATACACAAATGTGGTAACATTAGATAAGAGCTGAGATATTCTAGAATCTCAGTGCAAACACCAGATTTATGAAAACTAACCTATTTGAAAATTAGGTAAAGAAAATCTAAAACCTAGCCGGAAAATATGGTAGTGAAATTGCATTCTATTATTCAAATCAGCATTTACTGTATCCAGAAATAATTATCGCATGAACGAGATACAAAATTTTGACAAAAACAATTCTTAATCACAGTAACCCGCTCACAACCAGAAATAACTCCCTATTTTAGAGAATGAATGTCTTAAAAGTGTTTGTAAAATGATAATTTAACTTTCCATAATTTTCTCTATGACATCATATTAATATCTGACTTTAAAAATAAGGACTCAGTTGCACCACATCCCATTTGATATCGCTCCACAAAGAAATGAAACATATGAATTTCAATGGAAATGAAAAAAAAAGTAAAATTTGGTAAAATAAAAATGAGAAAAAAAATCATGCAGTCACAAAGGGCAACAAAAAGGCTTCACCCAAATGCTGAATCACTTACCGAAAGCCTAATTGCTGAAAAATGAGTTAGCAAGGTATTGATTGAGTAGTTTCCATTGATCGGGAGACGATAAAGAATAAACATGGTTGAGTAAGAGTGAAAATTTTCAATCAAATAACTAGTGTATTTTTCTCATACATACAACCTAAAATTTAGTAGGGGAAGATCTATCTATAGAGCAATTCCAATATTTGTTGTTCTTGGGACAAAAGCTACTTTTTTCAAGTCACTGGTCCTGAAACTTTTTATGGAATAAATTCTATTTCTAAGTACTGGACTGGGCAAGTTTACATTCTTCGTAACTAAATATCAAAGTGCCCTCAAATGCTGGTATTTATTCATTTCCAAGTTTCAAAACCTGTGGGTTTTCAGGTGTTTCATTCTGCTAAGTAAATACTAAACAAAAGGTGCGTGAATGTGTGTATAACCATCTTAAAGTAATAAATACAATAAGTCTAATACTGTGAACAAGAATAGAGACAGAATATCAGAGTTTAGTTACCAATAATTATAAAAAATATTTGAATTTGAAAAAGATGTCATAACCAATGCACATATGAAAAGATATATCATAAATTGGAATCATGATTAATGTTATTTGTCAAAATGATTCAAATATCGTTACTACAATACTTACTTCTGCATTTACAATAAAATAACAGGCTGAACAGGCCAATGAAGGCCAAGCAGCCGACAACAATACCAACAAAGGGACCAACATCAATAGATGAGCCTGAAAGAATACAATATAATTATGAATTCTTTATTAAGGATGCAAAATGTTGCGCAATTAGATATGAATGTTTAGCAAAGGGTATTTAATACACAGATAAAATTGTTATGCTGGCAAAATACCCAGAATTGCTCAAGATCTGTCATCCTGGGCAAGGAAAGATTCCACTCCTTCTGTTATATAGTATCTCCTTAAATTTTCTGTTATATAATATCTCCTTAAATATCAGTGACTGCTTTTACACAGCTTTGTAAATTTGTTGTATAGAATGATAAGACTTATAAAATATGAATGTTCTCGTCTAGGGCTGGGCAAAATATTCGAATAACGAATATCGAATCGAATATCAAAATATTCGAATGGTATTTTACTATTCGAATACCCGGTACCACGTGACCTGCGCCGCTTTGCTTCAACACGGAATTCGGAATTCACAAACAGCGCTCGCTAACATACAAAAGCGGCGAATTTTCTTTGCGTTATGATGTTATTTGTTTTCTTTTCACGCCTAACGTATCGTTTCATTTCCTTATTTTGCAAAATAGGTCCCCACCGTTGCTTTAAGTTGCTTTAATTTACGAACGTTCTGTAAATTATCAACGTATGACGATGTATTTAAAAAATCGGAAATTCTCATTGCCGTTTGTAACAGTCACCGTGATTGCGCGCTCGTTAAAGAGACGTTTTTTCAGCGTATAATGATTTTTCTGTTGCGTAAAATGATCAATCCATGACAACTACGGGATTCCAAAATGTCTTCATATATTAATTTAATTATGTCAAACGTAACTCGCGGTTGCTTCTTCTTAAGTCAAAATTAAAACATTACATCTCTGAAATGCCACGGCGATCCATGGACATAATAGTACAAGATAATCTGCCGGGTGTATTTAATACGTATTTTTGGAATCTTGCGAACTCGTTATCACCTTTAGAAAAATCTCAATAACTAATATAAAATCCCGTAGAGTATAATTTTATTTCCTACAATGAAAATACATATAAAGTATATCGTTTAATCAAAAATACATATTCATCGCCGAGATTAGGCCACTTGTTAAAAGAGCCGACTTTTGCAATGAATGATGAGTCTTCTGTTGTGCTAAGTAATCAATTTATGACCGATGAGGGCATATTTAAAATGTCTTGCTTCATTATTGTCTTCAATTTAACCAGCGGTTGAGTAGACAAAATAAAATCTTCACAATTTTAAAATACCACGGCAATCTGCGGACATAAAGTGTGGTAAACTGCTCGAATATATAAAGCTTTGATTTCCTTATTTTCAGGACTTGTAACATCAAAAAATCCATAAATCTGCTGTAATATCTTGGGTTAAAATTTATTTTAGCACAATAAAAATTGATTGAATATACATTAGATTGATTATCTTATATATATCATTACAACCCGGGGAAAATTGTCCGTTTCAAACCTTGTATAATGTTGAAAAGAAAATTTTCGACGGCAATTTAAAGTAATGGATAATATGGCCAATCCCGCCCACAATTAACAGTGCTTCGATTTTAGTGATGATATGTTTTCTAAACGCCGGCCAAACATAATGTGTGCGAGAGGCACACGAAATTTTGCGATTTTCTATGTCTAAAAAGGCGTTTTTAAACTGTCGCAGGCCTCAATAAAACTCATATTGTTTAAAGTTTTATTTTCAGTATTTTATATTGCCGCTTTTCAATCAAAAAATTTGCGTTGTCCTCAGAAACTCGCCGCTGATGAATGTATATTAATTAAACTATTGCCGGATTCGCAATTCCGTGTGTGTACAAAAATAAAATAATTATCATCGTTAACGTCGCACAACGTTGTGAAAAATTTTTGATTTAGAGAAGATAAAACCAACATTAAATTGTTTATGGCCTAAATACCACGTCACGCTGATAATAACAATGGCGATTATAGCAAAATGCTATTGCACGCGTTATTGACGACTTTTACAGTTTTAAAAAAATTTCAGCGGCAACGCACGGGTATACTTAATATATAAACTTCGATGTCCGCCGACTCGCAAGAATTAATACTTTCAAAAAAATGAATCAGGCGGGAATACAGATTACGAACTTTAGGATTGAGGCGACTAAAACAATTAGAGATTTTGATGAATTTAACCAGTAAATAAAAAACACTTTGTTGCCCTTTTTTCAAAGTTTCTTCTAATTTTTGAAGGAAGTATCGACCTCCGTTGGACCCCCGTTGTATTTGAAAAAAAAATATTCGACTATTCGGTATTCGTAAAAAATATTCTAACTATTCGATTCGAAAAAAATATTCGATTTTGCCCACCCCTATAATCTCGTCCGCTAACCCATTATCAGAAGTATCCTATTTTGTGGCAATTAATTCGATTCTCTGGACACCATTTTAGTAGCCTGATTTTTTTTGGGGGGGGAGGGAGAGGCTTATATTTTTTTATTTTCCTGGGGATAGCGTGTTTTTAAGCAACCATGACTACTGTTTGTTTTCTACCGTAATCGACTTTGTACTACCAGCTGTTATTTTTCTTTTAAAAACTTAGCGGTAATTATAAGGTGATGTCTCTGGCACGTGCGATGAAGCCTGGATATGGGTACTTCAAAAATAATATGATTACTAGAAGATAAAGTGATGTATGACCCCTGCATCTTGCCGACTCATGTAAAAACACTGCATACAATATATAGTTCATGCCATGTGTTCAGAGAGGAGTATTTCCCCTAAAGATACAGGGTAGATACAGTCCTTTAGTTGGCTTTGTCAATATTATTTACCGAGGCCATGTGCTATTCACTCCTAAATCTAATACCATTTCAAGGCGCAAAAAAAAAATTAAAATTTTTTTTTCTAATTGATATTTTAAAAATACTGACCTTGCTCTGAAGGTTTGGAAAAACTTGTTGTTACTGGAGCATCAGTTGTGGTGTGTAAAATAATATCCGATCTTATTGTACAAATAATATCATGGGTACTGCTTCCTCCTACAGCCGTTTCAAGTTCTGAACACCTGATTATGTGAGAAATAATGTTTAATTATAGCTTTTATAATATTAATAAAAACGTAAACAAAGAGATTGCAAATATACCAGTAGTTTTTATAACATTTAAATTAAAAAAAAATATGTACTCTTTGAGGTGCAGTGGCTAAGTGACTTCAGATGTAATGACGTTGGTACCGTATGTTATATGTTATACAGCGCTTCAGTTCAAATTATACACCCTCAACAACTTCACCCATTTTGTAATAAATTGGGTACACAATGGCGAATGTTAAGATTCTGAAGCTTCCAATTAAAGTAGATCCATACATATTGTTGGATATCAGTGACTGATTGGAAAGTGCCTCGTTCAAAGCTTACATAAGAATGAGCATCGCATAAAAATACATCAGGTTGTCCTAGAAGGATCAGATAGCACTGTAGCAAAAAAAGATTATGAAAATATTTCTACTACTGTAGTAGAGGGAGTAAACGTCTGGTTAATTTATGCTTAGTAATATTAGAGTGGCGTAATAACCAAATAGTATTGCGATTTTTTACAAAACAAGTACAGTGATAGTTGTCATAAGAAAAAATGATAATCATTTTAATTCACACAGACAGATAGAACAACGAGAATAAGAGTCTCCTGGAGCAGAGATTCAATCAACTTACGTTTTAAATTTTACACAAAGCTGAATAGAAGATGATACATTTGAGAACATTCCATTTGGACATTTTTCACATTCTGTATCCATTGTTGCATTGCCTAGTAAACGTGGTTGAAAACCTGTAAAAATATTTAAAACATGAATTCGAACTTTACATAAGATAGGACTTACAGATTTATCTTGACAAAAAGGAAATCTGATAAAATGACTTGATCCCATGGCGAACCACGGCCTCTTGTTCAATAACCAGTCCATTAGTTAACCAGTTATTTGTATCAAAATGCATGAACTTGGTAGTGGAGGAAGCCGTTACGTGAACCACCCTGTGGCAGAGAAGGAGACCAGAAATCCTATTGCACGTAATTATTCCTTACAGGATTCGTCAAAAATGTCAAAATAAAATCTATTTCAAAAATACTTTGTATAGAAACTTAGTCAATATGGGAATTTTTTATTTACGGTAATCATTTTTTAAATAAAATCAAGTTTAATGTTAAATTTTATGTAAAAAGACAATTTGTCATAAATGAATTTTGCTGAAAAATAGAGGTTTTTATACTATGCTTATTCACACCTTTCGCTCCAATCAAGGCAGTGTACAACAGCTACTGATATATAATACGCTACTATTTTTTAAGGATTGGAACCTTTCGGATTTGGCATTGCCTTTCCAATTTAACACATCCTGGCTGAGGCGACAACATAGGGACAACAATTGTAATTAATTGCATATTTTAATTCAAAAACACTGTATATTTTTTGACTGCCGCAGTGTTCTAATAATTTTTCCCATTTTATTTCTTTTCAAAAACAGCATCTTAAATTAGAATGTATAACATGAATGATGCATAGTAAAATGATACTGCCAATTCAGAGTCAGTGATTTGCAATGTAAAAAATTTCGCAACCCACCAGGAACACAAGGACTATGTTCGTAGCATGCATGATCAGTATCTTTATTACTCCTGTGAAATCCATCATTACATTCACATCTGTAAAGAAAATTTTTCCCATCAAATATGGCAATAGTTACTGTGACATAAACACAGTATTTTACAAGTTTTTTACAAACTAGGTTTCTTGAAAATGCTATTAGATTGTATTAGAATTTTACAATATCTTAGATTATTATAGTTGATTATCAATTTTATAGGTTGATTTTTTACAGTTACTGATAACACTCATAGGTGAGTGACCTTTACTTTTATGTACCGTAAGCATATATAACCTTACTTTGAGAAATTTCAACTGAAAAACACAAAATTCTAAAAATGTCATCTTGAGAACTTTAACCCTGAGATGGGTAACTCTGAAAAAAGCTGTTTAAAGAAAATGAACTCTTTGGTTTAATTTGATTCAAACTATGATTAGAAACCGGCTTAACGACCAATGAGCGGTATTCAGATTTTTCAAAATGGAACATTTCTTCGAAATTTCAGTATTCACTCCATTTAAAAATGCTTGAAATACTTAACTCATAATTTTTTTAATGAATGTTTCCTCATAGAGTCATACCATGATATACTTACCGGTAAGTCAAAGTGAAAAAGCAGTATATACATTACTATGCACCTTCTTTAAATAATATTTAAAACTTAAAAACTTAACTACTACTCACCGACTTCCCTGTGTCCTAGAAGCAGCTACGTAATGAGTTTTCATGAATTTGTCACAGAATGATTTATCGTTAGATTTAGAGCATTCAGTTCTGTTATTTTCTACTTCAGTGTACGTTTGATTATTGGAATCATTCTCATCAAATGGACAAGGTAGGCACTCTGTTTCAGTTGGTATTCCAAAGCTTAAGAAGATAATAGGTTTATTTCTACCAAAAATTAAATTTCCTTTGAAAAACAGCATGAAATATGGTTGTTTCACAAACAAATGAGTTGGTGGGTGCCCAGGATCTTCGTTGACATTTGAGGCCCGCATTCCAGCAAACCTTTATGCCATCCATGCCAAATAGTAGACCGATAACTTTTTCATTAAATGCATCTATTGTTTTAAACGTATTTGCGTATTTTGGCTTATGACACAAAAGTTAGAAAACATGAAATTAAACAGATCACAAACTAAAATTAAATTATAACATATCTACTTACGGGCATTTTTTGACCATATAAGATCCAGCTGGGCAGAGGCAACACCAATCAGGGAGATCATCACTTGACGTTTCAAAAACACCATTATTGCCACAACTATCTTCTGCACTTTTTTGCACAATACCAATTGGTGGGGCATCCACCAATTTTGTGAACTAAGAAACAATACTTGCTTTGTTAAGGTGAGTTACTCAAGGCTTCATAATCATCAAATTTGGAATGGACACAGAAAAAAAAAAGACCAAATCTTCAAGTTCTAACGATATATATATTTCGAATCACTTAACTAATATCAATTTGACAATCACCCCGTCGACAATTTACAAGTGTAGGCGAAAAGAAGAGGAATATATTGAATAAGAATAGCTATGGAGTCAGAAATTGGCATATTTCATCCTATCAACTCTCCGAAGTCGAAAGTCAGAAGTAGTGAATCAAAATTTTAAACTCTTAAAATGGTGAAACCCAAAGTCTAATTTCCAGCAGTCAAAAATCACCATGTTGAATATGCATATATATTTTTAACCCCATTTTGAACATTCGGTAGACTACTTTGGTTTAAGAGGTTGTAATGCTGAAATTGAAACCTAATACATAAATTTTCAGCCTCGATTAGCAGATAGCATAACAATCTTCCACGAATTATATGCCAAGCAGGTCTATAATGCGAGAAGAACAAAAAAAATATTCCAAAAAAATGTGACGGAAGCTAGTTTGGTTTCACTGTGGCGAACTTGCCGAAAGCAAATATACATTAGCTGCAACAAAGAACTACATATCAGTACATATCTTGGATCCAAACTTTTAAAATTTATTAAGACAAAATTCAAGAATTTAATCGCACTCAAAATATTATAACAGCTGCACTGTGTGTGGTTAAGCAGTATAACATGCATACGTAACAAATATTTAATTCGCAGCAATAATTTTACAATAAAATAGTTCTGCTGAAAATTGATAAAATAAAAAGCATTCAAATAGATTATTGTAAAATCTTGTAGCATCAGGAAAACTTGATATCATTCAGAATACTGTAAAGCATGACTATACAGAATAATGCTAGACCAACAGGAGAGCGTACTACCAATAAGAATTGTACTATCATTGTAGATGATGATAAATACTTATTACTTACTACAATGATCCACAACAGTATGGAAACTTCTGTCCGAAAAGGGCGGTATCGTACCACTCCCATTTCTTTTATGTCTTTCAAAACAATCTCCAACAAGACTAGAAGAGATTCTTGCTGGCCAATTCATAAGACTGAATTTCATTTTCATGTTGAGATTATATTAGTAATAATTAATCAGTAATTAATAAAAAATAGAAAAGTCACAACATTAGGACTATTAATCATTTCATTTTCAAAACATCATGAAATATTAAATATACGAAGTAAAATGCAAGAGAACAAATACAGGTACTACAAAGTCAATATTAATAAACTGTGTGTGGGCGAGATCAGGCGACCACATCTCTATTTCAATGGGTGCTTAAGAAATAAATCTAAAACCATACAGATACACAATTATTATTAAGTCTTAAATGGAAAAGATGAATTAATTGTAATGAGAACTCAAAAACCAAAAAGATGAAGATATTAATTTTAAATTCAGAAGATTGACAAAAAATAACAATTATAAAAAATCCAAAAAGTTGAAAATCGAACTAGAAAATAGACAGATAAGAACATAAAGAATACAAGATATTACATCTAACATGGATATAGGTAAATCAACTATCACAGCTAACTATAAAATGATCAGGAATAATTCAAGCTATCAAACATTTTAAAGACTGAAAAACTCATGACTTGATAAAATATAATACTATTCTATATAATGATGGAAAATTATAAAAGAAGAATTTATGAAGAACATTAGTAATGATTATTTGAGTTTTAAAGCTACCATAAATTAAAATGAGAAACTAGGTAAAGCACTCTGTACATTATAATGGTCCGAATTGCCATAGAACCACTTCTATCTAATACAGTGACCTTTGGCTATTGTTTTAAACCAGGGTTTTCCCGAACTGGGGACTGAGGATAAGACTGATTCCAATCAAAGCATCTCTTTGGTTCAGCATTGCGGACAAATATTTATTGCTGACAGAAAAGGCAATTAAAGTTTTAAATGTATTGTGTTATAAATGAAACATTATCCGTCCTAGTTGGTTGGGCACAAATATTCGGCATAGGATACGGGTATGTGAAAAATAAGATTCACAAACAGGGGCCCGGGGCCAAAAAGTTTGGTAAATCCTGTTTTAAACAACCAGTACCCTGTAATTTTGTCGCATAGATTATAGAAAATACTATGTCAGTATGTGTAAATAAGTATCACCTGATGCTAAATAAGTAAATAATATTAGTAAAACTACACACAGTTCAAAGTAATATTTCTCCATTTCTTCCGCCCAAAAAATTACTTCAAGGGATTACAAAATTACTCTACTACGCTTAGCTAGTAGAGTATAAATATATATATACAAAAGAAACTATTCTTGAAACAGTGAAAAAAACAGATTTTGGTGACACTACTTTGGCATAAGATAAAGAAAAGTCAACTGAAGAAACAATAATTTATGCTATCAATAACCTCTTGTACAGTAATGAGGAACGACAAGCCAGCAAACAGCGACGAACCCACAGTCAACCCTCTAGCCAAGCCCAACTAATCGTACTATATGTAGTCAACTTTTAGTTTTCTTGAATATTTACCACAAAGGGATGTAATAAATATGCCACCAGTGTTCATTATCAGCGCACTTCTTCGGAAAAACTGAGGCACTCTTGTAAATTTTTTAGAGACTGCAAAATCGCTATTTTTTTCGTTTTTGAGGGGTAACTTTTAGGGAAACTTTATCGTTTCCAACCAGTAAGGAAATAACCAATCAAACAGAAATTACGAGAAAATGGTAAATACACAGATTTACTGGGGAAGGTACCGTAAGTCGGGGAGGACCTGCCAAAGCTGGTTATCGAGCAGCGACACTCAAGATTCAAATACCAGTATGTCATTCATTAAATTGACATTTTAGAATTTGGCAAGGGTCTTTCGGCCAGATCTGGCCCGCTGAGTGGAATATTCTGGCCCGCTACGCTTCACTGAATTATAGTAACAAAATGGCTGTTTTAACGGTTATATTCTTTACGTACCAGAATTTATTGTGAGACATGTGTAGAATAAATTATTTTATAACCCAACAAGTATATAATTCACAATTCTGCAATTACTCAGTTAATGAGCCTATAATTTAATTATAGTTAGAGAAATGGCAACAAACGCAGAAAAATATGATGTAAAGTGCAAAGGGTTCAATATTCGAATGGAATTTTTTGAGATGCAATGCAAGGCGGAAATAATCTATAATCAATTCAAGAGATGTATCATTGCTTTATTTTTATAAAAAATATATTCCTGGAGAAAAACTCTATCTTAATATGACATACCATGCGAAAAAATTCACATCAATGTTTGAAAATACTTACGCATGCGAACGATCATTTTCGAAAATAGCATTACAGAGAACAAGTTGAGAACTCGAATTAGTGGTTCATTTATAGAATATTTTACTCTTGGCTTCATCCAGTGTTCCATTTAGAAAATGTTTCCTATTCAGTGATGTTGAAAATGTATCAAGCATGATGCAACATAAGATGTCATATCAAATGTCATTTGTAATTTTTTTCCCCAAGTAAGATGACTTGGTTGAGTTCACAAGTCGCCGCAGTCTTCCCGCGCTGCTCAAAATTTAAATCTCTGATCTGTGTAATAAAATTGTGATTCATCGGCCATCTGTTCATTTTTCAACTCTCTAAAAAAATGTGCGGCCCGCCAACACTTGCAACCCCTAATTTCGGCCTGTGAGCAACAAAAAGTTGCCAACCCGGATGTCTGGATGTACTGTAAGGAACCCCAGAACCTGAGCCGGATTGCTGATTATACTGAAGCAGAAGACATACGTAAGATATACGATAACATATATCTGTATATGCACAATGCACCGGTACATAGCCTACTTACCTCCGTACTTATATTTATTCTGGGGGACCTTTCCAAATATGAAACTTACGGTACCGGTACTGCCCGCTATTGCTATTAAAGTATTATTGAAAACCGGTAAGGTACTTCTGTACTGACAAACTTAGCTTAACCTGCTACCGGTACACAATAGCGAAGAAAACGAATCAGAAATAAGGTTTTGCAAGTTCAAGGCAATTCACAACCTGGAAATATTACCGGTATCTGGTACCGGTAATTATTATTCTATCTGGTGTAAGCTGATGCAGTGATGCTAAAACATCTTTAGACATAGACTACGTACGGTACGTGAGCAACAGGCAGGTGAGTCTGGAGTGAAACACCTAAATTTTTATTTCATCATTATCAGCTTTTTCAGTTTTTACTGACTTCAACCCCCTCACCATCTGTCGAAAGAAAATTTCATCCACTTCCTTTCAGTTTTCAGCATTTTAGTGTTCTTCAATTTTTTCTTTTTGGGAACACCTCATTACCTGATTTAATGGCGTCTTTGACACGAGACGAATAAACACACACACATACATGTTACAACAGCACAAAACAGGCGTAAGGCGAGAAGTCACAAATGACGTCTTTTTTTTTATTTTTTATTTATAAAAACAGTCAATATTATCAATACTAGTCAATCTTAAAAATGTACTATCAAAAGCTATGACATTACCGACATTTCTAACAAGTTTTCAATTCTTCCATCCTCCAAAAAGCTATTTTTCATATTTGATGCCATATTTTTCAGCATCCCTCTAATTTTACATTTAAAAATTATTCTCATAACTGATTGGAAATTATCCAAATCTTCAAATATTATTTGATTCCTGAATTCCCAAATAGCTGCCTTTCCACATGCAACTATCATAATAACTGACAGGTCACATGTATTTTGTGCAATAATGGTATCAATATTATTTCACTAAAATGCAACTCGCACCAATCCCAAAATATTTTAACATAATAGCATTCAAAAATAGATGTTTACAGTCTTCAATGATATTAATATTGCACAACACACAGTGACCATCATCATATTCTGTCCAATGCCTTGTTCTATTTCCAGTAGGTAATGCCATATGAATTATTTTCCAACATAAAACTTGTACAATTTTAGATATTCCATGAACCCAAATGTTATTCCAATCAATATCAAATTCCAGTCCATAATATTCCTTAATTGATAAACCTTTTTGTTTTGTCACTTCCATTATCTTTTTACCTAGAATTT